TAGAGGACTTGAAAGCATCCTTCTGGAACCCTTTTTAATCATTTGAATGGGCACATGGTATACGAAAATGCTAAAGAGTAAATAAGTAACCCGAGTGCGAGTCCACGAACTGTGACGTCCTTTGTGGACTGGACTTCCGCGAGCTCTCAGAGTTCGCTTGGTCAGTTCGCAGCTGGCAGCTGCAAAGGTCATGGGTTAACAATGCGACTGAATTAAGATATTTTATTGTTGTTGTTATTGTTGCTCGGGCGTCTATGCAAATGGCAGGCGAAACAAAGGCCCGAGTCTGAACAATAAAATGAGACAGTTCGAAAATTATTTAAATTTTATGCGCAGCCATCAAAAGCTAGCCAAATTGATTTGTTTGCTAGTTTACAATGGAAATGCGCTATATATAGTACATAGACTAGGGAATTGGTAGCCTCCGTTCTCTACAGTTCAATGCACCGCAAAAAATTTGTTGAATATTTAAATGTTTGCATACATTTGGGCAAAGTTGAACACTTGTTGTGATAGACAGCATGTGACTGAGTGTGTGTGTGTGTGTGTATGGGTGTGAGACACTGGGCCAATCGATAAACCTAATGAGCTATGAGCGCACCAGCACAGAGACAGAGTTTATTCTAAAATTAACTGTCGTGAAAAAATAGTTCGGAAATAACTCATACGCCACGTTGTGCAAACAAAACTTGTATATTTCCGCTTAGCAAAAAACAACATTGCTTCACTTGTTGTTCAAGTGTTTTTCTATTATTTTAATGCATTTTTAATGCAACTGCAATTTGGCTGAGTGCAAGTCGCATTATGATTGATATCATACCAGTGCATAGAGCGATGAGAACAAATGGCAATTGATGCATATTTTAAAGAAGAAAAATGAAAAATGAAACAAACCTGAAAAATAGCGTTAAGTGTTCGTTCATGTTGTACAAATTTGGGTATTTGGGTCAGCTGCCTGGGGCCTATGCTGCGTATACTTAACTTATAAGCCTAGCTAAAGGTGTAAAATATGAAAAGGTACTTAATGTAATTGGGGCACAGTCATGTGTGTCGAAAGCACAACAATGGCCATTAAATGCTAGCATTTAGTGACAGACAGACACACGCACACTCTCACACACACACACACACTCATAACGCACCTATTAAACACGCGGCAACAGCATAAAGCATAAACATGCTGCGTATACTTAATGTGCGCGTGTGAGTATGTTTGTGTTTGTGTGCTACAGGGAGTTGCCGGGCTTACTCATGTCATACTCGAGTTATCAAAACCTGGAAGTGCTTCAATTAATCACAGGAAATTCGTCAATTATTCAGCACTTGACATGACTCAAGAAAATATATGTACACAATATGCAAATTGCATTCAGCTTTTTGTTGTGATAAATCCTGTCAAAATGCAATATTATTTACAATGGGTATGATGCTTGGAAAATGCGTGAAAACCGTAGATATAAGCTTAAATGAACGGCTCTGCCTCTTAATAAGTGTTTTATATAAAAGCTTAAGACTCATGAATACATTATTATATATCTACTATAAGTATAGGCATATTTTAAATTATTTATATCACATATTTATTTATTTATATTTATACATTTTCATTAATTTTTCTATTTTAAAACAAGCGAATAAAATTTACAGAAGTTGCCGAAGGTTAAATTTAGATTATTTATTTATTTGATGTATGTTGTTTTAGTCGTGAGATAAACGGATAATTTATACAAGAGTGAGCCATAATATTTTATGTTTGTATTTAATTTACTTTATTTCTATATAAATATATCGATGTATGTAGTTTTTCCCTGTTTCATTTTTCAATTCACTCCATAGAATTGTATATCAAATAAGTTTCTAACAAAGTTTTAAATTCCTGGAAATAAACGGTTACGCATATTAATTTTGAATGACTATTGTTGGTTCTTTGGCGACCTTTCCAATAGTTTAGCTACTTTTATTTTTGCAAAGCAATTTGTACAATTTAATGCAAAGCTCAAACTCGAGTCTGTAGCCAAACTTTCAACAATTTATGATGAATCTATATCATGTGGAAAGCATTTTGATTCTTCTTCGTAGTGCAATCAAATGTATATTAAACATTTCTTTTATTTAGATTTCGTATTTCTGTCTGACTTCTTTTCAAGTAAAATATCTGATATCATAATTTTTAATGGATTCCTAATGAATGTCGCTTTCTATTATTTCTGTCACGATTTTTGTGTATTTGGTATTTTTCAATTAATAGACGGTTTTTCTTGAGTCCAGCGCTCTTTTCATGCTTGTCATTTTTGTTGTTATTTAATTGGCAGCTCAGAAAGCTTTGTCTTAAATATGCATGAGGCAATTGCAAATCGATACGTGTCCTTGCTGGCAAAAATCACGGCAGGAGCGCCCAGCGATAACATTTTGTATTTTTCTTTTAATTGAAAAGGACGCTGGACTCTCGAGCCGGCTCCTCGGGTCAAGTAAATGGCCATAAATTGCAGCTGCCCGAGACAGCAAATTTAAATTGAATATAAAGACAGAGCAGCAGGCACAACTTAAAGCACTCACTCCCTGCAAGAGCCTTAGTTATCCTTGCCTTAGCCCTAAACCCAGTTTAAACCGTAAGCCAAAAGCCATTATGCTCAAACGCCAACGAAACCACAAAATGTTGCTTGGCCATTTAAGCAGCTGCTGTTGGCCTGGTCTCAAAGCGGACAAATTGGCAGTGGTCCGGTCCGTGTGGCATTTGCGTTTTGATTTGACTTTGCCATTGTACAGTACTTTAGTCATTTATCAATATGTCACTTAGTAGCTATTGTTTCTAGGGGGTTCTAAGTGCTCTCTGAATCTGCGAATCACGTCTGATGACTTTGACTTTGACATTTGAGCCACACACCCACCCACAAACACACACACACACACACAGACAGACACACACGTACAGACAAAATTCGCTTAGTGGTCGCGCGCTGAGTGTCAAAAATCAAGACAAATCAAATAATTTGCATTGTCGTCTCGGGCGGCGTCAAATTGTCTGCATTACGTGCCCCGTTTAACACCGAAAAACATAACGACAACAACAAAGTATCTGCTGTGGCTTCTTAAATATTTATAACATTCCAGCTATTTAGGGCGCATCCACAAAAATATGCTACACACATTTTTCACATTTCACTTGAAATTGGAGATGGCAGCGTTTCACGCACTTTTTCCATTTATAAAGCTCCATTCATAAATTTAGGCAAATGAGAAAAGAAAAGAATGTTGTCGTGTAATAGAAATTATAAAAATAAGATCTTTAAATTTTGTATATTTTGAAAAGAATCGACAATTTTCGTTTTAAAAAGAAACTAACTAAAATACTTCTAAATTTCCATCAATTGGAAGATATTCATAGCACAGAATAAAAAGAAACCATAGATGTTCTGTTTAGAGAATAGAAAATCAAATTTAATCTGAGAAGTGTACTTTAATAAAAATTATAATATATTTTTGTGGCTTGTCTGAAAGATAAATATATAAAAAGAAAATATTACCTGGGCTGTTTTTGTGCTCCGCCAGCGAAATGCGAAAAGTCACGAAAATAGCTGTTATAATTAAGAAAATATTAACAAGGCATTTAGGTCCATTGATGGCATAAATTGATAAACCAACGCAATTAAATGTCAATTAAATTGTTTATAATTGAATTAAACATTATTACATTTCACATATTTCACGCTCAGCGAGTTTATCCAAATTAACGAATGGCCTGCAAATGGGATTTAAGCAGTAATTAAAATATGAGTTAATATCATCAATTTAACAAATTGCCAGCGTGCGTGACCTGTGGCTGAATGGCGCAGAAATTACCCAAAGAAGCAATTCAAAATTGCGTAAACATACAATAAAGCCCTTGTATGATAATAATATCCAGCATTAAAACGTATTCAAATGGGCATGAGTTTTTATAAGAAGAGTCTTAAAATAGAGTTGACAATAACACAGCTTGAATTGGGCATAAAAGAAACTAATCAGGCTCTAAAATGAATATGCGAGCTAATTGTTTTCCGTCAGTGTAGAAATACAACGCCTAAAGCTTTGACTAACTCTTAAGCTGATGTTTAAATGTGGGCAGAAGTTAAATAGAGCTGATATTTACTCGCGTACTTCCTGCTTATGTAAAAGCCAATTAGCATTATTCCAGCTTAAAGCTTTAAGGCGCTTTCAAAGCTTTAAACAGCTTTTGCTTGTGTGCGGACGTAAGCACAAAGCGAGGTTTTCTTACAATCAACAGTATTTTATGCTGCTACTTTACACTTAAACTCGCTGAAGCGAGGATTAATCGCATGCTTTGTGAGTCCCATTCAACTAGTGTCATTTCGATACTTACAGCAACGCCGTGCCCATTTGACGCAAGGCTGTGACGCCAATAAATTTATTAAATGTCCAAAGTGCAAACAATTGACGCGGAACACGCACACACATTCACACACACGGACAAAAATTATATTGAAATCTGTAAGGGCGAGAGACAGTTTGTGTGTGTGTGTGTGTGTGTGGCGGGGTGCCTCGCTGCGTTCTGAATTGCGTGTTCAAACAACAAATTAATTACAGGCGGGCAATCAATTTTGATTAAAGTAAAACTCCGGAACTGTCAGACAACTGTCTTAAAGTATATTTGGGCTACATCGAATATTCCGTTTAGAGACTGCAACTAAAGGGAAACTAATCGAATCAATTATTAAAGCAACTAACTGAAACAACTGAGCGCACTCAAAATCACTTGAATAGTATATTTGACACATATGCATTATAAATGCTGTACATCATAAGACATCACATCAATCGAATATCGTTTATTCTCAATTAGCCAAAAATATTGTTACTTACCGAAAACCCGCTCACAGTTCGTATATTTTAGTGTCTATCAAAAGTTATAAACTTAAAAGATTCATACACATACAACTGGGTGTATGTGTGTGTGTAAGTGTGTGTGTGTATGGCTTATGCGTGTGATATCTAATTGAAAACGACTGGCCAATGGATCATCTATTATGCAATATGGCGGGCAACAGTCGCAACTCGTCCTACAATTGTCTATCATCATGGGACTCCTACGATCGTATACCCAGGTATGTATTGTGTCCTGTCAAAGGACTCTGCCCAAATGGTTGATACATCCGCGAAAGCAACTACTCTAAGGCTGCTCTCTCTCTCTCTCTGTCTCTGCTGTGCAACAAATCAAATTACGTATACGCAACGTTGTGGCTAATTCAATTTTTGTTCTATATTGATTTTTAAAGCACTGCGCCACGTTTCTTCAGACGCGGCGTCAACTAAATGTAATAGAAAATAGAAAAGCATTTAAGTAGCAATCATAAATTGATTGCCATTAGCAATCAAATCTAATCAAATTTCAACTAAAAGCACACAACACAAAAGACAATAATAGTGTCTCAAGTGTGTGTGAAGAAATTTACAGCTGAGCCAAGTACTCTGAGCACCTCAGTTTTGTGCAAATTTATTTTTAGTTCAGTTTTTAATTACATTTTCAGCTCCAGTTTCAACTATTGCGCCATTTAGTTGAACAGTCATTCAAATAATTAAACTAATTGAAATTAGTTTAAGCTAACACATTTTATTGTAAATACATTTCGAACGAATTCAAAGCACAATTGCTTAGCTGTTGTCTGTTCGATTTCAAAGGGTTTCCACAGAAATATATATGTATGTATCTTATTTTTAAAAGCGTTTTCAACTCAAATGAAAGGGTAACAGAACTTTATTTCACTGGAATAAACACAAGAGTGGCATTACGATGGATGTTTATCTATTGTCAATATCATTTGAATTGCTCTGAAATAAATGAAGTGCACTCAATTTATTAGGCGCTGTAAATTCAAGTAGTCACTTTTGGCTCAGTGAGACCTCTCACATTCAATTTAAATACATTTCTCTTAATTCAATTAAAATTATACACAAATTCGCACTCAATGTTTGTTGGGCTGAATGTCAACTTTAGCTGTTATTTAAATATTATTTGAAAGTTTATTAACTATTTTAATATATAATTGAAGACTTCTATCATTTAAATAAACTGTCCATCAATTTTTGGTATTTCACATAACTCATTTTTAATTTTAATTTTTAAACAAATTTTCTTTACTTTGAATCAACTATTCTTAAGGCAAGCTTTTGCTCTTTTGGTAACTATCTTTAACATTTATTTAAATTTAGCATTTTCACTATTTATAAAATGTTATGCTTTATATTTAACTTCACGCTTAAATTTATTTATATATATATACATTTAAATGAAAGCCCGCCCTTTACTGCTGACCAGCGCAGAGCTATGCTGTCATTTAATTGACTTTGCTAAGCTAAAAAGTTTTCATCTATTGTTTTAAAACATTAACTTAGTTTTGGCGTTAATTTGATTAATTTTAATGTGACGATGGGGATTACGACCAAAGTTGGCAGAAAACTGTCGCAGTTTTGTATATGCGTGCAGTTAAAAACATGGACAAATTTATTTCATTTGTTTAAAAGACGTCGAATTTAATTGGATTTTGGCATAAAAAGTACCGAAAGTACTTTAAAATTGATATGCTGTGGCTGGTAAAAACTTTTCTATTTTCATGCACAAACATACAACAGCAACAAAACACCAACCGCTTGTGCATAGTATATGAAGTTTTTATGATAGAATCAATATGCATACGTATGGTTGAATGCTATGCAAATATTTGCACAAGCATCGACAAATAATTGAGTGAACTAAACTTGGAAAAAGCTGTGCAAAAGTTTGTGGCAACAGTTTGTCAAGAGATATATGTATATTGTCTACATATGTTCTCTAAATGTATGCATGTATGTAAGCATGCTTGATGAGAGGCGACAGTGCGTATGCGTAATGTGCAGAACTCATCTAAAAAATGATTGCATGCAGTTGTGTCTGGCTCATCAAGTTTGCGTGTTGAATTTAAGGCCTGGCATCAATTTACTGATGGTATTTTTCTTCTTTTTCTTGTTTTTTTGCTTTTTTGCTCTTCTTGCTGAAGCACTTATTATAATGTTTGCCTTGTGGCCCAACAAATTGCGCGCTAATGTGTTTTTGTTGCCTCATCATTTGATTAGGGCGTCAAATTTAATGTTGATATTGAATTTAAAGCTGAGCCCGCGGCGTGGCTGCCAGCTCTTTGCTTTTACCTACATACATATATATATATATATATATATATATTGTTTGTACCTTTTATTGATTTTTAAATGTGATTTTCCTTTTTTCTTCGAGCGTTTAGGCCAGGCTGAGAGCTGGCTCACATTTCTATTAGCAACAGCGCCATGTTTACGAACACACAGATTTGATTACAAAACTTGATTAAATTTCACTTTGAAAGAGATTTTTCTTAAAGCACATTTTGGCGAAGCGTGGTTTCTTTCTAGGCCCAAAAATCAAAGCGCAACAAAGCTCCTCTATGAAATACCTGGCATAACAATGAAGCGGCTTTTGTTCTTATTGTTGTTGTTGTACCGTTGAGAGTTGCCCGTTGGCCACACAAAGGCACCGTAACACAAAGGTCTTATGTATACGCCGGACATCAACAACGGCTCAAAACGAGCTGTTTTTGCCACTACTCAAAGGGTCGATGCGGTTGCTTCACAACCCAATTGAGTAACGCTCGCCAGTTTGTCTCACCAGGTTAATGGTGGCTCTTGAAGGCGACAGGGCGTCGCTAGGGCCTGACCTGATGTATATGTGAGACACAACTCGCTTATTGCATTTCGTGTTGTTGTTGGACCATTAAACGATGATGCTCGAGTGAGCTCGAAAGGATATAAAACAAAAGCGCGTGTCCTCCTTAAATTATCCAGCAGTGTTTCGGTTTTGCGTTAAGTGCTTGACGATGGAGCTGCATACGCGTTGATTGCCCAAAGCCATTCACATTGATTGTGGCCCATAAAAAGTTGAGAGCTTTTACAGTAAACTCGCCTCAGTGCGCACATAATTACAGCCAAACGCTGAGATAAAAGTCAAATAGTGAAATTGTTTAATGGCCACTGCATGGAAATGCAGTCCAAACTATCTACGGCTGCGTGAGGTGAGGTCAGCTCGAAAGGAAAACACAGAAAATAATAATTAGAAAATGGAAAATTTACATATATTATAGCCAGAAGTCAGGTACAGTCGCTGGCAACTAATTTATAGAGAACAAGGACAGACAACATTATTCTATAGCAATGACAAATAAACACTAAAAATCTACACAATTAATCTAATTCAATTAATTAAGCTGAAGTTTCATATGGTAGATATTAGATGATTGGTTAGAATACATCAAGAACCTTGTCACAAAATGTGCAGCACATAAAGAAATTAGATGTTTGATTAAAAATAGAAATATATATCACACATATATAACACACATCATTAAATTTATGGCTCTCAGAAAAGTAATTATTTTTTTCTTGGTTATTTTATTTTTTTTTTTTTTTATTACGTATAATTAAAGGTATACATACTTCCGCAATTAAATTCTACAACATATGCATATAAAAATTTATTTAGCTTTATTTAGTCAAAATTTAATTTTACGTTTTTGTAAGCATACAAATACTATTTAAAGATATGTTTCTGTTTCTCACAGAAAGCTCAAAAACAAACTAATTTATACTATATATTTTTATAGAAATCGTAAAATCCATTAAAAGCAACTTTTAATAAATTCAGAAAATGCTTAGATTTCAATAACTTGTTGTTTAAAATTAACTGAGGCCCTCTTAAAAACTGAAAGATTACATTATTATTAAAATAATAAATTCGTGTTATTTCCAGCAAATGTACCACATAATGAAAAAGCCAAGAGCTTTTACAACTATCAATCAATATAAGTTGCTCGCTTTAGCTAAATAAGTACTTGCATTTATTTTAATGAAATGTGATCAAACACTTGCAGCTAGTGTCATTGCACCATATATAAATGTTTGTTGACATTTCTTTTGGGAAGTTGCGGGGCCGAACATCAAAGTCGCCTGGGTTCAATTGCTGCTGCTGAACTTTGGCATTGTTTGCTCCCAAGAGGGAAGGTGGGACGGTTGCCAAAAAGACGATCCTGCATGTGTTGGCTGTTGCCGCTGCCAGCAGCTGGTTGCCCTTTGATTGGCACAGCGAATGTTGCAAGCATTAGTTGCTGCTGCCGCTGCTGTTGCCGCTGTCACCAAAATTTACAAGCAGTTGCAAATTATTCTTGTGCCGCGTTCAATGGCCGAGTGGAATGAACCCCGTCAGCGAATTTCCGTCTGGCAGTTCACAGGCTTTAGCCACAGGTCAGAGTTGATTGTATGCAGTGGCACGTTGTGCGGTTGTGCCAAGTGGCTGTGGCATAACTGATTGGTCACCAGCGGGGCGAGCGTTAATATTGTGCCACGCACTGCAGTCATTGCCACTTGCGGCCCACGCGGGTGCCATTTATTCCGGCTTGGCTCAGTTTATCTGTGCGTGCATTAACCTTGACATGAATATGCACAGGACCCCAGAGCTCTCGGGCTGTATTTGTGTCTAGTTCATAATGTGTTACAAACTAGCTGCAAACAAAACAAAGCTTCAGGTTGGCAATTTATGTGCTTTGTATTCAAATAAACTTTTGTGTTATTTTCTCTTTTTTTTCGGCACAATACCCCCAGACTGCGTCGTCTTTAATTACTTAAGACCCGACCTAGACAGACAACCAACTCGCAGTGCGCCGGACTTCTGAGGGGCAGTCAAGTGTTTGAGTAAAGTCTGCTTGAATGTTTTGCTGTTTGCCAGGCACTCGGAAAGTTGTGAATTATGGTCAAAGCTGAAGCAATTTACATGCTTGGGCATCTACAAGATGCGAGATGCTCGCAATGCAACTACATATATTGTGGCCTGCAGCTGGATCAACTGCAAGTTTATTATTCTGCGTTTGGGCCGTCAAGTTGTCAGCTGCAGCGCAATTGCCAGATAAACGTTTCCATTTTGTTGCTCATACGCCACGTTGCACGCTCAATGTTTATATTGCACTAGCAACAGATGTGCCAATAAATAAAATAATAACTATGCATCCGGCTATGGAACAAGACCAAATTGTAGAGAAACCTTAAACTGAAATACTTAAAATGACAAGAGCTGATCTGTTGGCAAGCTGTTGGAAAGGCATTGTATTTAGAAAATATAATTTTTCTGCTTTAAATTACTTGTTACAATAGGTAGATAAAAGCGTCACAATTTATGCACACAACATATTTGTAATTCCTCAACAGAAGTAATATTGCCTGCAACATCATGAGCTTTCGAAGCAGAAAAAGAAGATAGGGTTATGTTGGATTAATTTTCCGAAGCTTCTGCAGCTTTTTTAAAGCTTTGCAATATTGGTATACATAAGCTTCAGCTTTAATGCGCTTTTATATACAAACTATGCTAAGCTATGTAGCGTTTCGTTTGAAGTAAGCTCTGTTTAAATATAGACAAATTAAGTAGTCACTATAAAGCTGTATGAATTTGGCTAAAGATGTAACTAATAGCTTAACTAGGTTTTACATGGTTAAAATCTACTTTGATAGTCAAAGTAAAGTTAGTTGCTTCAATAAACTAAAGTTAGGGTTATATTCAGATTTTTGTGCAAGTATTATTTTCAGCTTTGAACTTTTTGAGATTTCAAAAGTTTCTAATTGGGACTAATCCTAGGGTAAATCCAAATTTATTTGCCAGCTAGCAGCAAGTGTCATTGGCAGCTCACTTGCAATTTGCTGCTTCCATTGGTGTTGCTGCTGTTGTTGTTGTTGCTGCTGCTGTCAAATGTTTACGCTGTCAAGCAGCTGCAGCGTACAGCAACACTCACACTCTCACACACACACACAGAGAAAAAGGAGAACCTACTGACATTTTAATATATACTTTCTTGGCACCCGTTGCACCCACTTCCTAATAGAAATGCCATGAAAAGTGTAAGTAGAAGCGAATACAGAATGGCATTTGAGAGTGTCGGAGCGGGAAATAGCTGCCATTGGCAACATCCTGTTCCGTTCAGCCACTTGGTCTGTCACCTTGTGCTCCGTATAATGTGATCAGTAAGCGCATCAATTGTCGAGTGCAGCATCAAGTAAATTGCCATTTTATTGATACTACTGCTTATTCAGGGGGATTTTTACAATGCCTTAATTTATTTACCACAAAAAGCCAAATGCGCTTTGCATTCTGTAAGAGGCTTTTGTGTGCGACAGCCAATCGAATCTCATTTTAAATATAAATTCCCATTCTATTCTTTATCTTTGCAGAGTGCGTGTGGAGTACTATGTGAATGAAAATACATTCAAAGAAAGACTGCAACTCTATTTCATTAAGAATCAGCGTTCAAGTGAGTATTCAAATTACATTTTTAGCTGCTTAATCTAAGCTTCCAAATTACTTGACATAGTCAAAAATACAGTGATACATCCCTACATGGACTGTTTTTAGCATTAAGTATTGAAGAGCTTAGTTCAACTCATACGTGATTTAAATACAAATAATTTTACCGCAGTTAAACCTCTCCAAAGGCAGACATATTTCAAATTTTGATAACTTTATAAGAAACTCAGCTACCTTAGGGATTTTTATAAATATATCTTATCAATTTTTTGGATTTAACTGCTTTTTCTATTCTCTATCGGCATTAATTTTTCTGTTGGTATTTACCATAATTAAAACTATATGCTAAGTTTTCTTAAGCGTTGTATGGATAGAATTCAAAACAGATTTTACAGTTAAACTTTTATTTAACTTATTCTATAAATTTTTAACTTTTCGTTTCAAGGGGTAACTACAGATATGTGTTATGTATTTTCACAATTTTACAAGGAATTTTAACAGAATTTAAATAAAGTTTCGGTTCCTCATAATTTGTATGCATATATTTTATTAAAAGAATTTTAAGAGCAGAAAGAAAGTGATTGTTGCCCACTTAAGGATTATTTTACTATATAACAAATATTCTAGGATTAGTCTCTTATTTTTGGTTTACTTGTGAGTTTACTTTAGCGAAGTACAACTGTAGCTCTTTTAAACCAAACAACAAACGTCTAACTGAATTGTACTGAGGTTGACCAAATTAAACAGACCGAATGTAAATAAACTTATGGCAAAACGATTAAAGTTTTCGTAGGCCGCACAAACAATTGAATCAATTGGAAAAACAGGTGTAAGAAGAGGCAGAGCAACAGCAACAGCAACAACAACAACAACAACAAACACACGACTGACATTGCATAAGAAGAAGAAGAAGCATACTCAATATACTTGAGTAAATATTGATTTGGATAGGAAATAATTGTGCAGGTAAACAGGTCGAACAGGTAAATAGGTAGATTGGTAAACAGTCAAATGAGGGTGAGTTTTTTTTCGCCCAATAAGTCAGTCAGTTAGTTAGTCAGGCGCTGACCGGAAAACCGGGCAGGTTAGATAGTTAGGTAAAAGGTAAACTAACGAACTCGTGTAATTTAGTTGTCTGACCCAAATTTCGTTTTGTGTTTGTGCTACTTTCTCGTTCAAGGCTTACGCATACGAATTGCCGATTTATTCCTTAAGTTACTGTCGTGTGTTCTCTACATAATACGTGTGATATTGGATAAAAATCCAACATTTATAACATGGTAAGCTAAATGCCAACAGCAAATAACTTCAAATTGCAATAGCACACAAGATTTATTATGACCCACCCACCCATCCTCCATATATCTCTATCTGCGTGTGCTTACTCTAGCTATGGCTGCGAAGTGGCCAATAAGACAGAGTTTATCATCTCTGCCAAGCTGACGGAGGAGGAGTTCCAGGAGAATCCAATTATTAACTGGGATGCAATACTCTGGGTGAATCGTCCCACGGTGCTCTGGGTGCTACAATTACTTCTGGCCATGGTCTCGTTAACTCAATCTTTGGTTCTTACATATCTAGGCTATAAGGTGAGTGACCAAATTGTTAACAAAATTCATTTCGAATAGACATTCTAACATGTTTATGTTTATTAAAAAGATATATAAATGAGATATACAAATATTTATATGAAGAAACTATGAAATCAATAAACAAATGTAACTTTTTGACTATTGTGAAGAATTTTTTATTTTAAAATAAAAATATTTCTTGAATACAATTTTAAAAATACTTATTGTTTGAATAGAGCGTTGATAATAATGAGCTCACATTAAATTAAATAAACAACATTCTTATTCATTTTTAAAATAATAATAGGCCAATAATTAAAAAAATGGGATAACATTGTTTAATCGTTTGATTTTGGAATATTTTCCCATTCATTTTTACTTATTTATACAAAATTGAATGTTTTTCGAAGAGAAATAACAAACAAACCGATTTAAGGAAAAGCATTTTTGATAATTGTGTAAAAACTATCGATTGATTTAGGAAAATTTTAATTTTGATGTTAACTTTTTTGAATGATTTACAAAAAACTAAATTCAATCAGAAAATAATAAATATAAGCATAAAACATTATTTACATTTACGTTAAAAAAAAAAACAAATAATTTAGATATATTTAAATTTTTGTCACGTACCAATTGTTTAATATATTTTCGCTTGGTACCTTTTATAAATTTTGATCTAATCGTTTAATTTTGTTAACAGGGCAACATATGGCAGCAAATACTCTCATTTCACTTTATACTAGAATTAGTAACGACAATACCCTTTGCACTAACGGTAAGTACACTTCAAATTTAACACTAAATGATATTTGCTAATTTCTATTTATGATTATTGTTTTTTCCTGGTAGATTGTGCATCCACCGCTGCGCAATCTTTTCATACCAATTTTTCTAAATTGCTGGCTGGCCAAGCGCTCGCTGGAGAACATGTTTGTAAGTGTCTCTCTCTGTGTGTGTGTGTGTGTTATTATTATTAATTTAACCATAATTCTCAATTTGAATGCTGCAACATCTCTGTAGAACGATTTGCATCGCGCCATGCAAAAATCACAATCGGCTTTGTCGCAGCAGTTGACCATTTTGTCGGCCACATTGCTGTGCTTGGTCTTCACCAGGTAACTATAACTATGAGCGACAGTCTCCCTCCTGCGTTCTCTCCCTCTCTAACTACCTCTATCTCTTTCTCTTTTAGTGTTTGTGGCATACAGCACTTTCAGCGCGCCGGGCATCGCCATTTGAATCTATTCCAGAGCACCTACTATGTGGTTGTGACCTTCTCCACGGTTGGCTACGGTGATTTTGTGCCGGACATTTGGCCATCACAGCTGTATATGGTCATCATGATTTGTGTGGCGCTGATTGTGCTGCCCACGCAGGTGAGTAAATGCATTTAATGCCCGACTGCGTCCGGCTACTTTACAGAATATACTCTCCGCTTCACTTTGAGGAACCTTTTCGAAATGGGGCTTATCTGTGCTAAGGCCACAGTCAGGCTGCTTCAGTTAGCTGCAAATATTTGTATTCAGCTTGTATATACACACACACACACGATCACACACACACACACACATTTTTAAGCTGCTTAGCCGCCCCACTTTGCTACTGTGCAGTCCATCAATCAAATTGGCTATTAACAGATGAGTCGACATCGACTACTGGTCATCAATCTGTCTAAATATATATGAGTCATGGGCCCACTCGACGCGACCTGCACTTGTTTGCCTCTGGGTCCAAACAATTAACGAGCAATTGTTAGTAGCATCGGAAAGTTATATGGCCCGATACTGACTGACTGGCTGACTATTGCCCAAACAAGAGCATCAATCAAAATGTTTTTTTTCCCCGCGCGACTTTTCATAGCATACTTTTTGGGGACCGGCTGCAGTCGGTGCTGTCAAACAAGCGCGGGCTGCATGTCAATGTGCGCGACGCGTTCCAACAATTTATGACCAGCCATAACAATAACAACAGCAACAGCAGCAACATTGTGACCAAATTGTTGGCATGTGTGTGTGTGCCGGTGTGTGTGTTGGATGTTTGCCTGCGCCTGAGCGTGAGCAAAGCACTCACAATTTATTGAAAATATTAGTGCTGCAGTACGAACTGCAATCGAGTTAAAAACAAAATGCTGTCGCTGTCAATATATATTGTCAGCAATCTATCAATCTACAGCCAAATATACTATATAGCGCATCGGGATCTGAAATTCAATCAGGGCGCATACCTAAAAACGATACCTATAAAAATATTTGTATAACCTGATGGATTTATGCGAATACTAAAAGCTTCTTTTTATTAAAAGCTTGTTATCAAAAATATTTAAATTGATTGAAAACGTTTGTGCTGAAATTCAGGCTTTCTACTGTCGCTCGCGATACACAATTTGTCAGCAATCTGCAGATAATCTTCATACAAAAAAAAAATAAGTTTGTATATTTATCTACATAGCTTATATGAGAGTCTTTGAGGCTTAAAATATAATCAAGATATACACATACAAATATTTGTATACCCTAATGGATTTATGCGATTACTTAAAAATTCTTTTTGTTTTTAATAATTTGGTCGAAAATTGAACACAACTTCACAAACGTTAGTGCTGAAATATTTATATTTTTAATTATTTATTTGATCAGCAGCTTTTAAATCTATAGGATACAGTCAAAAATAAATATATATTCCGTTTTCATAACTTTATATGGATAAACCTTTAAAGTTATTACAAAAAGAATGATTATAGCCTAACGGATTTATGCGATAACTAAAAGGTTCCTTTTATTTTTAGTATGTTATAAAACTGTAGAATATATATTAAAAATATTTTAGATAACTTTACATAAAATGAAAAAGTATATAAAACGATTGAGGGTCTCAAATAAAATCTACACACTTAACCAGAAATAATATCAATGAAAATAAAGTAAATAAATAAATAAATTGTATATTAGATATCTAAAAAAAATAAGTAAATAACTAAAAATAAAAATAAAACCATAAATAACACCAACAAAAATTAAGCATATAAATATTTTATTTTATATTATTTTAGGAGCAAAAAATAAACTTGTTCTCTTAAAGCATAAATAATAATAATTTTAATTATTTTTAATTTGCATAAGAAATCTGAAAGTCATACCAAATATTTATTTAAAAAAAACAAGGCAGTTAAAACCTTCTGACTGCGCGAAAAATAGCTGAAAAAAGGGTATACTAGATTTATGGATTCTCAAAAACTATTGTAGATATAACTTTTTCGAACTCTGAACGGCGGGCTGGGCGTAATTTTATAGCAAATATGCCAAGTAGATATACAAGCTGTAGAGTTGTCAGCTTCATGCAGACGGACAGACAGCGCAATAAAGTACGATAAAGTATATTTTGTTATAAATATGTGCATCTTATGCCTTTCACTTTCATATGCAGTTTGAGCAGCTGGCTTTCACTTGGATGGAGCGCCAGAAATTGGGCGGCAGCTACTCATCGCATCGGGCTCAGAGCGAGAAGCATGTAGTTGTATGCTCGACTACGCTGCACGCGGATACGATAATGGACTTTCTGAACGAGTTCTATGCGCATCCCCTGCTGCAGGACTTCTATGTGGTGCTGCTCAGTCCCATGGAGCTGGACACAACGATGCGAATGATATTGCAAGTGCCCATTTGGGCGCAGCGCGTCATCTACATACAGGTTGGTTAAATATTTGACAACTTGTGATTCGATTTGAATTGCATTTGACATTTTGCCGTTTGTCGTTTGTCGTTTTCTGTTTGGCATTTGGCATTTGACAGGGCTCCTGCTTGAAGGATGGCGATTTGGCGCGAGCGCGCATGAACGAGGCGGAGGCGTGTTTCATATTGGCAGCTCGCAACTATGCGGATAAAACGGCTGCCGACGAGCACACCATCCTGCGCTCCTGGGCCGTCAAGGACTTTGCGCCGAATGTGCCGCAATATGTGCAGATATTCAGGTGAGTTGTCTGCGTGTGTGTGGGGCGCCACTTTGTCACGCCTCAGTTAATTCGATTTCTTTCACTGTTTGCGCGCTGTGCGTGCCACACAACCAATGCCACCAACATTTATAAATATACAATCTTTTTTTTCACATATATATATATACATGTGTTCATTCACTGCATATGCTGCGGAAATACGCTGTGGCCAGACCGGAGCACAAGCTGCATGTGAAGTTCGCCGAGCACGTGGTCTGCGAGGATGAGTTCAAGTACGCGCTGCTGGCCAACAATTGCACCTGCCCAGGCGCCAGCACACTGGTCACCCTGCTGTTGCACACATCACGCGGACAGTACGTATTTCAGCCATCATATCATTTATATATAACCTGTGTAATGCCCGGTCAACTGTTAATGGCCAGCAAACTAGAAAAAAACATTCACTCTTCATGCGTCAGCAGCTTTGCCGCCACGATGCGTCACAGTTCAGCGCCTCGCATGTGTCACCTGGCAATACGCATCAAATTCATGATGTCCCTACACTGGGTATTAAGGCTAACAAATGACTAAATTACCTAAACAACAGGACGCGCTACAACCAAGCCTTATAAATGACAATTTTCATTGCCAATACAAGTCAACTTGTTGAGCTTTCAGTCATAAACATAGAGAACGCATGAAGTATTACAATCTAGGCTACTTCATCACATTCGTAGTAAAGTAAAGCTTTAATGTGCTTCAGGCTCATACAAAGCTTAAGAACGTAAGGCTGTAATAGGTGAGAACAAGGGATTTATACAAATTCAGGCATCGTAATTTGCTGAAGATAAAGCAACAGACCTAATATAAAGCTTTAATGTGCTTTAAGCTCATGCATAGCTTAAGAACTTTAAGCTGTACTCAGTGAGAAAAAGAAATGTATAAAAATCCAGGTAACGTTATTGTGCTTCAGAGAGACCGACATAACTTAAAGCTTTAATGTGCCTTAAAGCTCCTATGAGTTAATATTATCAATTACTTTTTTTGTAGTATTTATTAGCAATAAGTGAGCTTTATTGCCTTAAGAATAAAGCACTCAACCTTAGTTAAAGCTTTCATTTGCTTTAAGAGCTTTACATTGAAATCTTTAAATTAGTATTTAATCAAGCTGAGTATTTTTGGCAAAATTATTGGAATCACTTAAAGTTCCAGAAGAATTTAATTTGAAGAGCATTTAAGCTCCAACGTTCATTCATTTATTTTTAACGTGTGGATACGAAATAGCACAAGGACGCATTTGTAAAAAGGAAATAAGCGAACGTCGCGTCAATTTGAAGTGCGAGTTTTAATTAAATTTAATGCGCAATTGTTTCTGACAGCAAAACTGTGTTTTATGCAAATTTTTCCGGTCGTCAAGTGCGTAAATTAAAAATAAAAATAAAAAGTAAATAAATGAGTGAAATGCTCGAGCGTTGTCTGCGGCTTCAATTTGAGACCGCGAGCAACACGCAAGCCAGATTAATCATACGCCGCGTAAAACTTGACGCATTTGTTAAGTAAAGAATTCTAATTAGGGTTTTTATCTACAGCGTGCGCGGTGGGCGTGACGGCGTAGTTGTTGCTTGACGAAGCTGTGAATTTCTTGAGGTCAGACAAGAATCTCAACAATTGAAACTCGAAACTTAATTCACCTTTTTGGCATAAAGATGTTAAACTTCTTTTATTTTATTATTATATTTTTTTTCCTTTGCTCTTCACAGGGAAGGCCAACAGTCGCCGGAGGAATGGCATCGTCTCTATGGCAAATGCTCGGGCAATGAAATTTATCATATTGTTCTCGGCGACAGTCGCTTCTTTGGAGAGTACGAGGGCAAAAGTTTTACCTATGCCAGCTTTCATTCGCATCGCAAGTAAGTGGAGATACTTCAAAATGCTTTTTAGTTAACAAAACTGCTTTGAATGAATAGCTTGACGTTTGAATGTTGGGATGATGGGCTGGGTGAGATGGTGGGCTGAAGGTTTGGGTGGGCGGGGCCCGGTAGCTATGCTGGATGGATGGATGGTTGGATGGATGGGCATAAATAAATGCCAACTTGCACGCCTCTCGTCTCATATTTATTTAGACGCCTCGGCCATTCAAATACAAATTTATGTAAAATGCCAAAATTGCTTTACATTTTCATATATATTTTCATATTTATTTATTTGCACGCACCAAAAATAATATTAATAATAATAAAAAGGTACGGTGTTGCTTTGGTGGGCGTGCGTCCGGCCGAGCTGCCCGAATTCTATGAGGATACCATACTGCTAAATCCAGGACCCAGGCACATTATGAAAAAGGATGACACGTGCTATTATATGAGCATTACCAAGGAGGAGAATTCGGCATTTGTCGTTAATCAAAATCAAACTACGGACACAACAACGGCAGCCAGCAAAGATGGTGGTGCCGCCGGAAGTGGTGCTGGCACCACCCATTCGCATACAGCAACTGGTGGGTACAATACAGCGTATGAATTGCATATGTGTGCGAGTGTGTGTGTGCGTGTGTGTATGTGCGTGTGTGTGTCTGTGTGTGTGTTGGTTGTCATCTTAAGAAATTATAAACTACAAAAACGAAACACACGTTTGAATGACTTTGAATGAAGCAAAAAATATATATGAAAAATATATCCATATATATTTATTTATATTTTTATTTTTTAGCAACAAATTTTTGCTCTTGATTTTCGAGGCTGCCATCCGTTGCGTTCGTATTCGGCTCTTGAAAAGTTTATAATTTACTTGTCTGTCCTCTAAGTTCTTTTATTTAATTTCTTTTTGTTGCGGTTGTCAATTTGTCTGAATTAAAAAATAAATATAAAAGTATAAGCTGAAACAAAACGCTTTAAATGTGTGTGCGCGTGCCCGTCTCTAATTAATAACATTTAATTTGTCTTGAAAGTTGACGATTTTATTTGTTCATTAATTAATTATCTTGTGCTGAAACTCGTTTCGAAGCTAACACAACAAAAATAGACTCAAAAAAAAAAAATTAATAAATAAACAAAACTCCACCGCTTTGATATGTTTGTACAATTTTTCTGGCTCTCTATGAACTTCTCTAACTTCTTTATTTATTTACAACTTTTCTTCTATAATTGCCTTTTGAGCTCTACTCAAATTCTGTTTTCTATAACGTTTCGGGTATAGAAAATTATTAATATACTTACACACATTACATAGAATAACCAGCTAAATATCAAAATCAAATTATTTGAAATTTAAATCAATTTCATAAAAGCATTTTCTCGCCAAAAAAGTTTTTGTTTTAAAAAAAATAAAGTAGTGTTAAAAGTAATGCTTAATTTTTGAATTGAAAACAATATAACTATTTAAATTAATTAAAAATTAAATATATATTTAAATTGATTCATTTTAAAAGCAGAAAAACCATCCCAAGTAAAATGTTTGAGAAAAAATAAATGGCCTTAATATGATTTAAATAAGTCTTAAAATTAAATAAAAAAATGAAAGAAAAATATCTAAAGTGCTTGATCAAATTTAAAGAATGCCAAATAATTATTTTAAAAAAAAAAACATTAAAATTGATTGGAAATGATTTTTAAAAACACATGAAATTTGTTTTTGATTTTTAGTTGATATAAAATATTTGAGAAATACAGTAAAAACAAAAACCTAATTATAGCAACGGGGTTAAATATTACTATAACTACGAAAACATATATGCATACATGCAGACACCCAAAGTCTAAATAGTCTAGACAAAAAGTTAATCTAGAACTAGAACTAAGCATATCATCAAATCAGATTTAACCAATTTCTTGACAACTCTGACAACTTTTGCTGAGTACTATAACTACTAAAAACCTGACACACTCACACATGCACGCACACTACCCACACACACACGCACACACACACACACACACACACAAATAACATTCCATATATTAATATACATATATAATATCATATCGTATAATGTATGTGTAGCCAATACAACAACATCAACAACAATACAATCAACAACTAAAACAACAACAACAAGAACAACAGCTACAACAATTAGCACGACTTTCACATCATCAACATTATTATCAGCATCAGCATCAACAACAACAACAGCAACCGCTTTGAATCAAGCGGCGATTGCACCAGTGCCGTCTGTTTGTGTTCGTGTGCCCCACAGTCCCACATACGACTCTGGCGCCGGCACGCCCATAACCGAGCGGCATCACTTGCAACCGTATCCGTATCCGCCACCGTCACCGTCACCGTCACCGTTATCGTTACCGTTACCGCCACCGTATCCGTATCCGCAAATGCAACAACAAACATGTGACAGTGATTATACAACACTATTTGTGCGTGAGTGTGACTCCAAAAAAAAAAAAAATACCATCCCACCAAAAAAAACTAAACCCCCCTCTCCACCTCAAAGAACTAAGGAATGAACCGAACAAACCCAACAATTTTTAACATTCAAAAAGATTTAAAAATGAAGCAAAACAAAAATCTAATCACCTTTTGCAACCTATGCAACTACCTTTAATAACATTACATAACAATACTCTCACTCTCTCTCTCTCTCTCTGTCTCTCTTTCGCTGTCTCTTACACCTTATATATTGCTCTCTCTCTCTTTCTTAATACCTATATATAACTGTTTTTTGTCTAGCATTTAAGTTTTGCTTACCTTTGCCTAGCGCCTGTAAATGCCTTTAGCCCAAAACGAAACTCGCCAACGTTAACCATTTCCGCTATTTGAAAGCCATTAGCGACAGGCAGCACAGCCCAACACACACACACACACACACACACACCCACACCCACACATACATACACACACCTTGCCAATACAGATCCGGTCTAGCAATTTTTGTTACTTCCGCGTTGCTATTTTTGTCTTTTGCTTCATTTTGCTTTTTGCACTTGTTGTTCTTTTCGACGTATTTTATCGCATGTCTCATATTGCAACCCGTTCATCGTGTTTTTTTTATTTATTTTTTATTATGACTCTTTATTCTGTTGCACCTTTATTGATAGTTGATATTGTCTCGCTCCCGTTGTCCCGCTGCTCCCCTGTCAATTGTAAATTATACGCAACGCGCACGCAACAATTTGTTGCCCACGTCGCGTATACGCAACGTTGTGCGCTGTGACAGCAACTGTTGCGTGTTGCTTATGGCCAGCCCACGAAATGAATGTGGTTGCTGTCGCCTTTCGTACTAATTAAAGCGTAACAAGCGTCAACAAATGAGGCAGAGTCATTAGGCCAGCCAAGAACTTGTGTCTGGGCTTTTCTGTGAACAAACGTAATTAAGTTCCAACTACAAACGTTAACTGAAAGTCAATATTTTTGGCCAAAACTTGCAGCGTTCAAGGCTCGAATGACACTAGCTGAAATTGGAAGATCATACGAAACTGTGTCAATTAATTATTCAGTGCCAAAGTTAGTAAGGCTTTCAAACAGTTTCGCAGTCCGTCTGTTAAAAAAACTAAAAGCAACAATATAAGAACATATTTCTGACTTAAAGCTTTTCCAAGTGATTAATTTAATACAATTATCGCTTCTTAAATAATCCTATTTGATATTTGCATAGCCTTGCGAGTTTTTCTTACTTTAATAGCTTTAAAAGTACATAAAAGCTTTAAGCTTGATTTCTTGCTGGTTCTGAATGCAACCAAACTCAATTTAAGCTCATTATACTGGGTACACATTACAACTCTTCATTTTTGACTGAACTTTTTCTAGTGTGTGTAGAAAAAGCTTTTTAAAAGCACTGAGAATCTTAAAGCTAAACCTAAATACTTCATTTAAACTCACATTTACGCACATAAAAATAACAAAATTTTACATTTTAAAAAATATTTAAATAAATGCTTTCAAAGAGAAAAATATAAATAAGTACATTTTCCATGTTTTCCATTTACTGCATATTAAAATAGAGCTTAAAAATTGACAACAGCTTTAAAAATGATCCGTTGTGGGCTGTAAATATATTAAAACACTTTTTTTAATTCTCTTATTAGCTACAGATTCCCTTTATTTTGTTAAACTTAATGTTACTCCTGAAAATATTTAAAAGCTAATTAAAGCTGTGCTGCATATTTGCTGTAGGCACTTAAAAGCTCTATTTGAAGTTGAAGCTCATTGAAATAGCTTTGAATTATATTCTCTTAGATTAATCCAATATTTGGCACCCAATTTAGCCTAATGTCATTGGCTGAGTAAGCGAACGTCCGATGTTTCTGTTAACCACTTGGCAATACGCAACTTTGGCAGCTGCACAGTTTTTGGTCTTGAATTGCAAGGACTTTTAATGAGTTGGACAGGTTTTCTTCTTTTGCACGTCGTATTCTATCTCTCTCTCTTTTCTTCCTTCTCTTTTTTCGCTATCTACTTGTGCGTCATTCTGCTTTTTATACTCAAGTTGTTTGTTGTTTGGCTAAACTATTAGTAAATTTTCGTGTAAAGCAAGCGAAACTTTGTTCAAGTAGCGTTAAATTTTGTGCTTAATTCCTTGCGTTAATGCACTGCGGTCAAATTGAGCGCACCGAAACACTGAAAGAAATTTGTACAACTTTGTTGCATTTACTTTTCACAACATCTTTAGCCTGCGACAACCCAACGGCTGTGATAATATCGGACTCGAGGCAAAATCTAAAGGACACAACTGTCAGCACAACCCAAATGCCGACGGCGGCAACAACAACGACCACAATAACAACAACAACGCTGCCGCTGACAATGGGCGGGTCGGCAGCTGGCAGCAGTGGGGCAGGCGCTCAGCCGGGCTCCAGCGGCAGCGGGGGCCTCGGCGTGGGTCTCAACATGGGCACCTCGCTGAGCATAACACCTGCCACGCTGACCACCACGGGCAATCATCTGGACGTGCCCTATGCCAACAATCCCAATCTGCTCAGTCCCGATGTGCTCAATCAGCGTAGAGGTAAGCAAATAGCCAGAAGTTGTATTCCATTTTATTCGAACTAACCCTTAATCCGCAAACAGGCAGTCGCAGACCCTCCATATTGCCTGTGCCGGATATGTTCACCTCCTCCTCGTTTAGCATAGCCGGCAACGATGATGGCGAGGAGGGCGACGAGAGCGACGACGAGATTGACGATGAAATGCCCTGGCGTTCGCCCTCTGAGAAAATTGCGTAAGTCCATAATTTGTTATCTGACTTTGTTTTTCTTTTCTTTTCTTTTTTTTTTGATTAACCAATTGATAACTGAGGCACTTTTTCCCCCCTGTATTGATATCAACTAATATGCATAACTGTATTGTGTACACCCCCTGAAAAATATTCTAAAGAGCAATGAAAACTCTCAAATTACACAGCCAACAACTAGATTAATCTCTATCTGTATTCACTCTGATTGTACCTATAACTGTGATGTATATAAGAACTTAACCTTTAAAGTCTAGTATTTGTATGTATATAGTTGGACTAAGCGATATTTTCACCATTCCAACTCTGTAATCAAGTAAAGTGATGCCATATCATCATCACATCAAATGCGGTCTATCGATTTGTTGTACCTTTAGAATTATCGATCATAAATGAGTGCAAAAACAAAAAAGTTGCTTCAACTTTCAATCGATCATTAAAACTCTCCAATATGATCACTATTAACATTATCGATATTACCAACAACATTTAATGATACTGATCATTTTATCACTGCCTCTTGTATCAATTATATAATTATATTCCATTAAATATAGTTAAACCTTATTTCAAAATCTTTTCTAGTTAATAATTTGTTAAGAATGCTGAAAATATCGCTTTGATCTATCCCCTTGTATATGTATGTTTATGATATATGTCGTATTAGCTGTAATGACCCCCTTCACACCCCCCCCCCCCCCACCCCTCCGCGAGCACTCACACAATCCCCTTAGCTTAGCCTAGACCCCTTTTGCTCAAGTGAAACGCTGAAAAACTTACACTCCAAGAACTCTCGCAGTTGCTTGGGCGGGCACTTTCCACAATCGCGCACCTATTCGCTCATCAAGAGCTCCTCGGAGGACTCCTATCCGCGGGGCAGCGTTGGTGGCGCCAACTGCGCCTATTGCAATGCCAATGCTGCGGCAGGGCCGCCGCCAATCGAATGGTCCGCACCGCTGCGCCGGCGCGCCATGAAGAAGAGCTACAGCTGCGACAGCGAGTGCGCCCTGCCGCCCAGTCAGCGGCTGGGCCTGGGCCTGGGCCTGGGCGGTGGCGCGCTGGCGGTGCTAGCGGCACGACGCCGTCAGCTGCAGCGCTGCTGCTGCAGTTGCTCGCACGACAGCAGCAGCAGCACCACCAACACCACCACAACGGCTGCCGCAGCGGCCCAGTTGGCGCTCAGCACACAAATGTGCACCGCTGGCGGTCAGCCGCCGCCGCCGCCGCCGCCGCCCCTGCCGCCGGCCCTTACATTCACGTCAAGCAGCTCCGTTGAGACGCGGCGTTTGACGCGTCCGGTTTGGGCGTCCGACTATTCCGGGTAAGTTGCCGCATTTGAGGCGCCTCTGCGGGGCACACACAACCAGCTCGTGCTGCCATTTTGGAATGTTCCATTGTTGAAGAGTTCTTATCGTTGCTGTTGCAGTTGTTGCTATTGTTGTTGTTGCTGCTGCCGCTGCTTATGCAATGTTTTGTTTGGCTGCCACAGTCGCTAGTTGCCTGCCGCGAGGCATTTTTTAATGACTTGCAACGTTTACCTTGGACGCGGCGCGTAACCACTTCAGAATTGCTGATGTTGCTCTACGACGCTTTTAGTCTTGTCTAAAACATACCCTGCAAATCTGAGTTTACGGCGAAGGGCATGACACATGCCTTTTTCCTATCGAACGGGGGTTGGTTTATTTCCAAAGTTAATGAAACTAAAATTAAAAATTAAAAAAGAAATAGAATGAATTAAAATTTCAGATAAATATATATATATATAGGAATATTTCACAACTGTGATTTAGTCTTATTTCGTTACTTTGGCTATTTATTTGTATATATTTATATTTTTCAAATATATTTCTGTACTCTTCATAGAGACGTCTTTCCATTTGTATTAGTCTGCTATTCCCCATTGCAGATAGGGTGTACAAAGGAATATAATGTTTCAAATAATATTTAGGCTATGTCTGCCAGAGCAAAAATGTACTCTCAAATGTATTCGCAGCAATCTTCAATGTATTCCTTTCAAGACAATATAATAATATCGCAGTATTTATCAAATTAAGCTATTGACAGATTTTGTTAACATTTCTCAACAAATTTAGAATTTTTCATAACTTGAATAAAATCTTAAAGAAATTGCACGGCAATTAAAGACGGGAACCATCGATGTAATTGAAATTAGTTTTCAGTTTGTTTTCGGTAAAAAAGTGCTCACAATTATGTCTTCACAGTAAAATTACGGCAAATTAATTCATCAAATAAATTAATAACCAAAAAAAATGTATTAATTATTTTAAAAACATTCTACAAAAAGGCATATCAAATCTTGTGAACATAATACAGTGACCCCTCGCTCAACGCAAGCCATTAATATTGGGTCAATTGCGAATTGTTAGGTTTTAATGAGATTCATAATGAGCAAGATTCATGCTTTTAATTAGTGATGCCTTTTGCTTTCTTGGGGTGTAAATCGAAGAACTTTGTATTTGGCGTGCAAAATTTATTTTATTCAATTAATAAATGCATGAAATGAAAAAATTAGGTTTAGCAGAATGCAAATGAATACCAAATTTATATTTTTCGAAAGAGGCGAATTAACAAACTAAAACAAACTAATTACAAATAATCGGCCATAACCTACTTGGCATTTTTAATGTTATTTATTATATTTTACATTATATTACTACAAGTAAGGAATTCGGGTGTTGCGTTAAACGAGGGCGTACTGTATTATTTTATTTTACTCGATAAGATCTCGAAAGTATAGACTTTCTTTAACATTATAAGCAGCGCATTTTGTGTCCACTTTTTTTTTACAGCGTATGACATAGTCGTTCCTTTCGACTATTTTACCAGCCCAACTTTGATTGTGCTTTGTTGTTGTTGTTGTTTCTGCTTTTGGCTGAGCATCCTTTTTGGTTTTGTTTGCTTTTGCCCTGAGTTGCATTTTGTCGTTTGCATTCATACAAAAAGTTGTCGCTTCATGTTGTTGTTTATCCTCTTGTTGTTTTCGTTGTTCTTGTTGTTGTTCATTTAGAGTGTTGCCTCCACGACCACAAAGCTCCAATGTTTTAGCTGTGTGCAATTAAGCATTGTGGTGGGCATCGAAGTGGGCGGGTCTCAGGTTCAATTTAACCAAGTTGAAGCCATTGGCAGCAGCTGTGCGTTAAGCCAGCTGAAAATGCTCCTCCACGTTAATTGCATGCTAAGAACCTAAGAGAAACTTTGTAAAAATCACATTTTCAAAAACAAGCGACAACCCTGTAGCTACATTCCTGTAGATAAAAGACACATTTAAGACTTAAGCCACAAGTTTTTCGATGTTACCCAAAAATTAAAGCATTCTGTGTGTTAAATACTAAGTCGCCTGTTCCTTAAGCTCATTTCCCGCACTTGACATTTGGCTAACCGTACTAAACGCTTTTCCTTACCTAATTTTTTTGTTGCTTAACACCAAATTTATGAACATCCAATCATTTGAGCTCATTTTCACAATTGCAATGCTCACATTTTGTGCATTCCAGCATTGTCAAGGGTTTTCCGCCAGTTTCACCTTTCATTGGTGTCAGTCCGACGCTTTGCTACCTGCTCAAAGAGAAGAAGCCGCTCTGCTGCCTCCAGCTGGCCCAGGTGAGTGACAGTCCCCGAAGGCCACGCTCATTGAACCAACTGGATGCACTTTCTGATATTCTTTTGGACAGGTCTGTGAGCACTGCAGCTATCGCAATGCCAAGGAGTATCAGTGGCAGAACAAGACCATCATTCTGGCCGCGGACTATGCCTCGAATGGCATCTATAACTTCATCATACCGCTGCGTGCTCATTTCCGGTCCAAGACCTCGCTGAATCCCATTATTTTGCTGCTGGAGCGTCGACCAGATGTCGCTTTTCTCGATGCGCTCTCCTACTTTCCACTGGTTAGCCAAATGTGAACGCTTTAATGCTCTCTACTTATTCCAATGTTATTGCAGGTATATTGGATGCTCGGTTCCATTGACTGTCTGGATGATCTGCTGCGTGCTGGCATTACGCTCGCCGAGAGTGTTGTTGTGGTCAACAAGGAGCTATCCAATTCAGCCGAGGAGGATTCACTCTCCGACTGCAACACAATTGTCGCTGTGCAGAATATGTTCAAGTAAGTGAGAAAGTACTCAAGAATTGAAATAAGCTCTCAACAAAGCTGTTTGATAGAGAAACCCCTTACCCAGGTATCTACTTAATTAGCTAGAGAAGTTCAAAGCATTGTCAAACTTGATCTACCTTTACGAGCTTTAAGCTTTAAGTTTGCTCAATTGCAATCACTTAATAAATCCAATTTACCTTTAAGCTTTCTGTAGCAGCTTTTCGAGAGCTTAAAGCTTAAGTCAAAACCAATAATTAAATATAGTAGTAAGCTTTAAAAAAAATTAAAGCAGAATATTGTCAAGCATAAAAAATTTTGCTTTCAGCTTTTAGCGAGCTTTTTGGCTAATTAAACTTTAAGCAGGAAATTAAGACTTTAATCAAGTAGTTAAATTTGTGCTTTCGTTCAAGGTTAAGTCTATTAACTAATAAAACTTTTCGGAGAAAAATGAGCTTGCATTCAATTTTTTAGTCTAGTCCATCTGAAAGCTTGGCAATGTTTATTAAGAGTAAGCACAGTCGAGCTTTAAGTAATCTATTATACGTGGAGTATAGGTTTTATGAGCTTCCCATTTATTGCGTCAAACAAAAATATTTTTCTCATAGTTAGCAATTAAAGAAAGTATTTCTAAAGAGAAAAATATTGTTTATCTATCTTTCAACGAAACCAAAATTCTTTCTCAACCTCTATTTCTTCCTCTCCCTCTCTCTTTCTCCATTCGTTTCTCTTCCATGTTCGCACATACCACAGATTCTTTCCGAGCATCAAGAGCATCACCGAGTTGTCGCAGAGTTCGAATATGCGCTTCATGCAGTTCCGGGCACACGACAAATACGCCCTGCATCTGAGCAAAATGGAAAAGGTCGGTAACATGGGGCCCGTCGCGGTGTATTCGCTGCAGTTGTCATTGGTTAATTTGTCGCTCACTTAATTGCAGCGCGAGAAGGAGCGCGGTTCGCACATCTCCTACATGTTTCGGCTGCCCTTTGCCGCTGGCGCCGTCTTCAGTGCCTCCATGCTGGACACGCTGCTCTACCAGGCCTTTGTCAAGGATTATGTGATTACCTTTGTGCGCCTGCTGCTGGGCATAGATCAGGCGCCTGGCAGCGGTTTTCTCACCTCGGTAGGTGCCACTTGACAGCAACTGTTAGCTAGCTTACTCTCTCTCTCTCTCTCTCTCTCTCTATCTAACTCCCTGACAGATGCGCATTACCAAGGATGATATGTGGATACGCACGTATGGGCGCTTGTATCAGAAACTCTGCTCGACCACCTGCGAAATACCGATTGGTATTTATCGCACACAGGATACCTCAAATGCGGATACTTCACATGTGAGTAACTCGCCGGTCGAAAGATGGGGACCCTTCTCCGCCTTCAGCAGGCATTGTGTGCGCTTGCGTCCATCGGTGAGTCCAAAACAAATGCAGCCAAAAACAAAAAAAAAAAAAAGAAACAAAAATAAGAAAAAACCGCTTAAAACAAAAGGTTTACTTTCGACTTTTGGGCCCTTCACACAATAATTAAAAAAAAAGTCTACTTAGCCAATCAATTGGCCGCACAAACTAACAAAAGAGAATTTCGCCTTTAACTTCTGTTCATCTCACTTACACGTAATACACACACACACACACACAGCCTGTCTCTATTTCTCTGTCTGTCTCGAATTCTCTGTCTCTTGCTCACATAAATTTCGATTGATTTCGATTAGTTATCGAAATTCGTTTCAAATTAGGAACACACACAACAAAAAAATTAAAGAAATTTATTTACAATAATTTAAGTTAGCCTTTAAATGATTGCTTTTTTAAATAATTTTTTAGCGGTCATAACATTTGTTCTTACTTTCGTATTTATTTATTTTAGTTTGTTGTTCATTGTTTTTAAAATCACACGCTTACGCTTCGATACTAACTGCATTTAAGACGAGTCCACGCCAATTTTCCTAAAAAAAAAAAAAAAAACAAATATATAAAAAATAAAAACTTCATTTGCATATTTTACTCAATATATATAAACTACTTATAAGTACTCGTATATTATATACTCTACTACTCCAAGCTACTCAATATAACAAACTCTCTTTTCTCAATTATTACTTGAACTTGAAGAGCTACAGATTTTACGAGATTTCTTCAATTAACGTAACTTTTACTTGCTTACAAAAATCTAGAATTTTTAAGTCCCTTACCCCCCCAAAAAAAAAAAGCATAGCGTGCTGATTTAGTCTAAATTGTATAAGTTTCCCAATTAATTTTGTACATATCTTACCAAAAAAACAAAAAAGGACGAGACTTTCGTAGTTGATTTTATACTTTTATATTTTATTCAATGGCCAGTCGAAGGTTGAAATTTCCACTCGCTCCTGCTCCCTCACATACTTAGCTCATTTTTGCCTAATTCGCTCTCGTATATAATAAACACACACATTAGCTAACAATATGATTGATACGCGCTCCCCTCCCGCTTCCCAAAAATTGATTTTGTGTGAGCAAAAAAAAAAGTACTATAAGAAAAATTACGCATACGACCCATTAACATTTGTCTAAATGTTGAAAAGAAAATAAACTAATTGATTTGCGTTTGTATTGGACTTGACCAGCTATTGAAAAAAACGCACACGCACGCAGTGAGTCATATTATTTAATAGACTAGTCAAAAAAAAAGGAACTTTTAAAAAAAATAACTAACAAAAAATAAACAAAAATACCAAAAATTAAAAATAAAATACATTTCTCATGCAACTTTCACTATTAACTGCCTGCCTCATAAGCCCTTGAATTGCTCAGGCCATTCTTGTGCTTGTTGTGATTGTGTGTGTGCTTATGTTTGTGTGTGTTTGTGTGTGTGTGTGTTGCTGTTTAGTATAGTTAGTTAGGTTTTCGCTTGCATGACTCCGTACTTATTTCTTGTTGTTCTGTTTTGTTTAGTTTTCATGTTTTTTTTTTTTACTTGCATGCAGGCCTTTAATTAGCTGATTGCATTTGCTTGTTGTGCGTCCTGCACCACAGGGCAATAGCTGGCCACAAAAAAAAGCAGTATCAATAGGCGTATCCACACGCCACAGACAACCACCTGCATTCCCCAACCATCCATCCAACCACACATCGCCCTGTTGCCTGAGCTCTGCTGCGTTCTCTTTTTTTTTTTACTCTTGCTTTAGGTATTTAGATTTGTTTGTGACATGTATAAATATTTCAAAAATACAAATTCGTTTTTATGGGTTAAACGTAGTCGTTGCAAAACTATCGATTATAATATACTTGTTATCGATAGGCTTAGAAATAAATGTTTGTGGTATAAAATGATTACTAAACATAACTGAGCTATTTGTTGCTGTTTATCGACTTGTCTATTATCGATTCATCGAATTTATCGTTTATTTGTGTATCGATTTCGTCAGCTATCGATTAACAAAATGATGCAGCACTTTTGTATATTTTAAAGCCCTTGTCATATTACTCCGTCTGTCTGTAAGTTTCCCTTTTAGAAATTGATCCTTACTAAACAACAGGATAAGCTACTCCTTTTATATATTTTAGTTAGTTTAGTTTGCTATTTTCCCATTTGTGTGAGGGTATTTAAACTGTGTGACCTTTATTTAAAATGTGTAATGTTTTCATTTGCAATGCCTCCCAAACTTTGTTGCTCATTGAAAAAATACCGTGGCTGATTCGAAGAAAATCGATTCAAATTAACTAAGCGAAAACTTCGTTTACAAAATTGCGCTGCATAGCACGAAACTCTGCTCCATTTAGTACTTTAGCTGCAATTTCAATTACCTTTAAAAGTTTTTAGTTGCCAATATCAAAAATTAACATGCGCTTTGCAAGCACCTTTTGAAATATAGTTTTTCATTTTCTGTGCTTTTTCAATTAATTTAATTTTGTTTCATTCAATATGTGAGCTAAATACAAAACGTAAAATAAAATTAATTTAAAACATGTTTTGGCTTTTAGTTATAAACCTTTTTATCCGGCATGACTTACAACACATTAAATGTTAACTTGGCCATATACACACAAAAATATATATATATATATATTTATACAAAAAAGATAACATCGTTTACATTAAATGAGCATAAAGCCCGAAACAAACAATATACCATCAGCCATGTATAAAATTGAGCAATCTGCCATTTCAATTAAAAATCAATTAAATATGTAAATCATTTTGTGTTTAACCAAAATTCACTGAAATTTGCATACAAACCATCCCGACCATCCGACCCCAAATGTGCACAGTATGATGAGGAAACCGGCACGCCCGATTCCACCAAGGATAGCACGGAAATGCTGCGAGGTGTTACCTATCGTCCGCCCTCATCTGGCGGTGGCGTCGGTGGTGGTCCAGCTGCTGGTCCAGCTGGTGCTGGTGGTGCTGGTGGTGGCTCGGCCAGTTACCGTCCGCGCCAGAAGTCGGTCAACTGTCTGGGCGGCTGTTCGGAGCGTAAGGGATCATCCGTAAGTATCTCACATACACGAAACAACACATAACAATTGTAGGCGTGGTCGCCCGCCCATCGAGGTAGGTGACTTTTGGTTTTTAGGGAAATTATGTTTTAGTTTTTGTTTGGCTTGAACGCTTTGACGCATGCTGTTGCAAATGGATGCCCGAAAATAAGTGCATCTGCGAGATCGTTTCATTAGTTGCGCACAAAATAAGTACATCAACGCGTTAGTGTCATTAATTTCACACACACACACACATTAACAAAGATACATTTGAGTGTAAATAACATATCCTTAGGCACTGTGGAGCTCATTTGGAACTAATTGTGGTTTTCGGACATCATCTCTTGCAGTACTCCATTAATTTGGCGGACGAGGCGCGCGATAATCACGCCCAGCAGATCGAAAGAGCCGAAATTGCCAATCTGGTGCGCAGTCGCATGGAATCACTGAATCTACCGACCATTGACTATGATGATGTCAGCGAGAAGCGCAACCATCTGTCCTATGTGATAATCAATCCAAGCTGTGATCTTAAGCTGGAGGAGGGCGATCTGATGTGAGTACATTCGGTTACTATACCAGACTATATCCTTTGAGACAGCAGATAAAGATAAGTGAAATTTATTTTTACGTCGAGCCTAGATAGATTGTTTACTTACAATTTGAAAAATTTCAAAGAATCTTTTGCCAAACTGTTTCAGAATTACTTCCCAGAAAGTATTTAGATGAAATCGATTAATTTGTAAAATTTTTGTCCCATTAATGTTGCATATAGAAGTTTAATATAATATTGTCCAAGCCTGCAAATTGGGCTTAAACCAACTCGATTTTCTATGAACTAAATCTTTAAAATAACAGCCGAGCATTATACTGAACTATATTATCTAAAATTTGCTTAGTTCAAAACGGTTTTAATATATATACATATATTCTAAAATATTTATAAATTTGTAAGTTTAAAGTGCTTCAAATATAAGGTATAAATAAAATTTGATTAATTTCGATAATTAAATATATTTAAATGGAATAGATTTTATTTTAATTAAATTGAACTGATTTGAAAGTTTGATCAATATTTCAATTTGTAAGTTTAAAGTGCTTCAAATATAAGGTATAAATAAAATTTGATTAATTTCGATAATTAAATATATTTAAATGGAATAGATTTTATTTTAATTAAATTGAACTGATTTGAAAGTTTGATCAATATTTCAAGGTCCGAACCAGAATAAAGATTCTAGATATGTGAGATATCTGGGTCAAAATTAAGCCTTAGAGTGTGTAAATCATTCGAATCTTGAACCGATGTATGTATATATTTTGTTGGTACGGTTCAAAAGTTATTCATTATTAAAGAAATGTTTCAAATGAAGCTCAGAGACACATGTATTTGTTAAAATACTAAACTCGAAAAGCAAAAATGGTTCGAAATTGATAAAATGTAAATATATAAAAAGCAGATTACATTTTTTCTAGATATTTTTTATAGATTTGTTTTAGAGGCGAGTTCAACTATATTCAAAACGAGGCAAAATGTAGTTATAGTTATCAAAGTGAAATATTTGTTGTCTCTATAAGTAATTAATTTTTTTTTACAAATCTTATATTATTAGTTTACAATGTTTTAATTGAAAAATAATGTGCTTCCGTTCTGTTTATTCAATTCACAGCTATTTGGTGCGCCCGTCGCCGTTTTCGGCGCAAAAGACATTCGAGCGACATAATTCGCGCCGCAAATCGAACATTTCGTTCTGTTCGAATATCAATTTGGGCGCCACATGCGGCCAACAAATGCCAAATATGCCCAACACCGCCGTCGGAGCTGGTTCGCGCCGCGGCTCCGGCATCGCCGGTTTGAACCCCATGCAAATGCAGAGCGTTCAGACATTGGCCGGGTATGGATCCTCGCAGCGCTGTACGCCCCCGATGCAGCAAATTAAATCGAATTCTCTTTCTCTACCCGACAGTCCGACGGTGGTTGGCTCACAGCGCGGCAGGAGTAACTCATTGCGGGTTGGCTATTATTCTCTATCCCCCCTCTCTCTCTCTCCCTCTCTTTCTCTCTCTCTCTCTCTCTCTCTATGTATCACTCACTCACTCTCTCCCACTCTCTATATACCTTTATTACACGATTTCCGCTTTCCCGTTTACGTTCACGTTTATCGACACTTCCCATTTGTGTTCACTACTGTACCAAATCTAAGCCGATAACTGTGCATTTATTTGGCCATCGACAGAGTTGCCATTCACATTTGAATGTTTAGCATGCCGGGGGCAACTCTGTAGCTGAATAAATACACAGCTAACGGCAGCTATACAAATTTCCATGTTCTTGATTTTCATACCTTTGCAGAAACTTTTGGAGGTAAAAATTGGATAAAATTCATATAATTTAAACGGTTATAAAATTGATCAATTTGTAAATGATCTTGGTTCCAAGAAATTTCCGAAATTAAATTGGTTAAATGAAAAAGTAGTAGCAATTCGCAAGATTACGTTTGGACTATAAAATTTAAAAACTCAATCTCAAAATGTATCCCTAAAAATTATTCTATGTCTTAGAAAGTTTTGATATAAGAAAGCGAACTTGGACGGGCTTAACTTTTTCGGGTCATAAATTATTTGCTTACAGATTAAATGGGGTTTTCTTTTTATGACATCAGAGGTCAGTAAATTATAGAATTTGTATGTTTTTTACTCTAATTATATAAATTTAATTTATTTTTATGCCTTTATTATAAAGGTAGAGTTCTGAAAATTTATATAAATTCTAAAAATGTATTTAATAAGCTATGGCTTCTTATAGGGAATTCGATCCAGTATGCAAGGGATACTGGAAAAATTAAACATGTATATTTCTATATATTTGTAGTATATCCGACAACAACAGCTTAAATGATCTATTTTTAATAGTTCTGCAAAGGTATTAATAGCTTCGGTGCACCAAAATTTCACTTTCTTTGCTGTTCTAATTACCAATTGGCTAACATAACACTTAAGACTTGGGCATACTAATTGCCGCACAGTTGTTGGATGAAGAAGCACATTGTCACACACACACACACACACACACAAAAACATCCATGTAGAGCATCAAAATTTGGTTGCATTTCCGTTTTGAGAGAATCGCAAATCCATTTAACGAAATTGACGCGTTTCAAAAGCCGCAGCACTCAACAGCCGCAACAACAACAACAACCAGACCAACAACAACAAGAACTATCAACAACAACAAGAACAACAACAACTATCTACAACCAGTTCAGCAACCATTCATAACCATAACGCACGCACGCAACGGATAAATCCGCATCACGTTTCCGTTTCCGTTTCCGTTACCGTTACCGTTACTCGTGTTGGCTGCACCCACCAAAAATAAATGGATAAAAGAATAATAACAATAGGAATAATATAAAGCAAATAATTATTTAAGCAAATCATCAAGAGTGCGGCACGGACTTGAGTTCAATGTGTTCGATATGTGTGTGTGCCTTTGCCTTTGGGCCAAAAAACATGCCTTGTAGCCAATTTGTATTATATGTGTGTGTGTTTATTTTGTTTGGGCCAACATTTTATTCCGTTCCATTCCGTTTGCTCAACAAATTTGCCCGCTAATCTCGGCCAATTTTGGTTGGAAATTTCCTTCTTTTTTTTTTTACTTGCAGATCGATAATGACATACTGCTGCGTCGCTCCTCGTCGCTGCGCCAGGGCTTGCCCAGCGTGGGCGTCAGCCATGGCCGGCGCAAGTCGTCGCTGGAGGAGATCGGCATCAGCCATTTCACGACGCTGATGCAGGCAACGAATCACAGCAATCCCATCAAGATATCGCTCAACGGCAGCATCGGCATGGAGGTAAGCGAAACACTGGCAAGCACTTTAACAAATGTCAAAAATCTCAACTCTCGCACAGAATCAGATCTCGTTGCAGGTGACGCCGCCGGAGGAGCCGACACCCATGTTGGGCGTGCCCTGCGTTTTGGGCGGCGGCGGCGTGGGTGGCATTAATCCCTCAGCGCTTGGGGGCAGCGCTGGCGGCGGCGGCAGCGGCGGCATGCTGGGCGCCAGCTCATCGCTGGCCATAAATACGGCAGATCTGGGACCCGGACCGAGCACCTCATCGGGCGCCTCGCTGCAGGCGCAGGACTCGCTGCCGCAGTCGTCGCAGGCGCCGTCGCCGCAGCATCTGCAGGGCACGATTGTATGATACAACCTGATGTGGGGTCGTCGACTCCGCTCCTCGATGTCCAAGAACAAATGGATATAGAATACGGCCAGCACACACAGACGTAGAGATAAGTTCTAGCGGCAGCAGCTTATCAAGTCAAGCTGCTAACCCAAAACCAAATCCAAAACTATTTACATAAACGAATTAGAGATGATTGCGTGCCGATATTTCGTGACACGACGGCACATGAACACGCATCGATATTATTTTTCAAACGCACGCGATGTAAGTTTTTCTTTTCGTTTATTTACACAAATATTTTTTTATTGCCTTCATTGCTATCGATATTATAATAGCCACAACCGACACTATTACCACTATAGCAATTATTATAAAATTCAGAATCATATTACAAATATCATTTTAAGTTTAGATTTCAAGCTAACAGTTTAACATAAATTTCGACGGGTTCTGTGACCTTCCTCTAAAACATCCCAAGAGTCATTGCGACTTTCTGAATCTTAAACTCCGAATTTAATTTATTAACTGTCATGCCCTTTATTTACCTTCTTCAACGAAATTTCAATGGGACAACCAAACTTCTAGAAACATTTTTCAAGCACTTCAAGAGATCCCCAATTATTACCATACAAACTTAACTTAACTTTAGTAAATTCCACAAATAATTTATTTATATACAAACAAATATTGGTTTAATATTTTCACTTCGTTTTCTTGCTCTTTTCCGGTTCTTATATTTTTCTGCACTTCTTTTACTATTCTCTTCCTCTTTTTTTTTTTATCAGAAAACAAATCAATTTATAATATTGAAATAATAATTATCGAATATCGTGTCACGAATGTATCGTATCACTTGCTCGTCTCTAACTATTATGATCTAAGAACCCAACCCACCCAAAAGCAGCCTGTCAGTGTCTGTGGTGTGTGTGAGTATCTCGCAGCTAATGCATTAATTCTAGTATAGCCTATAGAGGCAAATCCGCGACCCGCGACCCGCCCCCTCTAATTTGCCCGGATATTGGGAGACGGATGTGTTTATCGTTTTGCTTATAGCTATACCTAAGTATATGAGTAGCAATAAATTATATTCAAAATTCGGTATGCTTTATTCAAATGAGGCAAAATGTGTTTTTGGGAACAACAAAGTAGTTAAACTATATTGGCATGAATGGAGGTATCTACCACTTTAGCTGTAAATAGGATCGTGCGGAAATGTGTGTTAGTTTAGATCTAGGCCATAAGAAAAAGAAAATAAACAAAAATCGATTCATTTCTAGCATATCTCTCTCTAATGAAAATTAGTTGCCCCAAAACAAGAGGCTCAAAAATAAAATATAAAAATTTAAAACAGCTTTTTAGTCGACAGGAAATATTGTATATACGATAGTCTTAAGTGCTAGATGTAGGAAAGTTTTTCTTGATTTCATTCCAAAATAGTTCTGCAATATTCATAGACAGTTCGCACACAGCTACTTCCTTAGGTTTCATATTTTGCACAATTCTCACTCGGATAGTTTACCCAACAGATAATATTTTACTATAAGAAAGGTGCTATCAATGTTTTGTACCAGACACTTACGCAAATTTCTTTCACATCTTTTGTAAAACCCAAAAACAGAACGGTTTTCAGAACATAAAAATTCGAAAGAAAGGGCTTTGGTATACTCTAATGCTTTACAATACATAACAAGAAAAAAAAGTTTAAAAACGAAACGAACAAAAAACTATGCTATGTTGTAGTTGTTGTATATATTAGTCTTAAGATGGAACTGCATAAAAACTATTAGAACTAAAACGCAAAACAACAGAAATTAGTTGTAGATATAATGTCTATGATGATTATATATATACTATATAGTCGATAAATAACTAGTTCGGTTTGAGGGCCGTGCTCAAAGCCTAAGCCTATAGCTAATAACGAAACTGTACCAAATTCAATGAGCTATACACATTCAAAGTATCACTCACATATGCATAGATATATTAGATATATATACATATATATATAGAAGGAGCACCCACTTCCTGTATATACATATATATATATATATATATAGTTGATCCAGTCGGTTGGCACCTCTGAAAGCCCAGTCACGTCCCAGCAACGAGGAAATTTATTAATTAGCCTATAGCTAAAGCATACGATGTACCTACTACGACCACACGCACATATACATACAGAAACACATACATACACATATATACATACATATATATATCTAGAGCACAGACAGTTTTATACTAAGTGAATTTTACTCGGTTCAGTTCGAAATGCTGAACTTAAACATGATATATGCATTCCAGTGTCTCGAAAACCTATGCGACATGCGCGCTTGGATATTAACTAAGCCTAAGCCTAGCACACCCCACAAAAACATATAGTATCTATATAAATATATATATATATATATTTAGATCTAGGTAATCTTTAGCAGTCACCAAATTAGCAACTAGTAAATGTCTCAATGTACAAAAAGCAAAAATGGCCATGCCTACAATTAGTTATCAAAGAACCACAAGGAAAAACAACTAAAAAAACAACAACAACAACAACTAAAAACCAAATGTACTTACTATATTTAACTGATTTGAATGCTACGCATAGAGCATATTCAAGTTTAGATTATAAAACTTTGCTGTAATATTTAACTGTGCTCTTTAAGGCACTCGACAAACATGACATTGAAACTCACAATAAATTCAAAAATATATAGTTGATAAAAACTGAACAAAACCGAAAGAACTTCGGTGTCCTTCATCCGCAAATGTTTTAGTGGCAAACGTGTTACTATAAAGAACTTTTCATTTTTAACTAATCCTTTTAAAAGTTTACTTAGTTCGTCATTTTATTTTTTTGAGAAACACAAATTTTTATCAATTATAATTGTAATATCAGCTTAAAAACACAATACAAGATTCAGTTAGAGAGGTTTTTGCAGATTACTTAATATAAAAAATGTTTAGCCCACGACAGGCAAAAGACTTGGTACTTTCTTTTAAATAAAATCTTTTTTTAAAAATCGTAATGTCTTCTTTTATAGCTTTATGTAATAGTCCGATTTATACGATTCTGACAGATATACTGTTCGGAAAAAAAACGTGTCGGCTTAATTTAATTAATTTAACAGACAGTCCACCAATTGGTATGGTAACACGTTTAAATTGACCAAATTTATCTGCCATATGTCTAACCGCCTGATAATCTTAATGCAGATGTCTGCCGCATTGGTTCGTAAACTGTCTGCAGCACATAAGCAAATTAAATACAATTTTAATGAAAATACAATTTTATTCCAATGTTAAATCATATTGAGTCTGGCATTGACCGACATATTAGATAAACATCTGACCGACCGTCTGACGCCGATTCCTGCAAACAAAAAAAATGCAATTTTAATGAAAACCCACTTTATATTATATTGTAAAATAATATTGATTCTGGCAGCTTTGACTGACATATAAGAGACAATTCTAGCCGACCGTCTGAAGTCGATTCGTACTGTTCTACTAATCCTATTACATCTGGCAGCTTTCATCTGCCTGTAACAAAAATATATGTCATTCCATTAGGCAGATAATTGATAGAAGTCTGATCAACATACTTCATGTCGGTCAAGAAATATATAGACTCGACAGACTTAAGCCACAGAGCTTTCATACAAATTTGGATCTAAATAGACTTCTTTGTAAATCGACCTACCTTATATAAATACGCTCTACATTAAGTATATTTATAAAGTAATCGTATACCTCATTCATATATGTATATATATATATTTGTATTTATTAGATTGAGTAGCTTTACAAAAGATGGCACATTAGTTGGATTCGTATTATGAATTATTATTTTTTTCTTTTTGCTTTGGTTCTGGATTCCTGTTCTTAGTTATATTTCTTTGTTATGCGTATACAAAAATAGTATTTCCTTTAATTTTATAGTTGTTTTTTTTTTGTTGTTGTTTGATTTTCAATTAATTTAATTTTAGTCCCTGACTTGGGCTTCATTTGCGTGGCGTTACAAAGGCGTAGGGCGTGGCCACGCTGCAGCTGGCGGAGGCGCTGGTGCACTTGCAGCTCTTGCCGGAGGGCGCCTTCCGGTTGACCAGGCAGAGCCGGGCATCGGTGCAGCCGCCGTTATTGATCTGGCACTGGCTCTGGTACTGCGGGCAGTTCTGCTCGACGGCGGTCATGCCGTACATCTTGTGGCTGCCAAAGAAGGGCGTCTGTATGGGCTTCTGGCGTACGCCCGCGCTGTCCACGCTCTCCAGTTTCTTGCTGTAGGGGCGAGGAGAGGTATTTAAAGAGTTGCAGCTTATAGAGTGGATGGCACCTACGTTGTCCAGTCGGTCCAGTAGAATTGATCCTGCGTAAAGGTCAGCCCGAAGGGATAGGACAGTTCCTGGGATATGGTGCGTATCTGTCGGCTCTGTGCACTGATGCACTCCACCTTCTTGGTGCCCGCGTCCGCATAACACAGTTCTCCGCTGTGCTCGAGCACCACCAACGAGTTGGGCAGCTTGACGGCATCGGCGCCCAGCAAGAGCTCCCGGCCAGTGCCATCCAGATCGGAGTACTCTATCTTTGGGTTCGAGCGATCCCAGTCGGACCAGTAGAGTTTCCTAAAAAAGCGAGTCAACGTTTTAAAGCACAACTCAACACAAGGTTTCACTTGCTGCACTCACTCTCTGTAGGGATCCACGGCAATGCCACGTGGATTCACCAGCTGCTTGTTAATGATGACAGCGCGCAACGTAGGATCATCCAGGCTGGCCACCTCAATGGTGTCCTTCACCGAGTCCGTCCAGTAGAGCCGGCGCGAGATGACATCAATGGCAATGCCCTCGGGTGATTCAATGTCTGCAATGGATGGCATTATCAGCGCCAGCTTATGAGCTCAAAGATCCTCCGGTTTTTACCTGTGCTGATGAAGATGCGCTCATCGGTGCCGTCGTATTTGGCGCTGATGATCTTCTTGGCCGAAATGTCGCCCCAGTAGACGCGTCCCTCCACGCAGTCCTTGTCCAGGCCAATGGCCATCGAGGCCACCTTGATGGGCTGCACATCGCGTCCATTCAGAGGCACACGCACTATGACCACGCCCTGGCTGACAATCAGGAAATTGGAGTCGTGTTGTTGACGCTCAAAGCAAACGGAGCCATTGCCATAGAAACCTTGCAATGTACAATGGATGATTAGATGGGTAAGTTTCAAATAGTATTTAAAGTGTGGGAAAAGATCATGATAAACTTTTAATAGAATTCGAGGATAATACAAACAGAAACTATGCTAAGAAATTTGAAGGTGATTCTCTTATTTCTAATTTCATAATTTTAATATTTAAATAATCGATTAATTGAAAATTTTTATTAATTTTGTTTTATTGATCATTTTATTTTGAAGAAATAATTAATTAATAAGTGAGATAACAAATTAATTATCCTTTGACTTGATGGCAATCCTTGCTAAAAATATTATAATCAATGCTGCAAATTGGTTTTGAACTGGATCAACCATTTAATTCGAATCTATTTTTAATATAAATCGAATCTTAGACAAAAGCAGTTACCCAACAAACAGCCCCGTACCGAAACTTATTTTTTCCAAAAATATAATAAACGCTTTTAGAGAGGGAAGACTTAGCTCGAAAGCTTAAATATCTTGTGACTCACCGACACATTGATTTATCTAACTTTATTTGGTTGAGGTCAAAGAGTGCGAAAAGGTGTTGCCTGATTTATATTTGTATTAATATGAGGGGAAATGTCTGTCCGAGTTTGCGCCTTAAAGGAGTTTTCGTTAGGATAGTTTGCCCTACTTTTGTAAGGGTATTTAATCTTCAGTGTGTTGTTCCTACTGATTTTTGCTTAATATCATGAGCTAAGTAACTACATAAGGAAAACTAAGAAACGCTTGTTTTTATATGAGTATTTAGATACGGGTAATTTAAAGTAATTACTTAACAGAGAGAATTTAAAATATTTGCAATATTCAATATTCGTCGTTGTTGTTCTCGAATTGCTCAATTTTTTTAATTACTAGAAGTAATTCAAAGTAATTACCCCATGGAAACTAGTAATGGCTAAAGTAATTAGAGTTCTTCAATTCGAAATACTGAAGTGTACTATATATATAAGAAACGCTTTTCTTATATGAGTATTAAGATACGGGTAATTAAAAGTAATTACTTTACAAAGTAATTGAAAGTAATTCGAGAATTGCAAATATTTCTTATTTTCAATATTCGTCGTTGTTGTTTATGAATTGCTCAAATTTTTCGATTATTAAAAGGTAATTCAAAGTAATTTCCCCCTGAAAACTAGTAATTGCTAAAGTAATTAGAGTTATTTAATTCTAAGTACTGAAGTGTACTATATATATAAGAAACGCTTGTCGTTTATAAGTATTTAGATACAGTTAATTGAAAGTAATTAAATTGACAGAAATTACTTGACAGAGTAACTACAGGTAATTAGAGAATTGCAAATATTTCTTAATTTCAATATTCGTCGTTGTTGCTTATGAATTGCTCCAATTTCTCGATTACTAAAGTTAATTCAAAGTAATTACCCCAGGAAAACTAGTAATTGCTAAAGTAATTAGAGTTCTTTAATTCTAAGTACTGAAGTGTACTATACAGTTTTTTAGTGCCTGCAAATTCACAGCTGACTTTAGACATAGTTGGCGCTGTTTTTTTTTTATTCTAGCCAAAAACCTGGGCAACTACACACACACACACATCAGATTCGGTTTCATTTCTTCACAAAATTTGTCGTAATTATTTTTTTTTGGTAATAGAAACTTCAAAAAATACAAAAAAAAAACTAAGAAACACGATGCAGCCCGTACAAAGTTTGCTAACAAAGGTCACGCGATTGGGCATGATCCGCATCGTGAATCAAACAGCTTCTCCGATCATCAAAGCCAACCCGACCAGGTGGTCGGTGCAGAGCCAGCAGTGTCGCTATGTGCAGAGGGTGGAGCAGTACCGCAGGAAAACGACCACATTGCAGTCGATGCGCGAGTTCTTTATGCATCCGCTGACCTGGGATCGCAACAATGGGTATCTGAACGTGGTGCTGGCGCTGGCGATCTTTAGCTTTGTGTTCATCAACTCGTGCACGCCGTGCCCGGAGGATCGAGTGCCGCGACACAAGAAAAACGATGATTGAAAGGGGAACAGCTGAACTCACCTGGATTGCAGACGCAGACCAGACCCGAGTTGGTCGAGTGGCATTTGGCGTTCATATCGCATAGGGTGGGATTGTTTAGGCAGTTCTGCTCCTCGATGCAGACGTAGCCATCGCCGCGATAGCCAGCGATGCACTGGCACGTATAGTTCGCAGGATCCCTAAGCGAATGGGCAAATGGGAAATGGGAAATGAGAAGGGGCTAGGGTAAACAGGCACCTCTTACTCACTCGGTGGGCTCGCAGGTAGCGTGAATGCCGCAATTGTTGCGCAAATTACAGGGTATGGGTATGCTGAGACAGCCGGCCAAGGCGTCGCCCTGATAGCCATCGATGCAGTCACAGAACTGCACGCCCAGCGCCACATCCCACTTGCAGATGGCATTGGAGCCGCAATAGACGCTGCCGCAGCGTCCGGTGGGCACACAGCGATCGCTCACATCCCGCTCGTAGGCGTCGTTGCACTGGCAGACGCCTCCGTCGCAATGGGCATTCTCGCCGCACTGCTCCGCGCCGTCGCACTCGGGGGCCAGCTGGCAGCGATGTCCGTCGCCCGTGTAGCCACGCTCGCAGACGCACTCGGATTTGCCCAGCTGCTCGTTGTAGCTGCAGGTGGCATGCGTGTCGCAGATGTCGGGTTTCTGGAATGGAATCGAACCTCAGTTTAGATTGGATCTTGACGGAGACAGCTGTAGGGCATATTACAATTGCGCAGGACTCCTCGATGGGATCGCAGTTGTAGCCGTCGCCGCTGTAGCCCTCGTTGCAGGTGCAAATGTGACGCAGCTGATGCTCCCACCAGGAGCAGCGGGCATTGATATGGCAATTGGAGTCCACATCGCAGGGCAACAGATCCTCGCTATTATCCACATCGTAGCCGCCCGCATAGCGGCAAGTGCGACTCTCCTCGCTCAGCTCGTAGCCCTCGGGGCACGTGCAGTCGCCCAGTATATTGCAGCGCGGCTCCACCTCGTGCTCGTCCAGCAATATGGGCACACAGCGTCCATGCTCGAACACCTCATCGTGCCCGCAGATATTCGCACAACTGTAACCATCTCCGGAGAAGCCCTCGCGACAGCCGCAACGTCCCTCGTAACAGTCCGCGTCCGGCGAGCAACTCTGCAAGAAAAACAAATTTTTTTAACTGAAAACCACATTGAACTCAAGAAAAATATAATTATCGATTCCTAAATTCTGTGCAGGTGTATCAAAAGATTTATAAGATTTGTGGGTTGGATTTGCGGGTTTAATGTATTACATAATTACAAATATGCAAAATTCGATACGAGAAAATGGGAAACTCTGTTTTTCTAGAAATAGTAAATAGTGTGTGAAAGCAAGGAACTTAGTTATATATATTCTCCTTTCATTTATGTCGATTATTATCAAAATATAAATCATTCTGGTATTGATATTTGACTATAATTTGAGGGATACAGGGTATTTTGCAGTCGAGCAGCGTTCTAACGAGCGGAGTGCTCGGGTTTAGGTTACTTGCAAGATCTCTTTTATAGTATTATGCGCTTTTTTGTTAATACAATGTTACAAATCTTTAAAATAAATTATTTTTAATAATATTATATTATAGATCTTTGATCTTTTAAATTATAGATCTTTGAACTAGGATAAATTACAGATCTTTGATCTAGGATATCTTCTAACAAATCTTTAAAGAAAATCATATTCTAATTATGGAAATGCAATCTTTTCACTTACGTAGCACTCATCCAAATGCTGTCCATTGCCCTGGTTCGGTGGATAGTCGACATGTTCGCCCGACTGCTCGTGGCTGGGCTCCTGTGGTCGGGGCGGCTGCTGCTGCTGCTGATCCTCCTCCGTGGGATAGCCCTGGGAGCTGTCAACTGGTGGCTCCGACTCCGGAGTGGAGTACTCGATATTGTCGGCCGAATTGTTGCGCAGACAGCGATAGCCATTGCCCTCGTAGCCCTCGAGGCAGACACAGCTGAAGCCGCCCTCGTTGTTGGAGCAGATAGCATTCTCATCGCAGACATGGGTGCCCAGGGCGCACTCGTCCAGATCGATGCAGAGCTCGGAGCCGCGCTCGTCCAGCTGGGCGGCATAGCCATGTCGGCAGTCGCAGCGATAGGTATCCTCGTAGGGCACACAGACGGCATTGTCGCCGCACTGGACGCTGCCGTCGGTGCATGCATTGGACTCGGCATCGACGCCGATCTTGCTGACAGCGCTGGTGCGCAGCGCCTGATCCCGCTCAAAGAAATCGAGAGCGATCTTGGAGACCTTCTGCAGTACACTGCGGTCCGTGGGATCAGCATCATCGTCGCGCAGGCAGCTCCGGTAGACAATGCGCTGATCCACCTGGAAGCCAATCACGCGCTGCTCCTCGACCAGCTCCAGCTGATGGGACTGCAGCGACTGCAGCTCGCCGGGCCGCACAAAGCGATACTCTTCCGTATAGTCCGGCAGATGCAGCGTGGCACTTGGCGATATCTGCGGCACTGCGCCCGACAGCTCGATCTTGACGGACAGCTGATCCCAGTAGTTCAATCCCTCGAAGGTCTGATTGACCAGCAGCAGCTCGCCCGTCTCGTACTGGATGCGCGAGATGTGCTCGTAGCTGCCCCCGGTCAGCTCATAGCCATTCGCCGCCCCATTGATCGACTTGGCAAAGAGCCAGCCGACGGTGGTCAGCAGCGGCAGCACCAGGCGCAGCTGTGCCGCCTGCTCGGCGCTCAGCGGATTGATGGTCGTGTAGGTGCGCGCATCTGTGGTCACCACATACGACTGCAGCTTGGCCTCCTCGTCCACAGCTTGGCCATTTAACTGGCCGGTCAGTGTGCCGGTCACACGCATCGGCAGATCGTTGGCCAGACAGGAGCGTCCGTTGCCATAGTAGCCGGGCTCGCAGACACAGCAATAGCCCTCCGACTTGTCATAGCACTGGGCATGGCTGTCGCACTGGTGTCCATTGCCATTGCAGCTTTGTGCCAGCGCCGGCGACTCGGTGCGTGTCTCCAGATTGTTGGGCGCCAGCACATTCTCGCCGGGATTCAGGGGCGCCACCTGGTAAAGCCAGACGCCGGCCACGCCCAGATTAGTGCTCTCGCTGAGGAAACGTGCCTGCACAAATGAAAGGTAGGAATTATATATTTACTAGAGTCTTTTCTTATATAAAGAAGAATTATTTTTGTCTGATCCGAAATCCACTTTAAACTTGATTTAAAGCAAAGAGAAAAAGCTGATAGCATAGATAAAATGTTATTAAATTCTAGACATCTTAAAAGGCATTTTACAAATTTTAGAGGTCAAATAGATATTTATAGAATAATATTTAATAATTGAGTTAGTTTCAAAGATTTTCTAGCATATTTTAAAAATGCATTTCGCTTATTCAGCTCTTGCTAATTGTAAGTTAGTTTAAAGTTGAACTCACATTCTCCGAGCCGGAACCATTCAGATTGTAATAGCGTCCATCTTCGGCAACGAAGCCCGCCTGGGCGCGTATGTCGGGCAAGCCGAGCTCGCCGGCCTCGCCCTGCAGCCAGTTGAGTCCGCCCTGTGGGTAGATGAACTGCACAAATGTCTGCGAGTCGCCGACAATGAGGGCCACCTGGAAGGTGTTCAGCCTGTCCGTCTTGGAGTTGAAGTAGCCCACATTGCGCCAGGTGGCGACAATCAGTTGCCTGGCCTCGAAGTCCGTCCAATCGCTGTACGCATAACGCACCAGCTGCTGGGCACGGTTGAGGGAGTCGGGATCGCGCGTCTCGAACAGCGAAATGGAGCTATCGTCGCCGCTGTTGCTGGTGTCCACGTTCGAGTAGAAGGCCGCTATCGAGGGATACTCGAGCGGAAAGGGCTGATTCAGGTACTCGGCGAACTCCACGTTAAATGTCAAAATGCCATTCGTGTTGATCTGCAAGAAAGGAATGGTATCTTGAAGTGGATGGAGTGGAAAAAGGAAGTGCATATGGCGCATCAATTAGCCGGTTCTTGTGTGAAGTGCCAACAGGCCACTTAACATTTAACGGCCAATGCGCCTGGCGGAAACTAAACAACAACAAATCATTAACAAGCGCGCCTCAATGATCATTAGAGACAACTCCCTCTCACTCTCTCCCTCTCACTTTCTCCTCTAATGACTTTCTTAATTGAGTTGCCTGTCGGCAGCCGCAGCACGCCTCTAAAATTAGCCCTAGAAAAAAACAAAAGACCGACACTATCCAGCTGCGTGACCTGCTCCTGTTTACACAGCTCTTACACTCCAATTGGCATGCCAATTGGATTTTATTCACATTCTCATTGCCCATTCCCCGTTTCCAACTCCCATTTCTCAATTGCACAACTTTGCAGCGTTGCGCATTTTTATTTTTAACTCAACGAGTGCATTAATTTTGCCTAAATAAACAAATATATTTCGGAAATTTTTTCGGAACTGGAGCACAGGTGTGTTTTCACACTAGTCCAGTCCCAATCTCCGCATAGTTTTGTGGTCGAAAACAGTTTTTAGTAATTACCACAGCGGGATGCTGCACTTCATCTTCAGCTCAGCAGGTTGAAAAGTGTCGAAATATTTGCCATAGCTACAAGTTAAATCTACACAAAGAAGCGAAGGTGTGCAGACTCGTGGTATTTCAGGTAATTAAGCATTTTATCAGCTTATTTATTTAGGATTTCTTATGAAAAATGTTTGACAGCTACAAAATATATATACATAAGTTAAATAAAACAAAAGCAGAAAGCAGAAAAAATGCAATTTATATTAAAAAATATGGTTTTATCTTTAGGTCAATGCACTTCATTGGCGCAGGACAACTAAGGTTAAATTTTTATTGCCAAAAAAAACTCATTTAATATGCTGAGTATTAACTGACTACAAGACTTTATAAAAACTGGATCATTTTTAAAAATTATGCGTATATTATTGCTTAAGAATCTCTTTTCAAAATTCCCAATTTTAGTCACATTTTATATTTTTAATTCCCAGGCCAAGGCATTATTTCCTTCGCTATAACTCTTTTAAAACTTTTTTACTTGAATTTATGGCAAAACAAAAAAAATTGTATTCTCTAGATGTATACATATTATATACACACTTCCAGGACTGTTTTAATTATTGAGATGCAGTTTAAAATATAACTCTAAAGTAGTTGTCATTTGACGCTCTTCTATTTTACTTTTCGTCTCATTCTTAAACGTTTTACAGGCAGCTCAGCTTGTTTCACAATCCAGAGATCAGGCATAAATTCCCTTTAAAGAACCTTTTTTCCGTTCAGATCTTTGTTTTACCAAAGGAAACTCTTGACTTAAAAACGAGCCAACTTCAGGCAGTGGATTTGAACCGGCGACCCACTGCTTGTTGTTAGCTTTAGTAAAAATTGTAGTTCCCTAGCCTTTAGGGGTTGTCGGGCCCAATTTAAACGCCAGTCAGTCAGGACAAACTCTTTCGTATTTCGAGATTAAAATATTGACACATTTGTTGCTTCGCATTCACCTGAATTTCGATTTTAAAATAAATCCAAGCGCGTAACCTCAATTTCCAAATTTCATTCCATTTTACTGACTTGTGAAGATTCGGACACGTCTATTAATAGACCCCCAAAGGGGTATTAAACATTGATGGGTTCAACAATAATTAAACTGAATAATGTGCTTTAGCTGGAAAAAAGACGCTTTGGTTATTTCTGGTCAAAAGAGTTCTCGAATATTTATGCATTTCTATGGCCATAATAATGCCACACATTTTGTGCCGCGTGCTATTTTTCGACGTCAGACACATAAATTCAGTTAATTAACTAACAAAACAAAAATAGGCGACACTTTCGCCTCGACGCCGTGCTAAGAGCAGATCATAATTTTTAGATGTTCAACAAGCAAAAGAATCAAGAAGGATTTACGACGAATAAATACCCTTGCGAAACAAATAATAAATACAATATTCAAGTGAGGCAAAGATTTCAATAGCTTTACTGATTAAAACTCAGTTTTAGACCAATTCAAGCTAGTATTTGTGCTTCGATAGAGAACAAAATAATTTAGTTGCAGGAACTGAACTTATATATGAAAGATAATTCATTGAAATTAGATTAAATTTTGAAAAAATCTATCTATCATTGATTTCGATCAAATATTATATATAAAAAGCTCTTTGATTTTTGTCATGATTTTTTGTAGAAACTTTTCTCGATATTTTCTCTTTATTTTAATCAAATTATAAATTCTAGATTAAATTATACAAAAAAATGTATGACATTTATATAATATATATGATGGCATATATATGCCATTAAAGAAACTCACTTTTGCCAAGTTACCTGTGGAAACTAAAAACTTTACTCGATATTTTCTTTGCATTTGAGTCATATGGCATTTATATGATATAGAAGATATAGTAATTAGACTAACTTTTGTCAAGGCTACTACAAAACTTATCTCAATATTAACTTTGCCCTTTAATCATTTTTTCTATTGAACTGTATACTAAGAAATTGTCTTAAGATATCTTTCACTTAGCTTCATTAGCAGTTAGACTATGATGAATAATTATGAGTTTTTTTTTCAAATGTTTCTACACCTTGTTGCACTTACGTTTATCATATGATCAGCTATAAGCTAGATTTATATAGCCTTTGTCCAGCTTCTAGCTGTTACACACTTCTCGTCGAATTGGAAATGTGCTCAGTTAGGGTATTCAGAAAAAAAAAAAGGCGGCTAAGAGTTTGGGTGTGTGCCAAGGCGGGCTAGCGACATCGCCGCGAACATCAATGGGTTGGATTGTTGGCTATTTATTGTAGCGTCTGTGCCTAAAAAGATTGCCATGGACCACCCCCAAGAGTTTTATTATATATTTCATTTTTTTTGTTCTGATTCTTTTTTTGTCGTGTTTCTGGTATTCGGGTTGAGTGCGTGCGAATTGGTTTTGCGCTTTGGCCGCAGCAGCGAAATGTATCTTTCAGATACTTTTATGTTTTGTGCCCAGCAACATTTCGTTGATTACACAGAATCTAGTGTGTCGAAATGCGACGGAGGCTGTCATGTTTTGCCGAAAATTAATGTCGATTTCAGCTATTAATAAATCTCTCCAACCCCTCACACCCACCCACACACACACACACACACACACACACACAGAGAAACTATTGAACTAAGCAACTATGTGCATAAGGCCTATTGATAGGCCTCTGGCCTTATCGCTGCGTTCTTATCAGTCAGTCGGTCGAATGCAAAAATTCATTCAGCACAAATTGTGTATATTAACAGATATAGCTTCTATATAGTCTCGTACTTACAAAGATCTGTTCGTATTTCTCGCCATAGAAACTGATGGGCTGCTCCAATTGCAGCAGCGCCTGTTCGCTGTTGCCCTTGGCCAGAAATTGTATGCTGCCGCTGTCCTCGACATATTCGTAGAGCTCGTTGGAGCGCAGACTGTCCAGGTAATGCTCATATTGACCTCTGACCTGACACAGACCCAGCAGCAGCAGCAGCAGCGGGCATAATTTTTGATAAACAGTTTTCATTGCAAAAAGCAAAGTTTGAATTTTATTTGATTTAAATGCGAATTTCTTAAATTGAATTTTAAGAAATTCTTGTTTTAATTATTTTTCTGTGCGCGTTTCACAATTTTGCGAGCAGCATTTTCACACACACAGGGATACACACTCGCACACACACACACACACACGCGAGCGCGTAATGTAAGCAACTCGTTTTGGTTCCAAAAATATCGAATTTATAAATAACGAACCGGCAGACAACCGAGTATCTATCGTCTATAGCTACACTATATGTATGTCTATGTCTATATATATTTTCTTTTTGGAACTGTGTCTTGGAACGGCGACACCAATCGCCTCTTGTCTCCTGTCTTCGCTAGCTTTCGATTCAATTCGATTCGATTCGATTCTTCGGCCGAGCAAAGCGAACCGCACGCGCTGCCAACAAATTCTTGACTGAATCGCAGCTCTGCGCTGTGGGATGCTCTTCGGTTCGGTTCGACCGACCGACCGACCGTTACATTTAACAGACACAAGAGTGTGCGTGTGTGCGTGCCTGGAGTCTTCAGGAACTGTTAACATGCATGTTAAGTGCATGCTGAATGGCATCCACAGCAAATGCATGCTGTTAATGCTAATGGAGTCCAATGCAGATTCGTTCCAGAGGGCCAAAGTTAACAGAGAGTGTAAGTGAGAGAAAAGAGAGTGACAGAGAGAGGGGGAGAGAGAGAGAGAGAGAGAGAATGTAAGAACTGATCCAAAACGACCCCCCATTTTTTTTTCTCCCGATTTGCTTGTTTATTTATGACCCTTTGCTGTTGACATTTATGTTCCACACGCATTAAGATCGGAATTTTTTTGCAAACATCCAAACGAACTGAGAAAATGTAAAAAAAAAATAAATATTTTTCAATATAGAAAGAAGTTTATTAAAATTTGAATAGGAATGTTTTTACGTTAAATTTTACAAAGTTTCCAAATGAAATACGTTTCAATATCAAAAATTTTCGAATGGCGAAAGAAATGTGTTTCATTGTTAATTACAAAAACTATTTTCGCAAGTAAATTATCCAAACTGAAAATAAGTTTTTACTTAATATGTTGACTATTTCTTAAAGAGGATTTGCTATCTATAAAAATTATATATATTTATCAATTTAAAAGAATTAAATTATAATAGTTATGTTTAACCAGGAAAAATGTAGATTTTTTGGGAATTCAATACGTAATTTTCTATTTCCAACAGTATTCAAATCTGTATTCGACTTCTTAGAATTGTTTTAGGGCTAGAAAGGGCAAATTTTCAATTTCATCAATAGACTAAATTTACAAATTAGAAGACCAAACAGAAAAACTTTGCCTAAAATTTCAATAAAATTTCTTAGAATGTATTTAATTAATATTGAGCTAAGCGAAAATTTAAAAACCAGAAAAAACAATTTTATATACTTAGAAAAATTATTAGAACTTCTCATGTGCTATATTTGCTGCACTATAAATCGTATCTTCGGGCAGGATATGCACTCCAGAGTCATAAAATTACAAAGATCAGTTTCGAAGACAAACCTTGGGATTGTTTTTGGTGTTCCAACAAGTCTATTGATGATCTCATGAAAGCATTTACTGTGTCATAGTAAAGCCAACTTTTTAATGAGCTCATGGCACATAGAACTAATTATGCTGAAGATTATAGCTTATAGCCTCTCCTTGGCTATGCTAGGTGTGTTTGGTTGATAGCCACAAGGCGTGGCGATTTTAGGGCGACCCCAAAAAAAAAATGGGGATCAAAATAATGCCACACCGAGGCTGAGGCGCGTTCCAATTCCGCCGAATTGAACTTCAGGGCGGGAGGCGGCACGTGCCGCTTGATTGCCTCCGCTGCGGCTGTGACTGTGCTGCATGCCACCGTGAAGCGCCGCCGCAAACGGAGACGCAGACGCAGTCGCTCTCCCTTTGCGGGCTCTGCTCCGTAAAAATAAACAAATGGGAACTTCTGCGCCTGATGGTGATCGTCTTTGGGTTTTCATACACTATAATGATCATCATCTACTATTTATGATGTATTTCTCGGTTAATTAGTTGCAGCTGGTTGCAAGGGCGGGGAGTGGGGGGCGTGGTATGTGCCAGTTGCTTCCGCATGCATTCCCATCAGATGTGTCCAACTCGAAAGTGATTTTCCTTTTTACTATATTTGGCAGCAGGGCGCGTCTGTCACGAGCATATATATCTAGATCTATCTATATATATATATATAGTAGCTGTGCCGCTTGATCGCTGACGGATGGTTGCCCAGCCTTCATCATTAATCTTTAGGGAGTCGCACTGCGTTCCAGGAATTAGAGCGGAACGCTAAAACACTTGGGAGCTGCATAGGATAGTCGGCACAGATCTAACATTTGCTTACAGCCAAAAAAAAAACCTTAATTATCCGCCCTACTGCAGCAATAATAATTTGGAGCTAAATAATTAAAAACTTAAATTAAGCACGTTATTAAAAGTTTCTTAATTGTTTTAAGTTACGCCCAATTAGCCGCCGCGGGGCGGCCTTTAAAACTGCCGCATTTCGTTGGCCGTTGCCAAAATACGTTCGCGATGTGGTGGCAAATGTTGTGCGCCTTGTTCTGGCTTCGAGTGGTGTCCATGAAGCCGCAGCTGGACGAGGATTGTGAGCTCTATGCGACAGATACCATGGTGAAGCTAGAGGAGGGGGGGGGGGCGGCGGTGAGGTGTCAACTTGTCTTACCTTTTCTCAACTTTTCAGCACGACTTTTGCTGCGAACTGCATTACGAAACGCCGCAGTTCAGCGACTGCCAAACGGACTGGCACGACAAGATACACTTCACCAACGAGCAGGAGGAACAGATCTTTATGTTCGTGAGTATTCTCAGTGGTTGGCAGGGGGATTTTCCCCGGGGCATGCAGGTTTAGGTCAATGGCATGAAAGAGGTTAGAGGTAGGGGATTCACAGCCAGACGTGGACAAATTAAATGATAGCCTAGACTAAACTATGTAGGACTAGACTAAGGGCTTGGTAGAGTTAAGTTAATTCCCATCCTTGGGCGGCCCTTGGTTGACTTATTTAAGTTAAGTTAACAGTTGGTATTAGTTAGGAAAAAATATTTAGTGCTGAACTTTGATCTTACAGAACATTAAACTTTGCACAAATTATATTATTTTGGACAAGACGTCTAGAACATAAAATTTGTTCCTCCATACATTTTATTGTATACCCCTGTAGAGGGTATAAATATGTCGTGAAACGTGTAACGCATAAAAGAAGACATCTTCGAACCCATATATATATATCAGCATCTACAGCCGAGTTGATAGAGCCATGTCTGTGCGTCCGTCCGTCTGTCTGTTTCTATACAAACTAGTCGCTCAGTCTTACAACTTTGCAAAGGTCCGTCTTTCTGTTGCAGGCAGAAAATATTTCTTGGCCAAACTCGGCATTTATTAGCGAAAAAGAAAAGATTGATTCGAGAATTTTTGATTGAAGGGAAAGTAACTCTAAAACTGAAGGCTGGAAATATGGAATTTTGCAATTTGTGGGAAAAAGCAAGATCATATTTTGCTTGATTTTTAAAGAGTAGAGGTTTACCTGCCTGATGCATTATTATTAGACTAACTTTTGCTCTGAGACTATTCCTCTAGCTTGCATACTTTTAAAGATAGCCCAATGTAAGCCTGCTTAATCTGTCTTAAAATTTACCCTATTTAGCTAATAGATACCCTCTCTTGCAGTGCACCGCCGAATGCACGTACAACAGCACCGAATTTCTGGCCGCCAATCGTCAATCCCTGAATCTGCAGCACGTGCGCGAGCATCTGGAGAATGACTTGGCCGACGCAGCGGATGAGGCGCTGCTCTACGAGACGTACGTCAAGTGCGACAGGCATGGTGCGTGACTCCATCAGCTCAATTCGAATCTCCAATAATTCTCTTCGAATCCCCTCCAGCTCTCACGCTGCTGAGCCACAAGGGCGTGCAGTCTCTGGCCAAGCGTCTGGCGCCGCACGGCTGTCATCCGTATCCGGGTCTGGTGCTGGAGTGCGTGGCCAACGAGATGATCCTGAAGTGTCCGCCCAAGCGCTTTCACCAGACGCCGCAATGCCGTGTCGCCCGCGACTTTCTGCGCGAGTGCATGCAACATTTAAAATATGCATAGAGACAGCGAGGCAGCAGCTGTGTGCAACATGTTGCAAGCCTTATTACAACCTACAGATGTAATAAAGGCAAGTGTTAAGAGCAAGAATTCCGGCACAAGATTGGGCAGCCACAGGCAGCTGTGAGCCAGCCTACAAGAAGGAGCTATATCTGGAAAAATTTAACCAGGTTGTAGAAGTTGGCAGTTGCTTACAAATTTAATCGGCTTCTAACGTTTATAGTTTACATACGGGCTAAATTACGCTAGAGATTAATGTGCAGCTAGATGGGCTTGACCAGATCTCCCTCCAGCTGCAGTGCATCCGATTTTTTTAGCTGCTTGTCAAAGCGTTTGTCAAATTTCTTTGCCTGCTTCTCGCTTAGCTCCGTGACGGCCAAGTGCTTTGTGTACTTCTTCAGCAGCTTCTTCCTGAGCTTCTCCTGGAAAATGCCATCGGGCTGCTTCGACACCAGCTTCAGCAGCTGTGCAGCCCAATCAAATTCGCTGGCCTCCTCCGACACAGCAGCAGCAGCTGGTTCTGCTGCTGGCTCAGCTGCTTTCGCTGCGCCATTCTCAAGCTTGGACTTCTTTTTGGGCGGCGCTTCCTGCTCCTGCTCTTGTGCGGCCTCTGCCTCCTTGGCAGCCTTGGCCGCCTCCAGTTCCGCCTGCTTGGCTTCCTTCATTTTGTTCAGCTCCTTCTCGAGTATGTCCCACACCTGGGTTGCGTGCTGACGTGGCATGCGCATGCAATTGCCCACGAAATTCTCGAACTTTGCCTTCTTGCGGGGCACGTTGTCCACGCTCTGGAGTCGCTGGAATGCGCTGCGCACAGACGCCGTCAACTCATACTCTTTGCTGTCCAGTATGGCGCGTATGATGTCCATCCAACTCTCCTGTTTCAGGGCGTTCTTGTTCTTCGGCTCCTTGGGCACAAAGTTCTGGTTGGAGTACTTCTGTGCCTCCGAGATGCACTTGATGTGCGCAACGTACTCCTCATCGTAGAAATCTTTGAGGCAATCCATGCACGACACGTTTTTTGTCTTTCCGCGGCATCTTGTCTGATAATGCTTCTCCACTGATGGCTTTTTAACGGACTCGCCGCAAATGTTGCATGTAAAGAAAACCATTTTTATTGAGGATTTCCAGCCGGACAAACAGACGCGGTGAGTCCCACGTGCGTGCTCTGGTATGTGTTATGCATATCGTTAATCGATAGTTTGACAGCGCTATTGACGTTCTGTTCCCCAAACAGTTCTGCCGCTGTTGAACTGATGCGCTGACAAGCAGTCGCTTGCTGAACCCGCTTAGGCTGGCCAACTGTTGTGTAACTGCTGCGAATATTATGTTGGTAGTCTAACCCACAGCTGACTATCGATATGCGTCTACCAGCTACCATTAGAAAAAACGTGGGCAAGTATGGTAGCATTGAGCTTTTGTCTGACTGCATTGCACTTTTGCCATCTCTAGCCGCCGAACAGCTGATTCACGCACGGTAAACGCGAAATGTGGCTGGCTATGTTGAAATTGCAACGAATCGCGCCGCATGGAACGCTACGCACTCTGACAGAAAATTGCATCAGGATGAGTAGCCAAGTAGTTACAGATGCCAAGACTACAGGTGGGCCAAAGCCGCCACTTAAATACGAACGCCAGCCGAATGTGCTGCGCAAAAAGTTAAGCTCTGTGGTGCCGGGCTCTGTGAATCTGCAGGTGCTGGGCGCAGGCGCCAACGGAGCACCCGGCGCTGTTTATCTGTTCACCGACCAGTCCCGTTACCTGTTCAACTGCGGCGAGGGCACGCAGCGGCTGGCGCACGAGCACAAGACGCGTCTGTCCCGTTTGGAGCACATCTTCGTGACGCGCAACACGTGGACGACAGTGGGCGGGCTGCCCGGCCTGGCGCTAACCATACAGGATGCGGGCGTGCGCAATGTGGGCCTGCATGGCCCACCCCATTTAGAGACCATGCTCCAGAGCATGCGTCGCTTTGTGGTGCTCAAGAATTTGCAGATGCAGACAATAGACAGCACACTGGGCGCCCAGTTTGAGGACTCCATACTGAGCGTGCAGCCGGTTGTGCTGCGCAGCGAGCAGCAGCCGGCGCAGCCCGTACTCAGCTATATATGCAAGCTAAAGCCACGCCCGGGCGCGCTCAATCTGGTCAAGTGCGTGGAGGCGGGCGTGCCGCCGGGTCCGCTGCTGGGACAGCTCAAAAATGGACAGGATGTGACCCTGCCCTGTGGCAAAGTGGTGCATTCGGTAGATGTGACGGAGCCAGGCGAAACGGCGCTCTCCTTTGTCTTCATAGATGTGCCCAGCGAGCAGTACCTGAACTCCTTACAGGCCCAGGCTGAACAGTACAAGCAGCTGGCCGCCTCGGAGCTAACTGAGGTGGCGCTCGTCGTGCACTTTAGTCCGCCCGAGCTGACAGCCAATGCGCAGTATAGCAGCTTTATGGGGGCCAACTTCTCGCCCGGCACCCAGCACATTTATCTCAACTCGCCGCAGAATCCCTTCTCCGGCTATGCGGCCGCACATCGCATTCAATATCAGCTGCATCAGCTGGCGCCGCGCATCTTTCCACTGCTCGCCGAGTCCACAGAGCTGCAACAGAGCTGGCAGAGCACGAAGCTTAGCCACAGCCTCAAGAAAACAAAGCTGGAAAGCGGACACGGGTCGGAGGAAACAAAGGAAGACAGTGAGGTGCCCATAAAGGAACTGAAGCAGCAAGAGGAACAGGGCGTTGTTTCCATGACCAGCTTTCATTTAAGACCTAAAAAGGGTGAGTGAAAATAATTATCTATATCATAACATATCATATCGTATCATATCATAACATATCATACATCATATCACATCATATATCACAATCCAACAAACTTCACATATTCACTTGGGAACTTTGAAGTATATCACATGAATTGCCTAAGATAATTTTTGTATTAAATAGGAGAATACCTATAGAATATATAGACCATAATATACTCTATATACTATTTCTATATACACCAGCTTTTAGGGTTCATTATAGAGTTCAGGGTTTTATTTTGCTGCTCTATCAATATTCCTATTTTTGTATGCATTTGTGAATTTTTGAATATATCTTTAAAAAGTTGGGTAAATTGTGGTTATTTGTTATTAAGTAAAAATTTATGTTTACATATTTTAAAAATTGTTCTTGTTGGGCTTTTACTTTGAGTGCTTGGTTCAACATTTTAAATGGCAAGTTTTAACTTTTTCCTTTCCATAATTTGGCCTTCATTTGTTCATGGATTCCTCAAGAGCTCGTTAAATTTTAATTTTATGGAAACTATTTTGAAAATCCTATTGAATCTATTACCAAAATTTGTATTCGCTCTCGTCTTGGGCTCACATTTGTTCTCTTCACCTTCGAATCCGCCTTCTCCATTCATCACCTGCTTCACACACTGCGTTTCATGGAATCTAGTTTTAATATCCTGAACTGCCTCACTTGCTTCATCTCATGGAATCTGATTAACAAATATCCTGAACGGAACCTGATTAATGTATCCCGAAATCGCAAATCTTTACGCTACAGGATTGGATCGCACACTGGAGGCCAAGCTGACGCCCGAGGAGTACATCAAGGAGACACACGCGGTGCCCGGCTTCACAGAGCTGCTCGCTCAGCTGCAGGCCGACATCCAGGATACTTTGAAGACACCGAGCAACAGCTATCCGCGCATCATTTTCCTCGGCACGGGCTCCTGTATACCCAATAAAACCCGCAACGTGAGCTCCATTCTCATCCAGACCGCCGCGGAGGCGTTTATGTTGCTCGACTGCGGCGAAGGCACCCACGGCCAGATCGTGCGTCTCTACGGACGTGAGCGTGCGCGGCAGGTCATGCAACAGCTGCAGGCGGTTTATGTCTCCCATCTGCATGCGGATCATCATATTGGACTCATTGGGCTGCTGCGCGAGCGACAGCGTTTGGCGCCGGCATCTCCTTTGCTTCTCCTGGCGCCACGTCAGATCGAACCCTGGCTGCAGTTCTACAATCGTCAAATCGAGCCCATTGCGGATGCCTATACGCTGGTGGGCAATGGCGAGTTGCTGGAGCAGCCGCTGGCCGGCGAGCAGTTAGAGCAGCTGGGCATTGCCTCGATAGCCACCTGCCTGGTGCGGCATTGCCCGCATGCATTTGGCGTCAGCCTCACGCTGCAGGCGCAGCACGAGGGGACGCCCATTAAGGTCACCTACAGCGGCGATACAATGCCCTGTGCGGATCTGGTGGAACTGGGACGCAACTCGACGGTGCTCATACACGAGGCCACCATGGAGGATGACCTGGAGGAGGAGGCGCGCATCAAGACGCACAGCACCATCTCGCAGGCCATACAACAGGGCCGCGATATGGAGGCCAAGCACATCATCCTGACCCACTTCTCGCAGCGCTATGCCAAATGCCCGCGCCTGCCCAGCAGCGAGGACATGCAGCACGTGGCCATTGCCTTTGACAATATGCAGGTCACCGTGGATGACCTGCAGCATTATCACAAGCTCTATCCGGCGCTGCTGGCCATGTACGCCGAGTACACCGAGGAGCTGGAGCAGCGAGCGGTCAAGCGGGAGCTTAAACAGGAAAGGAAACGCAAATTGGCACAAACGTGATCTGAGTTATTAGTTTATGCGTGACAGACATCGAGAAAACTTCTGGTTATAAAATGTTGCCATAAAATCGGTGACAATGTTTATACGAGCTTGCGAATTGTTATAAGATATTTATATATATAAAGCGACTGATAACTGGCAGGATAAGGAAACTTAAGTAAAAGCTTGCTTTAGCTAAACTTCCTTCTTTGAAGGTACTCAAAAAACAGACGAGTACAAAATATATGTAATAAAATGTAAATTATATACTGAACGTTTATGCGAGTTATTAAATTGTGATAAGGTTCATGGTATTTGTCAGTATCAAATACACGACATATAGAAAAACTACAAGAAAAATATTGAAGCTAAAGTCCAAAAGAATAAATAAACCTGAAGTCATGATTAAAGCTTTCTCATTTCCTGTTTTTCTTTTTATAAATATTCGAATATTTGTAATACGAAATTTTTACATATATTCCATTTCCTTTGCTAATTAACGCTCCATAAATATTTAATCACAATGAGACAAGCTTCCTATAAACATAATTTCAATTAAGAAACGTAACTTATTTATATTTCATATTTATGGTCATTTTTATTATTTATAATAAACCACAAAAGGCGTTTAATCTTGATAGCTGTCACGTGTAAACAATTTTCCTTGCACTAATTACATTTAAGCTGATTGTTAAACAACCTACAATAAATAAATTGTATTTATAATTAGAAATGAAAACAATTTATTTGTTTTTGGTGTTTGTTTATTATGATTATTATTTTTTTTCTGTTTTGTTTTGTTTATTTTATTTACTTAATACGCATTCGCTTGCAACAGGTGTCTGTGTAATAAACGCTCATAAAATTACAAATTTAGTTTTTTCAATAATATTATGTAAATGTATAATAATCGCACATTAATTTATTAGCATTGTCGACACAACAGAAGGTCACTTGTTTTTATGCATTAATTATTAAATTTAATTATTTATTTATTTTTCATTTTAGTCATTTTAACATTTTATATTTAAGGCACTTGGTGTTCAACGTTTTCAAATGGCGCAAAATCAGTTTTGATCTCTACGCAAAAAAATCATAAATATTTTCTCAGATTATTTTTTTGTTGCATTTTTTTCAAATTAACTTTTTTTTTTTTGGAAATTAGCTGTGACTAGTTAAAATTAGTAAGTAAACGAAAAAATATGTTTATATGAAAAAATATCTTAGCTTCAACTTTTTGATATTTGGTGTGTATGTGTGTATGTGTGTGTGTGTGTGTGTGTGCGGGCTGTGTGGTTCAAACTTCTGGTTAATATTTTTGTGTATTTTTTTTTTATAAATAAACATAATTTCAACATTTCTTTAAAAATAAATAAATAGTTGTACATTATTTAAATTAAAAGAGAAACATCGGCAAAATTAAGCAGCTGATATTGTTTTTTTTTTTTAACAACAATTGAAATTATAAGGTTTTATAATTCATATAAATAATTAATAATTGCTTTTGCCTTGGCTGGGCTTTGGACTACAAATTCATTAAGTTTAGAGTTGAATTTCTTGCATAGTTTACTTTCATTTTTTTCTTTCTCTCCACTTGTTGCCAAGGCAATAGACAAATATCGTAACGGTTCGTAATGCTCTTTCCTCCATTTCGAGTTTTCACTTTTCAGGCACGTTCCACATAGTTGCCGGGGAATGTGCCAAAGCAGCCCGTCCGCTGCGAAGTGCCCACGAACCAACCGTCGTCGCACTTCTCCAGCACCTGCACCAGATCCCCCTCAAAGATCTCCAGCTCATCGGAGTTCTGTGGTCGGTATTTGTACAGCGCACGATAACTGTGATCCAAAAAACAAGAAATTAATTAACTAATTGATTCTTTGATTTTATTTGCTCGATACGCACGTCAAGGGCTCCGAGCTGGTGTCCACGTGGAGGGCGTCTGTCTTGTGCAGCGTGCGGGTCTCCTTCAGTATACCATTCGGCGGATGTGCTCCGTTCTGGGTCAGAGTATTGAACTCGTTGTTGATATTTGTGCGCAGCACGTCCAGATTTGGACGCAGATTCGTGGTGCTCTGAGTGTTGATGACGGTTGTCGTTCTGGCTGCAATATCTTCGGCACCAATGTCGGTTAAAACCTGCAAAAAAAAACAACAAAAAATAGATAAAAAGTTGGTGTTAATTACAGTGATTTAAAAAAAAATTTAACGAAAGAGGCAAAGATTAATGTGATGATGGAGAACAAGTTACAGTTACAGCTTGGGCAAGGCTAAAAATGCAACTGAGAACTTTAAGATAAAAAAAAAAAAGCAAAGTTTATTTAAGGTGACCATGAGTATAAAAAAACAAACTATGTGTGTGATCTAAAACGACAAAGAGAAAAAGTTGAGATTTAAGAAGAAAACTTGATGGCATTGGAGATGCCACGGATTTCTGCAAAAGGAATCGAAAGGATTCTAAAGACCTGACTTGCATGGACAATAATAAACAGAAAATCCTGTTCAGTGTCCATTTAAAGCATAAAGGGGGCATCAGTAATCAGAATGAGAAAACTAGACTGGAGGAAACATTGGTTCTTTAAAAAACCCGAGTACTTGAAGTTAACATGCTGTAGAGACACAATATGGAATAATTACAATTTTGTTAACTGTCAGGCCCATGGCTTAAGAATTTGAGGTATCAAAAAGGATATGTGAGCGTTAAGTAAATAATATAACAAACATTTGTGCACAAGTGACAATGGAGGACAGCAGATTTGTTTCCTTAAGTTAACCTTATTTAAATGGACATAAGTAACACACAGTTTTCGTATAAAAAAGTGAAAAGAATTATATTGAAAACTAGTTGCGGAAAAGAAGTGACAAATTGATGGAAAATTAACAGCTCAGACTTACCTCCACATAGGAGACCGGGAAAATGCCCTTGCGATTGGCTATTTTGCCCTCAAACCAATTGCCGTCGACGCGTCGAGTCAGTGTGACCAGCTCGCCCTTGTTGAGGGACAGCTCCACGCCGGACTGCGCCTGGAAGTTGTACTTGGCACGTGCCTGACCCTCGGATGGACGCTTGCCAGGCGTGCGGGCGCCATCCCGACTGACAATCTGTAACAGAGCAATGGGACAGTAAATGGGCGTGGCAATTGGAAGTATAAGTGGGGGATTTACCTCGACATAGCTGGCCGGCAGCAGTCCAATCATGGCATTGTGCTCGCCCTCATACCAGTTGGGATCGATCTGCCGCCTGATGTAGATGGTGTCGCCCTTGCGGAACGAGAGCTCCCTATTAAGAAGAATAGTTTTTTTTATTATACTTTTATTCATTTGATTTAAAAGTTTGTTTATTGCTTACTTGGAGGTCTGTCCCTGGAAGTTGTAGAGGGCCCTGGCAACTGTTTTGGGCCCCACCAGAGATTTGAGCGTTACGTCTGTGGGGAAATCATCGTAACGATTCAAGGCAATTGGCGATTTCTGTGAGGGTGTGAAATTGTCGGTGTGTCGTCGCGAATTCATGTCCTGCAGCTCCTGTAGATACTTGCGTCTGCGCTCCTCCTGATACAATTTCTGCATATGCTCCGCTTGTCGTATAGCTAATTCCTCCTCCGATATGTTCTGCTTGTACTCATGCCTTATCGGTGTCTTGAAGTGTATATTCACGTCTGTGTCATAATAAAAATCGGGAAATGTCATAAGTAAATAGCAGGTAATATGGTCAAAAAATCTTAAGATTTAGCTCAGTTTTTGTGGTTGGTTCCAGTCCTGGGCTTAAGCTCAAGACTTGGCTCAATATTATTTATGAACGACGCTAAAAATAATAAACAAATGGGGGGAAACGACTCGTAGGGTAAGTGTAAGACGAGCTAACCGCAAAAAATTGTCGCCGCTGATGTTACGAAACCAGCCTCAGCTCTTATCTGTAACTGTAGCTGTATCTGTAACTGTCTATGTATCTGTAACTGTCTATGTATCTGTAGCTATCTCTATCTGTAGCTATCTCTATCTGTACGTAGTCTGTGCTTGCCAATTGGTAAGCAAATAAACAACGTTAACTGACGCTCTGCTGCCTGCTGCTGATGAGCGCACGCCTCGCTAAGCAGATAGACCCAGAGACCAGAGCTGCAGATAACCCATCCAACAAAGTCCAACTCCAAGTGGGAAAGTAGCAAAACAATAATATACATGAGCATATATAAGCCTGAGACGGTCTTCAAATTGAATTAACGTTTCTCATCGTATCGAAATTGAGCCGCAATTGAAGTTAATGCGCATTAGCATCAACTGATAGCTAAATGAGCCACCAATTGAGACGAAAGTGGTGCCAACTGGGCGTCGGCTTTGAGTGGGTGGCTCTCTGACTGACGGGCAGCCACTCGAAGTGGTTGTTGAAACAATTTCTTAAAGCAGCCTATTGCTCAAGCTGTGCTCAAAGGGCTCATTTGTTTTATAAGCTTATATAAGAGCACGCCCATGATTAGCTACAAATGATATTGGAGCCCCTATATCATTGGAAAATGGGTCATTTAAAAATTGTACAATAAATTTATTGTAATCATTGTTTCAGACTCGACCGTCAGATGGAATCTACGAGCCATTTTTCGGATGAGCATTATAGGGTAACTGATTAGTATTAAGTACCCCTATATCTTTAAATAGTCAAAAGAGGTATAAGAGAATAAGGGCTTTGAGCCTTATTATTTTGGGAATATATTGCTTTAAAAAAAAACAAAAGCAATTTAAATTTTGAAATGTCGAACATATTTCTCTGGTAATAATTTTCCGGATAAAAGAATATGTATAAAATAATTTGATTTTGATCTTATGACAATTTTACCAAAAGGGAAATTATTTTCTATTTCCGATTTAATATAGTTAAATCAGATAAACTTAGGGTTAATCCTTCATCATAGGCTCCAAATGGGATGTATATAAGATGCAAAACTATTTCATATATTAAACATTGAAAATAAGGGTAAAGATATTCTTTTAAAAATTTAAAATAGACGTCAAAGTATAGAAAGAGTTCCTCTTTATGATAAAATCCAAATGGGATTAGTATAAAAACAAAACTTTGAAATTATATTAAATTTTCAAATGTGTAAAATTTTAAATAGATTAATTAGAGATAATATGAGTTCATAATATGAGTTTATGCAAACTCCGAATGGGAAATGTATAAAATCTAGTATATATTAAGTGTTCCAAAAAGGTTTGAACTTTTCCTTTGAGGCTCAGAATAGTTAATTCAGAGAATATAAGACTTCATCTTGACAATTAACACTTAATGGGATAAGTATAATGGGATCTATAACATTATCAAAGAAGGCTTAAGCTTTTTTTAAGGCTTAAAATTTACAAATCAGAGAAGAAAGGATTTCCGCTTTATGATAAACTCTTACTGAGATTAGTATAAAAACAATACTGTAATACTTATTATAAGTTTTCAAATAGGCTTAAAATTTTAAATCAGCGAAAAAAGGGATAAATAAAAGACTCTTAATGGGATAAGGACAAAATCAAAACAATTATTGTTTATTAGATTTTCAAATAAGCTTTAAAATTGTCATATAACGCTCAAAATAGATAAATTACAGAAAATAAGAGTTCCTTTTTATGATAGACACCAAATGGAATGATCATAAAATAAAGAAAAATATTGGTCATGCAAATGCGGATCTTCAACTAATCACAGCTAGCATTAACCTAAACCCAATTGAAGCCCCGAGAAGTGGTTTTAAGCCAAGCAAAACTCTCCAATGAACAGCTAAAAATACTTGCTAACGAACTGAAACTCGAAAAACACATTTAGCCAAAGTGATTTACAAGTCCAACAACAGACAGAGCTGTGGTATATATTTACTTTGGCCTTGTGCCGCATAGTTGGGAGTCTTTCCATGCATTTGCATGTGACGTGACCGCGTTTCTCATGAACTTGGGAGCGAATTAATAGAACGCTCAACTGATATGAATGCCAGTTAAACGCAATTAGAAATCAAACAAAGTCTCAAAGCGAATTCTAATGGAATTGCGCAGCAGCCGAACAAAACGGAGATCATAACCGACCCACAAATAAATAGAAATTTTTCTTTTGTGTAATTGCCGCAAGACAATTTCATGGTAACTTATTTTGAAGGTGTCGAATAGGGGGAGGGGTACGGGGAAAGCCAACAGCTGCACAAATATTTGTTGTGCTTGTACAATGACAAAATGCTTAAAAAACCATAAAGCATAAAGCACAGCAAGCAAAACTTTTGTTGTACAAGAAAAAAAGCTTAATTGTCACTTGAGAGATTTTTCACTTTCACTGATTTGTTTGTGGCGCCGCAAATTGCAGCGTTTTGAAAGTGTTGCCGATTTTCATCTTTCACTGCACACAACAACAACAACACACACACGCATAGGTGTATGCACTTGCGCGTCGAGTTATGCCGGCATTTCCTTGGCTTTTGCTGCCTTTTAAGCGGGTTAATCAGCTATTTAAAAGCATTTTGAAATACACCCCAACCCCCCACCCTCCCTGTGATTAGTCATCCAATCAATCAGAATCGCTGGCAACTCATCGGATAGTAATCTCCGAAGGCTTCTGACAGCCTGATAAAGACCGCGAGAAGTCTCGATTCGCTGAACAGACCCGAACCCGGACCCGGACCCGTTTCCACAAACCGATCTCAATGCGGCACGTACCCAACTGCTCTGTAGCACGCGTTGCGCTCAACTGAAACTGAAACTGAAATGTAAAATGAATGAAACTGAAAGACTGAGAAACTGAGCAACTGAGAAACTGGGAAACTGAGAGACTGAGCAACTGAGAGACCGAGCTGAAAGCCCCCCTTTTTGAGCTTGTCGCGTAAATTCGTTTAGTTATCGTCGTACAACGAATGCCGTTTTCTTTGGCGCCCCTCCCCAAATCTCACGTTTATTCAGACTTTACAGCTGCTGCTTCTTCTCATTGTTATTGCTGTGAATTACTTGACTGTGCTTACAGTGGGGCAATTACCTCACGCACTGCTGATAAGAGAAGCGCGTGTACGTGAATTTGATGACACATTGCCTTGCAGTGGGTTAAGACAATGGCCAATTAATTGAAGCGGAATTTTAGATATTTTAGAATTACTTTTCACTTATTTGCATACGTATTATTTATATATTTTTAGCACTACCTACATACTTAAAAATAAATGTTATCCCAAAAGCAGCTACATTGGCATTTAACAGTCACGTTTAACATTAACATTAACATTTGTTCTCTCAATGACACAACACATGTTAATGCGCATGTTAATTGCTGTTACTGTTAATTAGCTACGGTCAGTTTTGAATAGAAAAAATACTTAAATGTGTTTTGTATAGCCCAATAGATCTTGTGTTAAATATTGTTATCAAGTAAATGCCACTAAAAAGGGTCACTTTTTTAATGTTGCTTATTATTATAAATTATTCTTATCCGCAAGCTTGCTCAAATAAATCTGAGAAATGTTATATTTCGGAAAGAATAGTTGCTCTTTAAATATATATGAAAGTGATTTGAAGAGTAAAATTTACTTGAAATATCAAATATAAGATTCCAATAAAAATCTAGTCCAGTCCCATAAGTCTAAGCTATTTGGGAAGGATATTTCCCTGTCTGTTTGTCTGCAAATCTTTTGTATTATATAATATTCTTGATCCTTAACTATATATGATTGTTTGATGTAAACATAAGGCTTTTATAATATAAATGGGGAATTATATGTCTGATTATTTCAGGTCTCTATGGAAGTTCATCGAAAAGAAAACTCTCTTTCACTCCGGAAAATAGGATCATTATTTTAAAAAACTGCAATTGGAACTATTGGGTAAGTTGATTTCAACTATTATTCAGCTATTTAACTATTTGTTAAACAAAGAATATTTTATTATATTGAAATAGAGTTTATGTTTGCCAGGATATTAAATCTGTGCCAATTTTACATTGGCAGGGTTTACATTTTGTAGATATTTAAGCTTGCACAATCGAAAGCAAAAAATATAAACAAAAATCTCTCGATTATATTTAAATATTATTTTGAGTACTTCAAGTTCCACTTTTTCCCCAGTCACAAGACTCGCATCTAAAGATCGTTGCACCTCACAAGCTCAGAGCGCCCAACTACGTGCTGCTTTTTATCACGAACTCGTGTAAAACGTGAGCTGCATCACAAAAGCTTCGATAGAGACAGAGAAGACAATCTCTCTCGCTCTCACTCTCTCACTATCAGTTGCTCTCTGAGTCTCTCTCTCTGTGTTTCTCGCCGCGCGACTTTGATAACGAGTTTTTTTTTGCATTTCGCGAAAAACCGTGAGAAAGCGGCAAACAGGAAGGTCGTTTAATCAAATGAGAAAGTGAACGTTTTTGGTCTCGAGGGGGCGTGGCAGGCGGGCTTTCTTTCGTTTGCCTCAAAAATTACAAAGAGGTGGGGGCAGTGGCAGTCATATTAAATGAGCGTATACTGACTGCCGCTTAGCTGCTGTTGCTGCTGCTGTTGCTGTTGCTGCTGCTGTTGCTGTTGCTGCTGCTGTTGCTGCCACATGAGCAGCGGCATGGAGGCGCCTATGGCATGCCGATTGGCCAAATATGCCTGCCGCTGCGTCGGCAACGGTGTGTGTGGAAGACCCACAATGTGATAGCTCATTGTGGTTCTTGTTGCTGTAGCAGTTGTTGCTGCTGCTGCTGTTGCTGCTGGCGGCAGAGGTGGCACCATGGGCGCCGCTGCTGTCTCGCGGTGCAGCCAGAGCAGCTTGCCACAGTTGGGCATGTCGCAGACGCTCTGATGCAGCGCGGCGGGCGTTAGCTTGCTGCAGTTGCCGCTGTCGGCGCCGCTGCTCAACGGACGCTGCTGCGGCCAGGCATCGTAGTTGTTGTTGTCCACGCGCCACCAAAGCTGCCGCTGCTGCTGTTGCCGCTGCTGCTGCTGTTGCTGCTGCTGTGGCCTGTCATCTGTCAGCTCTAAATCATTGCAGCTGCTGTGCAGCTTTTGATGCGCCTGTCGCCAGTGCACGCGATTGCCACCTCCCGCTGCGGATGGACTGCGTCTGCTGCGGCTGCTGCTGCTGTTGTTGTTGTTGCTGCTGCTGTTCCGGTGGCTGTTGCCAGGTGTATGCTGCAGCGCGTAGGTGTTGCTGCGTCGCGGCGCTAGCGTTTGATGTATCATGCCTCGTTTTATTATTATTATTTTCTCATTTATTTGGATATTTTTTCTATTTTTTGCACCGCTCAGTGGTGCATTATGTAAGTGGAAATTGACGCGCGTCGCGTTCTATTTTTTGCCGCATTTAATTAGGAAATCGAGTCGAGCGACGTTTTTGGCACGGAAAAGTGAAACTAACTAAATTGGAAAAAAGGCCGCGACAGGTAACTCACCTGCGACCAGGTTTTGTTGTTTTTTTCTAGCCACCACATTTTGGCCATGGCAACGTGTGTGCCGCCGGGCACTGGGGGTGGATTTCCGTTTCTCGGTCCCGGTCTCGGTCTCGGACTCGGTCTCGGGCTGGGCTCGTGCCACGGACAGGTGGCGCGTGCTAAGCGGGTCAACGCTGTCCGCCCGTCTGGTGGCTTATGTTTCTGTTTCTGTTTCTGTTGTTATTGGCGCTATCGATTAATTTGGCTAGCTAATGCACGCGGCGCACCTTCAAAATGCTATTGCAGCAATTGCGGAAATTTGTTCTTAAAAGCGGAATTTCTCAAAGGTCATTGAATGTGAAACAGCACGCAGTGGCGTAGACTAGTAACTTTTCCAAGGGGGTTGCCTACGAATTCGCCGTTTGATCAGATTTTCTTCAGACAACTAAATTGTGGTCAGTTTGGAAACGAAGAAAGGTACTAAATATTAGACAAACGTCAAATATTTTCTATTTGGAAAATAAACGTAAAACGTTTTCTATTTGGAGATAAGTTCTAGAAGCGCCTTAGAACTCTTCGTAGTATAATAACTTAAGGCCACTTTACTTTATATAGGGAACCTCTTTAGATCAACTATTTTATAAATGGATATCTTAACATATAAAAGCAGGGAATAATAAAATATTCTGCTAAAATGTTTAGAACACTTTTAGAACAGCTCGTTTTATCTTATATTTAATAAGCACTGCTATTTTAATTAACTTTAATTTTTAAAATGCACCCAACTATGAACTACAATTCGAGTGTAGAAATATTCGAATTTTTAGCACAAATAATTTAAATGCAACAGAAATAGGAATCAAAGCTTAAGAGCCCCAGAGTACATATATGAGCGTTTAGTACTTTCATATTTAGATCAATTTGTAAAAGATTCAATTGAAAAGTGAAACCCATTTTCAGACTCTAATATTAAAGATTAATAATTTATAGAACACCCAATTTTAGTACATGTCTTACTGCACTTTCAGCACAATTCAAATACTTTAGCCCAATCAGGGTGAACCCAATTGTTGCTAAGTCAATTATTGAGAGACACTTTAAGAGTGAACCAAAATTGATTTCAGTCAATTATTAGCATGTAAGTTATTGACAAAAACTATTAGAGTGGACCTAAATTAGGATTGTTTTAGTACACATGAATTCTTAAACACTAAAACCCAAAATGAAGAGTGAACCCAAAAATTCGAATCAGGCAAATTCATAAATAATTAAAGTAGAACAAGAGTTGAACCCATTGAATAAAATAAAAGTTTATGGCTCAAGTGAACCCAATTAGAGTGAACTATGTTAAGAGACAGACGGGAACACGCTCTTCAAAAGATCTCATTTAAATATAAATTAACGATTTGAAAACTTTTTTACCGGAGTTGAACGATTTTTAGTACAAGTTATTTTAGTATAATTGCAAGCAGCGATTTGTGAAGCCCAACGTTGGCGAACTGGAGACTCACCTGTGCCCGAATCAATTTGATCACCGTTGCTGTAGGGGCTGTAGGGGCTGTAGGGCTCGTAGGATGAGTTCGAGTTGGCCAGGCCCTTGAGCGGCGGCTGTGGGGGTATTGGTGGTGCGGCGCTCGAGTCAAAATCTGCGCCAACAATGACAATGCAATACGGAAGGAATATGGATATATAATTTCGAAATGTCTAGAAAAACCAATTGTTTAAAGCCAAGCTTGAAGCCGAACCCAGAAAGAAGAACCAAGCGTCTACCAGATTAGAGGGCAAAATTGAAGCTTCAGCCAGATGGCAAACCTAAAAACACACCCACTGTCCACACTGCCAAGCTCTACTGTTACCTTTAAATGTGACCGCCAGGGCGTGGCGCTTGAGACGCTCCAAGCTGTTGGCCGGGCAGCGCCGGGCAGCGCTGCTTGCCGCATCGGCGCCATCGGGCACATAGCGCGCCTTGGGTCGATGCTTGTGCGGATCGAACGGCTGATTGGCAAAGATGTCCGCCGTCTGCTGCTGCTGCTGCTGCTGGGTCCTGGGCGGACGCGGCGGTGAGTTGGAGCTGGCGCGCAACGCCGGATTCCGTTGCGGTTTCTTGGGCAGCGCCGGCGTGCGCTGCGGATGCCTGTGCGCCACCCAATCGCCGCTCAAATGTGGCGATATGCTCTCGTGCACGTCACGCAAATCCGCTAGCGAGGTGGACAAGTAGCGTTGGGGCAGGCTCTGGGCCTGGCCAGCGGGCTCCGGTGATTCGTAGCGCTGGCGCAGCGACTGCACGTGGCCCGGGCTGGAGCAGCTGTTGCTGCGCGTGGGACTCGCCTTGGCCGGCAGCAGCTCGGCCGTCTTGCTGATGATGTCTATGTGCGGCATCAGTAGGCCGCGCTGCTTGCGTCTGCCGCGCTCCGGCGAGGGCGTTGCGCCATTTCGCAGCTCGAATTTGTGCGTCAGCTGGCCGACATCCTGTCCAGCTGGCTGCACTGGCAACGCATCCGTCGCGTTGCCCGAGGCGTCTTTTGATCCCGTCTTCAGTGCAGGATCGCTGCGCGCCTTCCGCAGCGTACTAAGCCCAAAAAAATCACGCCGTTCATTAATTTGCTGCTCCCGCTGGATGCTCTCGAATCGCTGCTTCATCTTCTGCACCTCGCCCGTATAGACGCGCTGCAGATAGGAGCTGGAGCAGGCCGAGGCCTGCGACTGGGGCGACAGACTCCTGGAGCGATAGTAGGCATCGTAGAGCTCAAGGCTGCCATCGGGTGAACCATGCTCGTAGCTGAGCAGTTCTTCCTGCCGCTCGTCCTCGGGCGGACGATCGGGCGGGCTGTGCAAGTGAAAATTTACGCGTGCTGCCGGACGTTCCCCGTAGATGCCGCTCAAATCTGTGAGCGAGTTGCTCAGCTCCGTGTGCACCATGTGACTGTGACTCTGACTGTGACTCTGGCTGTGACTGTGACTGTGCCTGGCCTGCTGGCGCGCCTGCATATTCTGCTCGATGAGCCGCATGACCTCCGCCTCGTCCGGGGAGCTATCCTCGCGTGCATGATATATGGTCTTGGGCGGCTCCTCGAACTGGCGCTCCTCAAAGTACTGAATTTTCTGGTTAATGGGATTCTCCTTGTCCTGTGCCTGTGGCTCCGGCTCGGCCTTCGTTGGCTTCGGGTCGCCTTTGGGCTTGGGTCGCGGCGGCACCTCGGGCGGCTTGGTTAGCGTTAGCTCCGCATTCTTAGCGGCAATGGCGCCGCGTGTCTCCCGGGCGACCACCACCGGCGATTGGCTGCGCGTGGCACGCGGCAGGGTCTGCGCCTGTTGCTCCTCCCGCTTGCGCAGCACCGGACCGAGCAGCTGCTCCTTGCTGATGTTCGAGTTGCAGCGCACCTTCAGCGTGTTGGCATGGCTGCTGGGCTTTGAGCCCTTCTCTACGGTGACCACATACTGTTCCTCCATGGCGCCAGGCTGACGATTGCCCGCATAGATCTCGTTCAGCTGCTGTGTTATCTTCTTGATTTGATCCTTGGACAACGTGCTCACCAGATCGTTGCTCAGATGCCGCTCCGTCTGCGGCTGTGGCTCCCGGCTGTGGCCTCCTGCCTCCAGGCTGCTGGCCAGATCCGCCACCGTGTTCCGGCGCCATTGACGCTGCACGGGCGGCAGCTGTGCCTCGGCGCGTGCCTGTTGCTTCAGCAGCTGCAGCTGCTCGAAATTCTCGCGCAAATCCTCCACCGATTTCTGCTTGGCATGCAGCGCCTGATCCGCATCCTGCCGCCACTTGATCTCGTTCACGTCCTTGGAGCGAAAGTGCAAGTCGCGCTCGCGCTGATCCATTTGCAGCTTGCCCACCAGATACTGCAGCTCCTTCTCGGCGCGTTCGTGCAGGCGCACCTTGCGCCACTCATCGAAGTCCAGCAGCTCCGCATCCTTGCGCAGCGGATGGAAATTGCTCGCCGAGGTGGCGCGCTCCAGCTGCCCGACGCGCTCCAAGGTGCTGTAGAAGCGATTCAGCTCGGTGAAGCGCTCGCAATTGTTGCGATACCGACAGCTCGGGCTGTGCCGCTCCAGCTGAACCAGCGAGGTGGCGCTGTGCGCCAGCTCCCCGCACTGATAGAGTCCGTTGGCATCACCACCTGCACCACCCGACTGCCGCTTGCTGCGATCGTCGGCGCTGCTCAGGCTGCTGGCGCGTGCCACCGCCTGCTGCTGCTCCTTGTCCTGGCGCTGGCTCGAGCGCAAGCTGTCTATGCGCCGCCGCGAGGGGGAGCGCACCTCCCGCTGCTGCTGCTGCTGCTGCTGCTGCTGCTGCGTCTGCGGCACGCGCACCTCGCGCGTCGGCGAAAAGCGACGCCCCAGCTCCGTGTGCGGGGACTGTGGCCGAGCGATGTCCGTCACAGCCGCGGGCCTGACTGGCCCGGGCTGAGCCTTGCTCTCGTACTTCCAGACGAGATCCTCTATGCATCTGGCTGGCGCCTGTTCCGCTGTGTAATCGTAGACATCCTCAGCATAGGCTGGCTCCACCAGCGAGCAGTATTTGTAGTCGCTGGTGCCGCCATTGATCAGCTGCGGCAGCGAGTGGGGCGTGTGGGTCGTGTGGGTCGTCTGGGCTTGTCCCTGCTTGGCATTGTAATCGTTCCAGAAGTGGGTTTTCTCGCGCACCGTTTCACTGTACGATTGCTGTGCAATGGCAGCTGTGGGTTTGGATTTGGTTAAAGTGGATTTGGTGGTGCTCGAACGCTTGCGCGGCACATGACCCTCGCTGCGGCTGGTCTGCAGCTTGTTGGGCTTCGACTTGCCCAGATAGGTTTTGGGCGGTGCTATCGGCACATACTCCTGCCGTACCACCGAGTCGATGGAGTAGGTGGAGTTGCTGCGCGGCAGGCTCTCCTGGGAGGCGCTGCGATGCACCGTGGCAATCGCCTTGACGGTCTGACCCTGCGCCTTGCTGCACTTGGGCAGCACCTTCTTCAGCGCCCGACTGCAGTCCAGCAGCTGCTGTGGCCTTACCTGTGGCAGGCACATGGTGTGCCGCGTCGTGGTGCTGACGGTGCTGTGGCGCAAACGTGGCAGCGATTTGCTCCTCATCGTATGCTGCGCCTTGCAGGTGGCATAGGAGCGCACCGCCTCGCGCACTTCCTGTGGGGATTTCAGCGAGGGATCCCTCAAGATATTGGTGCTCGCCTCGAAATTGGTGCGGCTCGGCGGCAGCGTGCTCTCCAGACGCTTCTTCTCCTCGGCAAAGCTGCGCTCCTTGGAAATGCTGCGTCCAAACGCGACCGGACTGCGGCTCGACTGGCGCAGCGCCAAAAGACGCGCGGGGGGGCGACGATTGGGACTTATGGAGCGCAGGCGCGCATGATGCTGGTGCTGCTGGTGCTGCTGATGCTGGTGGACTCGCAGCAGGCAGCCGTCCTTGGTGCGCGTTTCCTTGGTGGCGGTCAGTGTGGCCAGCAGCGTGGACACCGCTCCGGTGGACTTGGACCGGCAAATGGGCTCCCGACGTGAGCTGGCGACCTTGCGCAGGGTTAGGGTATTGCTGCCGCCGGGCGGCTGAAAGCATTGATCGTGACGCGACTTGGCGCAGCTGCTCGTGATCTTCTCCACTCGCACGGTGCTCTTCGTGCAGGAGGAGCGACGATTCGGTGGCAAAGGAGGCGTCTCCTGCAGCTGCTGCTCCCGCTGCTGCTGTTGCTTCTTGCTCAGGGGTATAAAGGAGGGCAAATTCTTGGAGAAATGCGAAAACATTTTGTCAGCTGAAGTTGTCGACGGTGGTGGCGGAGGCGGTGGTGGTGGGGGAGGAGGAGGAGGTGGTGCAGCTTTAATCTCTGCTTGCTTTAGCGCTTCCTTGGATTCCTCGAGCGGTTTGGTGCTCACGCGTATTTTGGTTAGCGTAGGCGTTATCTGAATAAATTCAAATTCTTCCACAATTTCTTTTATTTTTGAGGAAGGGAAGAATAGATAGAGTTCGTATTAGGATAATCTTAACGCAGCGACTTTATAGAGGGTGCCCGGTGCTGCAGTGCTTCAAAGAACGCTCGACGCATTTGCGGATAACAACTTCTAGTGTGGCAGTGGGTGTGTATATGTATAGTATATGCCAAATGGTTAAGAAAAGTACACTCAAGTTAGGTTTAAATAGTTGCAAGAGTAGAGCTCAAGGCAGGAGAGAGAACCAACACCAATTAAAGAATTAGTACAAATTAAACTGCGCCTTAATCTTAGTTATTAATTTTTAACTACATAAGACAAAGAGAGTCTGGCTCACCTTTGGGTTTCTCGGGCGCTGGCTTACGGAAGCCCAGCAAAGGCGGTTCCCCTCCCGCCTGCAAGCTCTTGTAGGCCTGTCGCTGCTCCACGGGACTCAGCGGACTGCTTACGGGTAGCTCCTTTTTGCGGAAGACTAGATTCGAATCGCTGGTATAACCCGATTCCTTGGCCAGAGCTCTGTGTGGGCATAGAGAGAATTTAGATAAAAGATTTTAGATTATAGAACGTAATATACCTTGACAAATTGCCTTCTGTGTAGAGCGGCGATAATTTCGATTGTTCCAAATTCTAGATTGTAATAGAAAGAAAAATGCATATTAAAACGTGCTAACAAAAGCTTTCTTTAAGTGAAACGATTTCAAGGCATTGATTTTGTTTTCCATTTCTGCAAAAATTAGTAATTCGAGTGCCTTTATTTTTTTGTGGACGCAATGATACCCTGCAGCTGTCTGGCTATGCTGGATTATTTATAACCATATAACTTACTGAACAATTGTCAAAATCATCGACGAACTCTATTATAATGCGCGGGATGCGTGTATGTTCCCTGAGCCACTTGGCGTTAAGCATAAATATTGGGTTCGGGAAATAGATAAGATAAACTTTTAGATAAACTAGGGAAGTTACTTTGAGAACGGAAAACGTTTTGGGCAGCTCAACAGAGAAAAAGTGAGCAGTAAAATAAAGGGAAATAAATAATCTATAGCTAAAATTAATTGTCTAGAACAGGAATTAAATAGATTGGCGTTCATACCCCGTTAAAGATGTCCATCACTTCGTCCCACCACTAGAATTGTGAATAATAAAATAATTGCTGTGAGTTAGAAAAATTGCTACGCGAAGTATGTATGACAATTATGAATATGCGTGCTTATGAGATCGTGTCATAAATGGATTATTATAATGGTCGAGCGAAATGCGGGGGAAATGATTTGACTGAAGCATGGGCGAGTGTAGCGAGGCGATTAAATAAATGGGGTATGTTTAGCATGAGCCGTGATCGAGTTCACAATAGTTTGGTTATTATTTGTCGGGGAGCACCGAATGCGATAGGTTCTGTGCGTGATTAAATGCTGCGGCGGACCACTTGCCTCCTTCTTCTCCTTCTCCGAAACCGACGAGTGACCAGTTGTGTAGTTCTCGATGCGACCAGGTTGATTCTTGTATGAGTTCTGTGCCGCCTTTATGGGATTGGGCATAGTACCATACAATCTGGAAATTTGAGAATGTATGATTAGAGTTGGCCATATATTCCAGAGACTTTACTTACTTATCGTCCTGGCTTAGATTGCGCACATTGACTGCCGATGAGACCGACTGCACGCGTAGAGGATTGGGTGTACGATATTTTACAGTCGAGTAATCCGAATCGTAATTGTGCTCGGGCTCTGAGACATAACCATTGCTCTTGTACGCGGGACGTGCTGCAGGGTTTGGGTAAAATAAAGATTAGTCAAAGAAAAACCTGAGATATATTTTTTGGTTAGAAATTTACGAGCACTACAGATGTTGCTGTTGTCGTTGTTGTTGTTGTTATCTCTGTTGTTGTTGTTGCTGTTGTTGTGTTTTGGTGTGTTAGCAGACATGATGTTAGAGCGTTGTATTCTAAGCTTAGTATATGAGTAGGTTCGTAAGTTAGGATTAGTGTAGAGACTAAATTAAAGCGTTCCAATGAGCTAAACGGCACATAAATATATGAAAAAATAAATACATAATCAAAAAAATAAGATCGAAGTTCCGCATGCCAACTAATGAAAACTTGAGTAAATAGAGTAAAAATCAGGCAGGCTGAGCGATAAAGCCAAAATTAAAATGTGTAGAGAGAGAGAAAAAGAGCGCGGCGGCAAGCTTAGACTGAATTTTGAATAGACTACATTAAGAATTAAGAAATATATTAAAAAATCACCTCTGGGACACTTGTAGCGTATCACAAAATCGTCTGTTGTATGCGATTCGACAAAACAGTTTTATATTTTTTTGAGAGAAAGCGTATGGATGGGGAAATTTTGGTGATATGGTAGACAATAGAAGACATTCAAAGAGTTCAGAGAGTTAGGATTAAAGAACTAGTTCAGCAGGCGCAGAACTGAAGCATTATAAAGGAGACAGCTTAAATGGAAAATGAACTATTTTTTTAAATATAATCAATTGATTCAATCATCATTTAGAATGCTTCGAGTTCTTGATATCTGAGTGGCAAAACATTTACCGCCATTCTTCTGCTTATGTATGGTCTGATAGAGTCGCTTATACCATTCATGCTGATGCGGCTCCTGGACCTCCTGCAGCACATTGGGCAATAGAAATAACAGAATATATAATAAAATCGAAGGAGCTAACTAAAGTATACAAATTATGTGTCTGCTCTTTACCGATCTCAGTATGATGGGCATTCCATCGTTGGTCACCGGACCGATCCCTTCGTATTGCCGTCGACCTAACTGTGCCATTTTGCGCGGACGATCGCTTTCCGTTTCCGGTTCGCTCATATACTCGTGCTTGACTTTGTAGACTGTAAACCGTAGATAGTTTTTGTTTTTCATTTTAGTTTTGTGTGGGTCAGTGTAAGGGCGTGTGGATTGGGGGAAATTAACTTGAACGGGTGTAAAACATTTAAGTTGCAACACGCAGGCCTCTCTTTTTGATTGTGTATCAACGACGTGAGAACGCGCTCGATTTGGTCATATTATTTGGCCGACAATTAATACTTACTGACTTCATTGGGCCTATAGACGGGACGGCTAGTGTCGGACAGTTGACGGCGTGCGAACGGCCTATATAGCTCCGATGTGGAAGCCGAGCGTTCAAATGCTTTAGATGATGGAAGGTCAATGCAAGGAAATGAATAAAAATGTTATGAGCCAAATAAATTAACTAGAGACACACAAATCACGTTTGAGCAGCAAAATACGAGTGTTTTTTCTACTACATAAAATTTGACATGCTAATATAAATTAATCCACAACTTGATCGGGCTTGGATTAGAGCTCTCCCTCAACTAGCTAAGGCAAGGGTACATGATTTATGCAGCTAGTAGAAATTGTTGCTGTTTATATATATAAGATATATATTGTTCGTGGTGCCTTGAATAAATCACATGACTCCAATTTAGAATCATGAAATCTCAAGAGCATAAACTAATTTAAAGTGCCCTACTTTCATTCACTTTCTTATTGAGCAAAGTTTCAGAAAATATATATATTGTAATGGATTGTCATAGATCAGGTATTACTTGGCCGAACTTTACTGTTAAGAAAAGAAATTTGATTATCTTCTACTTGAGCTTCTAAATATACAAATGCTAGCAGATTTATATGATATATATAAATATATATCTTTGCATATATTTTTCGAATAGACGTCCAAGCAAGTCCTAATATCTGCTTCAAAATATGCTCAAGCTGTATTCATAATCAGAACTCAGCAAGTTTTTGAGCGAACTAGCTGAAATTTTGGTATGCAGATTCCTGGTATAATTAATTAAATAATTAATAGACAATATTTAATTAACTTTTGCTTATAATCAGCTCAGATAAGTTATCAACTCATGTAAATAGATAAACTTGGTCTTGTCATGAGTTTTAAGGTTTGTAATCTTGTCATTCGAGTCAAATGCTACCTTTACGAATTCTATATGAAATTGAGATACCCTAGATTTCTGAGCTCTAGCAATTGTATTGCTAATTGCCACACATATATGTATGTACTTTTGATCTTGTCGGAGACACTGGCACTGGCAGCCACTGGGCCAAATTGATTGGAATAATCGGTTTCCGCGTAGTCCGAATTGTTCGAGTTGAGCGTTGTGGGCGTGCTCAGGCTTGTGGTGGTCGCGGTGCTGCTCCGTGGTGCAGGCACCGGGCAGTTGCCGTTTATATATGACCAGGGCGGAATCGTCGTCGTCGTCGTCGGCTGCTGTTGTTGCTGCTGCTGCTGCTGGGCCGTGTAGCGTCGTGGCAATGTGGGCGACTCGAAGCGCACCGGGCGAAACTCCTTGCGTCCGCTCAGCGCGGGCGACGGCTGCGGCGTCCACACGGGCTGTGTGGGCGGCGGCGGGGGCGTGGGCGCCGCCGAGGAGCTGATGTCTAGCTCGTTGCTGGAGCCGTACGGCGTTTGACTCTTGGGTGTCCAGACGCCTGTTGATGATGGTTAATGAGTGTTTGGGCTCGAATGACACTTGTGCTGTGGATGGGGCAGTGGTTCGGTGGGCAACACATGACATTTTCAGGGGCGCAAGTTCGAATCGAGTTGAGTTTTTTCATTCTTTCTAATATCTATTTTCCTGCTGCTAGTGCTGACATTTACACTTGTCAACAAATTCATGCTCGTCTGCCGCAACGCTTTACGGCTGCTGCTGCTCAGGTTTTTTTCGTTCTTAGTTTTTTATTCTTGTTTTCTAACCAAAATAAATGTTGCAGTCAACAAACCGAGCGAAGACAAATTGACAAACAAACATCGCGACGTTGAACAGCAATAATTAATACGACCAAGGAAGCCGCATTTGGCAGCCATTCAAAATTTGGCCACAAATACCAAAAAAGAAACTATCGCACACAAATACACACACTCACACACACACACACACACACAGAATCACACTTGGATGAGTCATAGCATTTGGCGCATGTTTAGAATTTACAAAGACTTTCACAGATACAAAGATACAGATACAACGCAGACTGTTATAAAATTATATTTGAATCAAAAGACACAGAGCACACAAAAAAAAAACTCACGAGGTGTTTCAATTGTTAAGTACAGTAGACACTGACTGTGGAAGTACTCAGAGGTGTTAAAAAAAAAAATCTATACAAGATTCTTTGGCTTGAGTTAGAAAACTTTGTCCAGGAAAATTTTATACTTTTAAAATAAGCCAGAATTGCCGATGAATATAAATACACAAATAATTATTTTTATTAAATATAATAATTATAATGAACTACAATAATTATTGTTCTAATAATTAGTTCATTATAATTATAATTTTATAAAAATAATTATTATTGTTTATTATAATAATTATAATATATAATTATAACGGAATTAAGCAAAATAATTGCATCTTCAAAGATTTTAAATTTCAATTAATGCTTTTTAAGATGCAGGACTTCGGTATTTCAATTTAAGTATCGAAAGCTTCAATGAGATTTAAAAAATTGAATTCATGAGTTTTATATTAATTATAATTATTATATTTAATTATAATAACTATATTTAACTATAATTATTATATTAAATTATAATTATTATCCTCTCATTCTCCCTCTTTATAAAAAATCCATTCTTATTTATATTCTGAAGTTGACTTGAAGGTCTTTCGATCTCATATTCCTATCAGTTTTATTTGCGTATTATCAAGATATTTTATATATCATTTCTTACACCGCAAGAATTTCAAAACTAATTTTCAGTTGATGCAAATATAAATTAAAAATTAAATTTAAATACAATAATATTTGTTATTCGATTTTTTTGAATAAAATAAATTTGATCTGTTTAATCAGCCCTCGCTAAAGCAGCCCTCGCTGCTTTTGCAGTCAAAATCTTTCACTCAACAGATTTATATGCCACCTGTAATAGCACACACACACACACACGCACACACACACACACACACGCACACACACACATATACAGATACAACTATAGCATTGGATACACTTAAATCTGTATAGATATTGCCTGCCCTAGGCGTGAATGCCGCTAGACATTGACACGTATATTGCGTCTGTAGAATACGTTTTGGCTCTGGGATTTGTTGCTAAAAATCTGTTGTTGTTGCTGCTCTTGGATTTGTGGGTGGATGCGCTGACGTCTTAATTCAATCAGCACCTAATCGAATTATACAACCGAATCAAAGTCTTGCCATTGCCAATCAAAATCACAGTCCTTTCCCTCACTCAGTGAGTCATTCACTTAACACTCGCATTTTGCTGCACTCACACACTTGAAATTTACCCTAGACAGGATGAGGAAGTGGTTGAAGTCTGAGAATAGGATCGAATGCGTTAACCGTTGCAAGTTCTCGAGTTGCTGACTCCGCGCGCGGCTCAAAGCGACTGAATTTTGCGTGACCCGCCGGCGTCGAGCAGACCAACTCGGCGATTACCGATTTTCTTTTTGGGAAAGCGCTGGAAAACAAAAGGCGCAAATCACAAGCGACTGCTAAATGACTAAAACGAATAAAAAAAGAAAGAGAACAACACACCCAGTCACAGTCAGGCAAACTGCAGGGCAACCCCCCCGTCCCAATGCCCCGCCAGGGCCAACGATTTCCCAGCGATTTTAAATAGAAGATCAATTACGCGGCAATCAAATATGGGAGAGCTCCGTGCTCGATGAAGCGCACACTCGGATCGGATATATTTGATTTGGACGAGACCGTTCCGAGACAAAAGCAGACTTTTTGTATTTTTTTTTTTATTTTAGTGGAACGCCAATTATGCGTGCAATGCGAAATGGAACGGATGTGTAAGCGACTAAATATACCATATACTCTGAGTACTGAATACCGAACACACACACTTGCAGACTACTCCCCACTTATAAAAGAGCCAGCTAAAGAGTCAATCAAAATGATTTCATTTGGGGTTTGGGTTTTGTGTTTTGTGTTTGGCCTTTTTTGTTTGTTCTGCAAACGCAAAAACTCTTTTTGGCCGCTTTTGAAAAGAGAGTAAAAACAAAAGACAAATGTGCGTTGGCTAGTTCTGGCTTGGCTCGGCACTTCCGGTGCCGCTGTGTTTCGGTGCTCTTTCCACCCGTTTTAGAATAAATCAAATGGAAATTTTTTAGCCAATAAAAACAATGCTCATAAAAGTAGCCCAGGCTGCAAGGGAAACGGCAGGGTAGGGGCTTAGTTTCTGCTGCTGCTGCTGTTGCTGCTGGGTGTGTTCCAAGGGGAGCGCCCGCGCTCGTTCGTGAAGAAGCGCATTTACTTTGGAAATCGACTCAGAGCTCGTCGCATTTATGTGAAATTTATTGATTTGCAAAAATGAAAATGGGAATATCGAATGGGCATCTTAGAAACTGAGGACGACGACAACAACAACAACTAACGAGAATTCTCACTGAAATGAGCGCACTTTTAATTTTAACTAGATTGGATAATTAGGAAATGTTTAACAGCGCAAAAACAATAAGTAGGGTAATGCTTCAAACAATTGATAGACTAGCAGTTACCCTGCAATCAATGCTGGAGTGTACGAAACTAATATGAGTATGATTTTTGATATAACTTGTATATATTGCCTACTATCTATAGTAACTCGGCTCTCAAGCAACCTATTATTATAAAGCCTTTAGAATAGTTGCTTCGTAGGCTGTTGAATGTGTATCCCAAATTGCATGGCTATATCTTCTACCAAATTTCAGTTACCCTGTTCGAATCACATATGGCTTTAATCAGTCTATAGTCTAGCACAACTCGACTCTGAAGCAACCTATTATTATACAACTTTTAGAGTAGTTGCCTAGTAAGCTCTTGTATCTCAATTGCCCCGCACAAAATTTTAGGGGTATGGATAACTTACATGTTACTTTAATCAGTCTATATACATATAAAATATCTTATACCTAATAAATTTATCATCTGATCAGTATGAAATTATCAGAAGCACTTTTAGTATACCAAATTTCATATCTTTCATGTCCATAAATTTTCTCAAATTGCAACTTTTTGATGATATAGTATCTACAGTCATACGATCTTTAAGAAAAATTCAGAATACTTGACAAAATATATCAATTGCATAAATACGAAATTTCATAGCAATATCTCAATAAATGTGCATAACATGCGAAAATAAGACGCATTACAAATCAATGCTGAAAGAAAAAATGTCGCTTATCTGGAATACTGAAGTTAAATTTCATTTCTTTACTTCAAACTACCCTTTTTGCTCGCTATTCGCTTACAGGGTATACAACTACAACTATATTTTTAGTGCCTTTGTCTAATGGCCTTGCAGTAGAAACTGAGGCTGTCCGCCGGACTGACATCAACCTGTGCGTGCGCCCATTTATTATGGGATTGGGGATTGGGATAGCGATTGGCTTTGGGCTTGGGCCTGGGCTGGGGCCAGCTATCGATGGAGGGCGTGCCCAGCCGCGACCTGGCAGTCGTCGAAGCGTTGTGACCCAGCCTGCGTTAGGTGCGCCGCATTGTTTTTATTGTTGCTAGCTGCTGCGAGGCAAATTAAGAACCATTCTCGCATTGATTTATTCGGTATGCCATTATTAAGTGAGTAGAGTATTTATGGAGTGCTGAACAACAGACTGATCAGTTCTGGGCGCCCTTTAGAAAGCGGCACGAGTTTGATGTTCACTTCGGCTAGGGGTAGAGACGATCTAGGGTTGGGCTTTTGAGCAGGTTGTAAAGGTCAATCGTGTTTGTATTTTGATGGGAACTCAAGGTAAATGTCAGAGAAATGCTGAGAAAAATTATGAATAATATGCAGAGTTAAGCTCTAATGACATCCTAAATATATAAGAAGGTAATAAGGCGGAAAGTTTTATATTTGTCTTCTATTATAATGAATTATCAAAGGTAATGGAAGAAATCTTGTTGAAATTATATAAATTTCTGGGTCTATTAAAATTAATATATTAAAATGTTGAGGTAAAAATTTAGAGACTGGGAAAGCTCTATAGAATCCATCTACATCTAAGTGGTGTTTAGGTTAGCTTTATTACTTTAAGTAATGTCACATCTCAAATCTAAAGTTTTCTTTTCCAAATGCTCTATAAAGTTTCGCACGAAAACATAGCTCAACAATAAATCTTTGCCAATATTTTCAACACGTATGCTCAACAAATAAAGCCCCAACGCAACGTCATCTTCTGATATATATTATACCCCTAATATACGAAGCTTAATAAACTCAATTCTATTTAAATCATTCTTTGCTGCTCGCAAATATATCAATAATCAAAAGTTTCGCTGACGCCCAAGTTCAACTAAATTTATATTAACTATAAATTATGTTTAGTCACTAAAAGTCGCCACAAAAAAAATAAATATTTAAACTTTTTCGAATTTTCTTTTGCTGCCAAAATATAAAAAAACAACGCGGGCGTAGATTTAAAAATAACAGCGCACAAATTAATTCTTTAAATAAATAAAGGCGCCTTTACGGCCCAAAAGAGCTGTGAAAGATGCGAAAGAAGCATAACATTTGCATAAGTAAACTCTGGTCTAATGCTTGGGGATCGACATAAACGATGTCCGCATCGTGACGCCAATCAAATCGGCAAACGGGGCGTATACGCATTTTGATAGATTAGTTACGCCCACACACAAGCTGAGAAATTGCCATAAGAAAATCACATTCATAGATCCCATCCCATTAGCTTATACTACGTAGGATCGTCACAGATATCATCAAAATGTTTGAGACATTGATTTGGCAGTTGGCAAGTTGCTTTGTGTACGGGGATTTTTCATTTAGTTTGCCATCTGGATTTTCCCTTTGTTTATTTTCCATTTTTAATGGATACTGTAAAAGGCTGGCGGGCAACTGTGGGCGTCTAGCTGCACACTCATATATATATATATATATATTTGTAATAAATATTGCTCAGCCAACAAATTTTTGGATTGTACGTCATTTTATATATTTAGCACAAAGAAGAAGCAGATAAGAAAAACCATGCGCACCTCCAGCTCCAGTTTGGAATTTTCTACTTGTTTTTATTTTCGGGCAGCACAATTAACACGAACTAATGTGAAATCTTTGAAATAAACATGTGCGAAGGCAAAAATCAAGTTCAATTTGTTCACAAAAGAAAAGCATGATATATACAAGCTAAAGACAAGATCATCATCATCAGAAAAGTGAAAAGTCGAGATCTGACTGAAAGGAAAATAATCTATAAATAAGTGCCAATAAATTTCAACAAATAACAAAATGCTCAACGGCAAGAAAGTTGATTAGAAACTGGCCTTAAATAAATAACAAAATAATAATCAACTGGAAGCTGAAAAGATAATTAACCATATGTAGGTTTCTAGGCGAAATGTTTTAATTGATTGTTTAAATCAATTGAAATAAAAGTTGAGTAAATAATAATGAATAATAATTCAAAATTGGGAGGTTTTTGCAACGAAGTGTAATTGTAGAACATTGTCAAAAGAATAATGAAGGTAGAGAATCCTTAAAAATATTTATATTTATGCACACATAAAATATTACAAAGCAAAAGTAATTTCCAAACGACGAAGAGAATGTAGTCATAAATAATTGAAAGGAAATGTGCTAGCATTCAAATACGAATTTTAACAATAAAAATGAACTTATTTTTCTGAATGAATATTTCGACTTTAAGAGGAATGTCTTAGAACTGAATATACTTTTTCTATAAAATTATTTATTTTAAAAACAAAATATTTTAGTAGCCTGGAAAATATTAATAGGAATGGTAATTTTGTGCAATTGTAAAATTACGGAAATGTAGCAAATCATACTACATTATTCCATAATATTTTTTACAATATCAACAACTGAATAGAAATATTTCAAATATTTCTAAGAATCTTGAACAACTTTAATGGATCATAAAAAACTAAACTATTGTAACAGTTGTTGGTTTTCATTGAAATCTTACTTGGGCTTTGTTTAACTTTAATTAAATTTTAATTGAATTTTATTCAATTTATAAGAATAGACCCTTCGAGCAAATACCTTTTGCCAAAGTCCGTGAATTGTATGAAAAAAATCCTCATTATTTAATAAGAAGGGAGAGTGCGATTTTAATGTTATTTTGTCCAAGAGAACTTATTTAACATTCCACTCTTCTACTTCATATTTATTTTAAATAATTTCTATATTAAATGCGACTAGCTCCTATTAAAAATTATTAAAATGTGTTCTTTTTCTGTGCACTAATTAATTTATATATTTATCAGTCATTTGCCACACACACACAAATTCAAAAGATCATCAAAGAAAATGCATTTAGCTTTTCGGAAAACCCATTGAAAACGTCATGTTCGCGAGTGCAAGTGTCACACTTTTCCGACTGGCCACACAGAGTGCTGCATCCATCAGATACAATATATAGATTTTACCTGAGCCCGATGGTGCGCGTGCTTTAAATTTGGGCGCAAACATTGTTGTGTTTTGTGTGTGCTCTGCAAAAAGGTTGCATATGAATAATAAATTGATATGGGTTAAACACTTGCAATAGGCTGCACTTCACTTTATCGGAAAACACTTTGACACACTTTTCATTCAGGGCTGGGCACTGCACAACAAACAATCGAAAATGAAAAGCGCGCTGAGCTAATTGCTTGGAAAAACGCTCGACTAACCCTGCCCCATTTTTGTTTATGCTCGAACTCAATTTTTTTTGTGATGTGTGCAAGTGGAAATATAGAAATGCTGGCGCTGCTACCGATTTCAATATATATATGTATATATATATATATATATATTTCTTTTCTTTTTGTTTTATTTTTCACGCGCCTTCGCGTTGCGCACACGACTTAAACACGACGACGACTACGCTAGGCGAAAATCTTGCACAAGTCGCTTGGATTTTCTTTCAAAAAACGAAACTCAATTTGTGTGTGAGCGCACAGCGAAAATAAGAAGAACAACAAATTCGTTGAATGTTCCCTCAACAAATTTGATTTTCCATTTTCCTTTTGGGCCAACGCAGCATAAACAAAAATGCTGATGCTTGCGTAAACAGAGACTGGCAAGTGGGAAAAGCGGCCAAAAAACTGCTTAACACCGGAGCGCAAAGAGCACAAAGAGCAACAGAGAGAGAGTGGGAGAGAGAGGGAGAGTGGGGGAGAGTGAAAGATCGTCTCATGTAGTGGGCCATAAATTTGTTGAACAACGCCTAGATAAAGATACATTTTCACGCAATGACCAAAATCGCTCGCGCGTCGCACATGTCGTATACACAATATTTCGTTTTTCGAATATAGCAAAAAATGATTGCATACTTTGCGGCGGCAGGTGCAAAAATGGCTATAAAAATAAAAATGGCATAATTGTGAGTGTTTGAGTGTGTGGATGTGAATGTGAGTATTAAACGAATTATGAAAACGAGCACAGCCACATTCAAATGAACTACAATTTTGGCCAATTAGCTGGCAGCTGTGCTCGTTTTCAAGTGGCCCAAAAAAGTGGCCCACAGACATTTAGAGGGCAGACATAAACACATAGGTTGTTGGGCGGGGGGAAGGGGGCGTGGTGCGGGATATATACACAAAGTGGGGAGGGGGGGCACTTTGACCGACCGTTGGCATAGAGAAAGCCCTTGGCCAGCTGCAGCTCATTGTCAATCTCCTTGAGCAGATCGCTCTCGGACCAGCTGCGTCGCTGGCGCTGTCGCTGCAGCTGCTGCGGCGATAGCAGAAACCGCGTCTGCTTCTGTGGGCGTAGACGCTGCTTCGCTGCCATCGCTGGCGTCGGCGTTGACGTTGACGTCGCTGTCTGTAGCTGCTGCTGCTGTTGTTGCTGTTGCTGCTGCTGCTGCGGTCGCTCGCTTTTAATTGCTTGGGCTATCAAAATTGTTGGCATTCGTTTAGTTTTCTCTCTCGGCTAGACGCATGCCACATGCTGCACTTAGTCTAAGGAACCCTGTGCTCAATTGTCTCTCTGCAACAACAACAACAACAAGCAAAACAAAACAAACGAATCGCTTGTTCGTTTTGTCGCTTCCCCTCTACCCTTCCTCCTTGCCCCTTCTCATGCCAATTGAATGGAATTAATTAAAATTTCCGTTTAATCGCGATTCGCTCCCCCCGCTGTGCCCCCTTTAGCAATGCAATTGCTTGCAGCGCCCCAGATAAGCCGACGCAATCGGAACGGGCGCAGCGTGAACCGCGGGATATTGCGGCACTTATAGCTCGAGGGTTTTGTAATTTAAATCGGCTTCTCTCTTTTGCGGGGGACACTTGAGCGCAGAGTTGCAAAAAATGAAATCAGCAAAAAACAACTTAATATTTATTGTTATGAGCATGTAAAAGACTTTTGCTAATGACACTCGTTTATAGACTCTTCATAAATACTATATATTATAATGTATGGACGATTGTATTGCGGCAAAATAAATTTATAAAAAATTAGTGGCATTAATTTTAAATGTTAAATATTTTGTGGAATTCTTTGCATTTGAGTCTCATAAATTTATGCCATTGAAAATTATTATTCTAGCTGAATGTGACACTTGGCCATAGGAATAATCTTTAGGAAGGGTAAGGCATGAGGAAATTAAATGATATATCATTAATAAAAGCGAGAGCAGAACTGAGAAGAATTTAATATTTAAAAAAAAAACTTTAAAAGCTCCTGTTAAGAAAGCTTTAAGTTGCCTTTTAGGAATTTGAAATCCGAAGATTTTATTGTGGTAGCTACTAAGTGTAGATTAAAGCTTTTATGAGATATAATTAATCATGTTAATATTTTTAGATGCTTTCTCTTGGAAGTATATCTGGGAAGATTTTGAAGCTACTTAACAAGGCATTGGGCTACTGCTGAAAAGTTTTTTTAAGTAATTGTATTCAAAATATAGAAAGCTTTTAAGTTTACACAGTTAAACGGATAAAAAGCTTTAATGTGCTTTCGAAAGCTGCTTTAAATGAAGCATGAATGAATGATTCTTACTAACTAAAGCTTTACTCTTACGGAAAATATCAATTTAAAGCACGCAGCTTTCATGTGCTTTCAAAACTTTTTGATAAAAGTATGAGCCGTAAAGTAAAAATGGGTACATATATTTCAAAATAAATGCCACAAAATTGTATAAGTTATTAATTTAAAAATGTATCCGATTAGTTGAATGAGCCTTAAATTATGAGCAATGCATGATTTATTATTATTAGTTACTTGCGATCTTTGTATATCTAGGACATTCACAGGATTAGTCAGTCGGTCAAGCAATGCATCATTTACAAGCGCTAGCATAAAACAAATCTCTCTGTGACACAGCTTACGACTAGATCAAATCAAATAGGTCAACGGATATATGTAGATATATATATGTATTTAAATATGTGGGGCATGCGTACAAAATAATAAAGACTAAATAACAATTGAGTTTGTTAATCAATTTATCGTTTATTAAACATTCAACAACACTATATTGGATTTATTTGTATTAATTTCCAAAAAAACATTTAACTAATTTTCACAAATATAGTTTTCAATTTTATTATTATTTTTATTTTTTGTTTTTTAATTTCGTTTATTATTAAACATTTGCCTAGGACAAAAACATAATTTCAATTTTCATTTGGTTAAAAGTAGGCTGCATGCTGCTGGAAGGCATTTCGGGGTAGCTGAGGGGGGATATATAAATTGTTTAAAGCGTTTCTGGCGGTTCCATTAACAAAGGTTTCTGGGCGTGCACATAGAGTATTTGATTCCTATATATATATATATTCAGAAACTGTCGGACGTGGTTTTATGCTCAAAATTGCGCCAATATTTATCGAACTCCTCGAAGATTTTCGAGCGGAAGGGCGAGCTGGCGAACAGCTCATCGAAATTTCTATGGAAATTGACCAAAAATGGCGAAGACGATGGCGAAGGCGATGCTGGCGGTGCTCGGCCAGAGCTCGATTTGGATCTGGATTCGTTTTCTATATGGCTACTCGTGGCTGACGTTGTTTCTGTTGTACTGTTGTTGTTGTTGTTGTTGTTGTTGCTATTGAAGTTGTTGGTGTTTTCGTTGTTGTTGTTGTTGGTTGCTGTTTTATCATTGTCTGTGTGAGGGCGGCGATAGAGAGAAATTTGATATACAAAAGAGCGACACACACAGAGAGAGAAACACACAGATATAGAGTGTGAGTGCGAGTGAGAGTGAGAAGGAGAAGGAGAGAGACAGAGAGCGAACGAGTTGCTACAACAACAATAAACACATATATTTACAATATGTTTGTAAGATGAGAGAGTGTATGTGCGAAATGACCTTTCACCAATGAGTTGAAAAATATATAAGTACACTCAGAAAAAAATGTGTATCCTAGATTTGAACGAAGTTTACAAAAAAATTCTAAGCGCATGTTTGAGTTTTGTTTTATATAAAATATATTGTTTAAACTATTTTTTTATCCTCAAATTTATAAAATTTAATTTATATGTTTTTTTTAATGTTTGGAACAGCCAAAAAAAAAAAAAAACAACAAACATTTAAATTAGCTTGGGAACATTCAAAAGAATTCTTAAAAAATTTAATTAAAAACTTCGAGAACTACTTTTTTTGTGAGTTAGTTGTTGAAGTTCAGAACGTGAAAAATATTCTTTCTTGTTAATTAGAAACCAATAAGAACTTTTAGTTCCAGCGAAAAAGAAATTGAAGAATTTTAGAAAAATAATTTTTCGAATTTCCAGCTTCATTATGTAAAAATATTTCTTTCTTTTATTCAGAAATAAAAAAGAACTAGTAGTTCCAGTGGAAAAGAAATTTAAGAACTAGTTTTTGGAATACTTCCAGCTTCAGATAGTTGCAATTTACTGAATTTTCCGATAAAATGCATATAATATTAAAAAAACTAATTGGATTAATTAGTTCAAAAAAGATTTCAAAAAATAGTTGGTTTTGCAGAGATCTCATTGCGAAACGGAAAATAAGAACGCGGCTTAAATTTCATCAAGAAGAACTCAAAATCTAGAATACACATTTTCGCAGAGTGCACAAAGAGTGAGCATTTAGCTGAACTTGTTCCAGGCCGTGAGAACGGTCAGGCCAAGTAGCAGAGCGGTGCCCAAGATGTTGCCAGCAATCGAGTTGGAGGATGAATTGGATGTATTATTGTTGCTATCGACTGGGCTACGGGGAATGGGCGTTGGGCTGGTGGGAGAGTTGGGGGGTGAAGAGGAGGAATTGGAGTTGGAGTGGGAGTGGGAGGAACAGGAACCTTTGGAAGCGGAACCACAACCAGTGTCAGGCGTTTGGGAGCGGCAGGAGCTAGTTACAGAAGCGTTGCCTAGTTGCAGATTATGACTAACGAGTCTCGCGGTATTCGATCGATAACGATAACGATTGGCAGCCGGCTGAGTCGCTCTCGGCTTGTCCGTGGCAAACTCACCCTGCACAGAAGGCGGCAACCGGGACACCTTGTACGTCTTCACAATGGTCGACTTCTTGCTGGCGCTGCTTAGCGAATTGTCCGTTGCGGTCTCGCTGCGCTCCTGCTGCTCGAGCCGCTCCACTTGACCAGTTGATTGGTCGTCGCCTTTCAGCTGTTCGCAGCTGCTGAACTTTGCGAATTCGCGCAAATGGCGCGGCAGCTCGCGCAGATTCGCCTCGGCCTGACCCTCCAGAATGCGCACGGGCGTCGGCGCCTCAGCATCCGATTCGCTGCCCGCTGCCGCCGCCGCTGCGGCCGCCGCTGGCTGCGACTCGGCTCCGCTCTCCCAGTCGCTGTCCGCGGGCATGGACAGTTTGTGGCGACGCTCCTTGACGCGATTGAGAAACTCATCGCTAATGTTCGCCTGCTGCTCGGTGGCGTGCTGCTGCTCGTCCTCGATCTTGGATATCTTGATGATCTTGTGCTGGCGCCGCTCCTCGCGCTCCGCCACCTTGTTCATCCACTCCTCGGCCATTTGCTGGCGGAACACCTCATCCTCGCTGAGCGTGGGCAGCTTCGGCGCCGGCCGGTAGCTCTCGCGTCGCGGCGGCGGCGCCTGCAGCACCGTGGGCGCCCGTTGCATCTCCTCCATCAGCCGGCGGCGCTCCTGCTGCAGCCGCTCGAATTCCAGCTTCAGCTGTTCCTCCTTGCTCAGTATATACTTGAGTTGCTGCTCGTGCAGCTCGCGCGGCAACGAGGCGCGTCTCTCCCGCTGCCTGTCGTACGCCGGCGGCTGTCCCGGCTGGGGTGGGGTGACGGGCGTGGACACTGGCGCCGGCGACACGCCACGCCGCGAGGTGGTGCTAATGTAGGTGGGATTCGGATCCCGCTCGATCATCGAGTAGCAGCTGGCGTAGTGCGGCCGCTGCTGCTGCGGCGCCTGCTGCAGCATGGGCGCATGCCGGCGTGCACCTCCGTACGCATTAAAGCTATCGTAGCAGCTGCTGCTGGACAGATCGTTCGTGCTGGCCGAGAGGCGTGGAGCGCGTATCGAGTGAGGCTGCGGCTGCCGCTGGCCCAGGCCCTGGCGCTGATAACAAATCTCCACCTCGCGCGCAAACGGACGCGCAATATTCTCCGAGTAGCCCAAATCGCTGGCATAATGCGCCCAATCATCCTGCTGCACTGCCTCGGCCGGGACTCGGTAGTGCTCCGCGGAGCTGTGCGGCCGCACGGTCTCGTTCAGATTGCACAGCGACTCGGCGCGACGAGTCCGTTCGTAATCGGGCGCCAGTTGAATGGGTATCTCGACGGCACGCGGCACCGAGGACAGCCGCTCCTGGCGTGATCTCGCCGAGCGTTCAATTTCACGCTCCAGCTCCTGCATGTGTGCATGCCGCTCACGCTTCTGCTGCTCCTGCTGGCAGCTGTTGTTGCTGTTGTTGTTGTTGCTGGTGAGGCGACTGAGATCGTACAGCGAGGCGGATTTGTCGCGCTGCTGTCGCTGCTCGCGGCCCGTTTGCAGCTCGGCATTCAGCTGCTGGGACAAGGCGTCAAAGTCCTTGAAGAGCTTTTCATTATCCAAGTGATTGCCCGTCGAAGGTTGCCCATTGCCGTTGCCGTTGGTCTGAGCAATTGCGTCGAGCGCTGCTTTGGCACGTTGCCGAAATTCCTCATAAGTGCCGCTGCTGCTGTTGCTGTTGTTCACCTTGGTGCTGCTGCCAGTTGTTGTTGTTGTTGTTGTCTGCTCTCTGTGCTGCCTGCTCTCTGGGAGCAACTGTTGCTGCTGTGCGTCATCATTGAAAGTGTTTGCCATGCCATTTAATTTCGTTGCTGACATAATATTAGCCGCTGACGGCGGCGGTGGCACTGGCGGCGCACAATCCACCTCATCCGCCGCCGCCGCCTGCCGCACAGGTATCTGATGCACCTGCGGTACCTGCTGCACCGGAAATTTATTATTTACAGTGGGCGTCTCGCCAGGCTCCTGCTGCTGCTCGCGACTGCTGTTGCTGTAGTCGTAGATCACCTGGCCATTCTCCACACGCTTCTTGGACTCAAAGGAGCTGGTCTCAATGTTGGAGTAGCGTTTGCTCTGCTGCGGCTTCTGCTGCCCGCTCTGCTCAATGTTGGAGAAACGCTTGCGCTGCTCGTCAAAGATGTCGCCCTGCTGGGCCATGCTGGGGAACATGCGCGCCAATTCGCTTTCCATGCTGGCTGGAAACTTGCTGTTGCTGCTGCTGCTCCTGTTGCTGCTGCTCTTAATGTTGCTGCTGTGGCTCATGTAGCTGCTGTTGCGGTTGCTGTTGCTGCTGTTGCTGTTGCTGTGTTTGCTCTGCTGTTGCTGCTCGACTGTGCGCTGGTCAAATGCGTACGGCAACTGCTGATCAGCTGCTGCTGCTGCTGTTGGTTTATTTTCAAATGATGATGTCGCTGGCATTGTTGCTGCTGTGTTTGACTTTTGGCTTACGTCATCTGCCTGCTGCTGTTGCTGCTTCGGCTGCTGTTGCTGTTGCGCTGCTTGGCTCTTTGCCTTGGCCGCAGTCTCGGCGCTCTTCACAGGCACCGGCGGCGGCGGCGGCGTTGTCGCTGTGGGCGTTAGACTCTTGCGCAATTCGCGCATCTTGGCCGCCGTTTTGAGTATCTGCTCCTGCTCGGCATTCATTTGTGCGCTGTCCATGGCGCGCACCTGCTCGGCGTTCAGCTCGTGATAGCCGCGTCGCTGCACGAATTTCTCGTGTGCGTCCAGCAGCTGATCGGCCGCTGGCTGCAACTGTTGCTGCTGTGCTAGCGCACGCTGCGCCGGCGACAGGCAAACGAGCAACTGGGGATCCTTCTGAGTGGGCAAACCCAGCCAGGCATCCTTCTCGCCCCTGGGCTGGTCCAGCGAGAGCTGCAGCTCGCCGATGTGCGGCAATTGTGGCATAGGATAAGGCATGTTATCGGATTGCTGCTGCTGCTGCTGCTGCTGTTGCTGCTGCTGCTGCTGCTGCTGTTCGGTTATGTTTTGGGCAACGCTGGCGAGCTCCTCAAGCATCTGCTCGCCATAGGGCATGGAGGCCAAGGTCTCGGTGCATAGCAAACGCAATTTCTTAATGCGCTCCGCTTCCGTTTCCGCTGCTGAAATAGGGTAAATAGCTGGTTGCTGATGCTGCTGCTGCTGGCGCAGGGGGGGTGTGGGGGGTTGCTGTTGCGGGGGTGGCGAGGCCAGGTGTATGGCCGTGCATTGGCTGTGCTGTGTGCTGTCCGAACAGTGCGAATCGTTCGACTCTTGACGCTTGAGCAACAACGGGTTAAGGATTGGATGCTGGGTGGTGCTGGTTGCGGGATAGTGCATGCTGCTGGGGGGCGGTGGCACAGGCGGGGGCGTGGGTGATAACCTACAGCGCAATTCGTTTGGCTGCTGCCGCTGCTGCTGCTCCGGAGCAGCTTGCGCGTTCTCGTTTTCGTTTCCGTTTACATTCGCGTTAACGTTAACGTTAACGTTAACGTTTCCGTTTTCGCGTCGCGTCATTTCGATCAATTCGCGCACTTTTTCCATGTTGCGAACGAATTCCTCGCGCGTTGCCGCCAGCGAAGTGGTTGCAGTTGAACTGTTGGCCAATTTGTTCGGGCCAAATTCGTTGGCCAACAATGTCGAATGTTGATTCGCTTCTCTTGCCAGCTCATTAAATGCCGGCGTGGGCGTCGCTGCCGGCGTCCCTGTTGGCGTCGCCGTCGGCGTCGGCGTCACGGCACTAAGCAGCGATGATAGCGAACTGCTGCCCGGCGATGTCGGCTCCGTCGTGGGATGAGCGTTAACAGGTGTGCTCTCGCGGCTCGATTGGTCGGCGGCTGTTGTTGCCTCCGTTTCCGTGTCCACTTCCGTTTCGACCTGTAATTGTTGTTGTTCTTGTTTTGGTTCTTGCTATTTGTGTTGTTGTTGTTGTTTAAGTATTGTTACACAATAGTATAAGCATGTGATTCTAGCATAAACATGGCCTACTTTAAGTTTATTGCGCACTCAACTGACCCCAAATACTAGCCAAAGATCTTGGACCTTCAACCAAGTGAATGTTCTCTTAACTCTTGCTAATCCCAGAAATACAACCAACATTAAATAATTCCTAACCGAAAGCCCACAAGAACTTTTTTCAGTATACAATACTACAAAATATGTTTCCAAAAATACTGAAAAACACTGCAAATTTATTATTTTATTTATTATTATATCAACATTTAATATTTACCCATCGCAGAAAAATATGCAAGCTAACAGCAGCCTTTGACATTCACATTAAACACAGTAGCAGTAGGTGTCAAACTTGGCTGTCAATTGACAATTGACTTATAAAAAAAAAATCGTTATCACAAAAGAATGCGATTCGCATAACTGCTATCGATTATCGCTTTGTTGTCGCTTTCTTATCGCTTTTTTAACTTTTATTGAAAACAAGCTGATGCGTTTTTACGAAGCGGAAAAGCGTTTTGTTTCATTAGTAAGAAACATATTGTAAGAAATATATATGTAAACAAACTAAACTAAAGCTTCTTAGACTAGCTTTTTATTCATGTATTTGAATAATTTGTATTATCGCCTTTGAAGTTAAAAAGGCGATATCAATGCATTTTGTCTTTGTAAATCAAATTTATGTTTTATTCAAGATTCTTATCTGACGTTGGCGGAATATTTAAAATGTTTGCATCTAGCTGCTAAATATTTGACATGATGTTGCAAGCAGCTTAGCTGTCAAGTTGCTTAAAATGCTGCTGTTAAACAATGTAGTCCTTTAAAATAAATATGCTATATAATATATGCTGATATGTTATCATACGAAAACCAATTTGACATTTAGTCGGATTGAAATTTATATATAGTTTATTATAACTTTGATTTTGGCTTAAGATATGCTTATCATGAAGAAAACAATGTGAAGAATTATTGAATGGAAATTTCTTCATAAACTTAGTAAAAATAATTTGTACTCTTTTCTAATTAAATATACCTCCTAGGCACATGGAACTAATCATCATTTGTTACTCTTCTGATTGTCACCTATTTCACCTGATTCCCTTTTCCCTCTCGAACTAAACCTCCTGCTACTCCTATGGTTAGTTGGTTAGTACTGCGCTACGAACCTCGCACTCGCCCTCGGTTTCCGTTTCGTTGGATGAGCTGATCGGCTCCGTGGTTGTTGTGCTGCTGAGGTCGTCGTCGGGTCGATTGATCAGCCGGCTGGCATCCGTGTCCAGGTCGCTGAGGGCGCGTTTGGCCAGGGCAGCTGCCTCTTCGAGCTCGAGTTCCATTAGATCCGAGACGCTGCTGGAGCCGGACGAGCTGAGGTAAACCAATTCCGCATCCTCGGACTGCGGCGACAAGGTACTCTGTAGTCGCAAGCAGCTCTCCAAATCACTGGGCTGATCGAGCAGCTTTGTCTCCAGCATGAGAGCCAGCGGCTCCTCGCGACGCTTGTGCCGGCGACTGAAGTCGAGTTGGCTGCGCGGAAACGCTTCGTTTGCCTTCGCTGGCAGCGGTGAACGCGTCTTCGCCGGATCATTGCCGGAGGAGGAGGCGGAGGCGCTGCGACTCAGGCTGGGATCGCCGCCCGCTGCTGCTGCCTCGCTATTCTCCTCCAGAATGCTGTCCAGATAGCGCGGACTGAGCAGCTGCGGCAGAAAGTGCGATTCGAGTGCATTGCGTTTCTGGACGCGCTTCTGGCGCAGCTGCTCCTGTTGCTCGGCGCGGCTGCTGGACGGCAAATCCGCCGAAGACGCTAAAACAGCAACGGGCGCAATCGTAGCCGTCGGCGTGCTCGCCTCCGTCTCCGAATCCGCTTCAAATACGAGGGGCGACTGCAGCGGCCCATTGAACTCACCGGAGCTGCAATCGCTGCTCAGCTCCAGCTCCTGAATTTGCACATCGCGCGCGAATTTATTAAACTGTTGCACGGCCTTAGGCGAGGGCGATTCGACCAGGTAACGCGGCGGCGGGGACAAGGTGCCGCTGTTGTTGCCGCTGTTGGTGCTGTGTGCGGTTGCTGTTGCTGTGGTGCTGCTGATCTCCTCAATTGTGGGCTTACCTTTACGAGCGCGTTCCTCCTCATCCGTTTCGAGGCGTATCTGATGTATGATGACTTTGGTGCTGCGTTGCAGCGGCTGCTTTGTGGCATGTTGCTGTGGTGCACGCTGTTGTTGCTGCTGTGTAACGACCTGTTGCAGCTGTGTTTCGGCCTGTTGCTGCTGAGCCAGCGGCTGTTGCAGCTGACAGTTCGCCAGCAATTCTTGCACAGCTGCTGGCAACTGTTGATCTGTTTGTGTTTCCTGCTGCTGTTGTGGCTCCTGCTTCTGCTGTTGCTGCAGCTGTTGCTGCTGCTGCAGCTGCAACTGTTGCTCCTGCTCCTGCTTCTGCTGCTGCTGCAACTGTTGCTGAGGTGCGTCTATTTCATCATTGCTCTCGCGCACTATGCGATGCACTATCACCTTGGCCTGACGTGGACTACCTGGTGGCTTTGCTGCCTGCTGCTGTTGCTCCTGTTGCTGCTGTTGCTCCTGTTGCTGCTGTTGCTGCTGCGGCAACTCCATCTGTTGCTGTGGTTGCTCCCGCTGCTGCTTGGCGTTTTTGGCACCCATTGCGTCTGATTGCGTCTGTGTGGCTGCTTCGTGTTTGTCTTCCTTTTCAACTATCACAGGCACTATGTGAACCACCGGCTGTTTCTTGAACTGATCTTCAGACTGATCTAATGGCTGATCGGAAGCCTTCTTTGCTCTATGGAGATCTTCTTGCAGATCTTCTGACTGAGCTTCCGAATGAATTTTAATCAGATGTTCCTTTGGCTGATCAGCTGCTTGTTCTGCTAGTTGATCGATAATCTTTTCTATTATTGGATCTTCAACTAGATCCTGCTCGATCTGCTGTTCAATTCTCTCTTGTGGCTGATTTTCTGCTTGTGCAATCGGCTCCTCCACAGTGTGTTCGAATTTTGTCCGATTTTCACATGGATCTTTTGCTTCAATCAGATGGGCTTTAGACTGATCTTCTAACTGCTCGACAAGCTTCTCTTCTGTAAGATCTTTAGGCGGATCTTCCAGCCGCTCTTCAGACTGATGTCCTGGCTGCCGTTCCCACTGTTGGACAGGGTTTTCCTCTGTCTGATCTTCTAACTGTTCGACCAGCTTCTCTTCGGTCTGATCTTCAGACACTTCGGATTGAGCTCCGGGCTGATCTTCTAAATGTTGGTCAAGCTTCTCTTTTGTCTGATCTACAGACTGATCGATGAGCTTCTCTTTTGTCTGATCGATGGGCTTCTCTTTTGTCTGATCTTCAGACAGATATTTTAACTGATCGTTAGATTGATATTCGGGCTGATCTTCCAACTGTTGAACAAGCTTCTCTTTTGGCTGATCCACAGGCTGATCGATGGGCTTCTCTTTTGTCTGATGTTCGGGCTGATCTTCCAAATGTTGGACAGGCTTTTCCTCTGTCTGATCTTCTAACTTATCGACCAGCTTCTCTTCTGCCTGATCTTCAGACTGATCTTCCAGCCGATCTTTTGCTGCAATCTGCTGCTCTTTGGACTGATCTTTTGACTGATCCTCTAGTTGCACCACAGACTGTTCTTCTGCCTCTTTCTGGCTCTCCTCTCTGCTGGCTATGCGAGTGGTTGATTCATCAGCAGCTGTGAGGCTGTCACCGGCTGTGGTTGACCCATTTGAAATGCTGCCAGAATTTGCATTATTATCATGCTGATGATCATTAGCTGCTGTTAATGATGATGAAGTTGTTGCTGCTGCCTCCTCCTGCTGTTCTCGCTCCTCTGTTGCTGTCCCCTCCGCCGCCGCTTGTTGTTTATTTTGATTTGCGTTCTGATTTTTATTGCGCTTATTACGATTACGATTGCGATTACGATTACGATTATTTGGCATCGTCTACGTCGCGTCTAAGCCTGGGAAACTGTTGCACTCGAAACGGAACCCACACTTAAAGTCTCTCTGTATATATATATATATATATATGTATATGTGTGTGTCTGTGTGTGTGTGTGCTTGATTTGTTGTGCCTGCCTGCTGCAGTTTGTGTCTGGCTATTACGCATACGCCGCGGTTGCCGCTTTCAATCAGCTAAATCTAAAAATTGCTTTAATTCGTGTGCTTTTTGCTTTTGTTTTTTATTATTGCTCGTTTATTGTCGTCTTTTGTCGTCGTCGACGTCGTTTAGAGATTTCTCTCTTTCTCTGTGTCACTCGTCGCTGGCAGAAACACAACTAAAACTGAAAAACTGAACCATACGGCGCCGTCAGCCGATCAACCAAAGCGACGAGCCGGCATTTCAAGCAGCGTCGACATCTGCTGCGACGCCAGCTGCGACGTCAACGGCGACTGCGACGCTCAGCTGCCCGGCACAAGTTTGACACGCGTCCGGCGCTGCACAAATTTTGATATACAGATATATATATAAATCACGCATATATATATTTATATATCTATAGATATAAACCACGCAAAAAAAAGGAATATTTTCGATTTGACGTTTTTACGTTTTAGTTTTCAACTTTTGTGTTCCCGATTTGTGTTCCCGACATTTTCGTTTTTCCTCACAGATTTTTCTGACAAGATTTTCTTTCGACTTGTTTTGCGCGCTCGCGTTCCCGTTTCTTCTGCTGGCGGCGACTGGCGACCAAGGAATGGGCCATGGGCTGCTCCCAGCTGCCAGGCGGGCCGCACAAATCAGTTGCACATAGGCACGTAATGAACAAAAAAAAAAACAAAAAATAGAAAAAACGCCAAGAAAAACTAAAAAAAATGCCCACAACAAGAGCAGCAACAACAATATGGGGCATTCATAATGAGGCTCGTCTGATGATCATTTTAAAAATACATGAGGCGCTGTCTGTAGAATTGTAAAGAGCGCAACACATTTGCCTCAAGTAGTGGGAGTTCTTCTGGGTTAGGGGCGTGGCGGTTGAAGGAGTCGTGTGTGTTAAGTGCAGAGCAAATAAGCAAACGTGCTGTTCAGTGTATTCAAAGTTGTTGTCGCTGTTGTCTCTCTGGAGCTAGTCAAACATAAACAAACAACAAGGCAAGCAAAATCAAGTCCAAGTCAAGTCAAGTTCTCAGGATTTGAGGCACACGCGAAAGTCAAACAAAAATGTTGCAAAGATTTAAAAACAGAATAAAAACAGAAAAAATATATATACGTTTATATATTATCTAGATATATGTATATGGTATATTGCTCGTGGTTATAAACAAAATCGGAACTGAGTTGTTTAGAAAATGCTTCTATTTTTCGGCTGCAAATAATGTCATCTTTAATTATATTCTTGGCTACGTTGAAATTTCTGCAATTTTAATGTTTTTATTTATGCAATGAATGCCAGAAAACTGAAGAACCCAACTTTGAGACGTTTGAACTTTGAAATAAACAAATAAATTTGCTACGCTAAAGGAAGGCAAAAATTGAAATGCTTTTGTGCTACAAATAGCCATTCAATAATTGAATAGAAATATACACAATATATATATTATTTAATAATATATATTCATGCTCGAAATTTGGTTAAACAAATATTTTCTTTTAATTATTTCAAATACATTTGAGAAAAAAATTTAATTGCCCGCTGATCGCATTTCAATAATAAAGACAATAAATTATTCAAATTTGCGGAACTCAAAATGTGGACTCTGTTTTTACGATTTATAAAGACAGTAATTAAAAGTTGATATATATTTTAAAACTTGAAACAAAAAATTAAAAAAGACGTTTCAACTTTTTTTTTATATTTTCTTAAAATTGTAGATTTTTATGGCATTTATTTAAGAATTTTTCAAATAGTTTTCTGATGTAATTTTTATTTAGAACAAAAATTTTAGTTTTCAAAATTTTAACAAGTTTGTTTAAATTATGATCAATTTTCAATTAAACTTGAAAAATATGTATTATAATATTTTAAGCTATTTTTCTCATTAATTTTACATTTTTTTCGCCTTTATAAACCTGGAATTTTATTTATTATCTATTGTATTTTTGTTTTAATTTCATTCAATTTTGTCTATTTAAAGTCATTCAAAATGTTGTTTAATTAAAACACAAAGAATGTTTATTTCTTGAATCAATTTGGCTACTTTCGGCCGCCCCTCCCGCGCCCACCCACAGCCCACCTCAGGCAATATGCCCAAACAAATCGCTTACAACGCATTTAAATATCACACAGCACACACACACGCGACTGCAGTCAAGTGAGTGTGTTTGTGTGCGTGTGTGTATCTGTATCTATGGCATTTTCAAGATATTTTTCGTGCGTAATTTCTTTTTCGATTTGTTTTTTCTCTGATTTTGTTTTTAGCTTTGCTACAATTTTGTGTTCTGTAGTCTCCGGTCTCCGATCTCTGTTCTCTGTTCCCCCGATTTTTTGGGGTGTCTACACTTGAATAATTTTTACGAGTTGAAATTGAAGCACTTTTTCCGACTGACAAGTGTGCCGGCTCACATATGTATCTGTATAGTATATATATGTATACATATCTGTATATATATCTTCTACTGGGCCATGCGGTTAGTAGTCGTTGATTTATTTTTAAAAGTACTTAATGGATTTCAATTTCTTGACTTTCTCTGACTGCGGCTACCTCAGCTGCTTCTGCTTCTTCATTCAATTCGTCATGCTGATCGTGGGCCGCAAATAGATCTGTAAGGCCTTTCCCGTTCCTGTCAGGTGCCAGACAAGTGTGAAATGTGCACGTGATGCAAATGAACTGCATTGGGGCTGGGGGGGACGACAGAGGTGCACCGCGATTATGCAACAGTTGGAAGCAGTTGTCTGTGTGCGACACGACCCTAGAGGGCTAAGGGAATTCACAGCTAAAAACAACAATTAAAAGCAGATGAGGAGAGAAGCACAGTGGAGCACACTTAACATTTGCTGCCTAATTAAAAACCTATTAAAACGGCAATTTCCTCTCTGCTAGACAGACATTAAAAGTCTAAGAAACACCTTAACATCAGGCTATAGACCTCACTCTCCCTCTTGCTCTGCCTCTCTCTCTTTCTCACACTATTCTAATACTTTTTCTGTCTCTGTCCCTCGGCACTTACTCAGTTTATTTAATTTGGTTTCGCTTCTGTTGCTTTTATTTTGTGGTCTCTAAATTGCCTAGAGCATTATCATATTATACTCTATTAAATAGCATCGTTAACTCTCTATAAAAGCACGCTCAACTCATATACCCAACTTGAGTTAGAGTAGTTTTTTTTCTTACGCAACATCGATAACAACAACAACAATTACCACTTATTGCAATAGATATGCATTTCATTTTCTATATTATTTTTGAGTTATCTTTCAATGCTGATAAAAACGAGTTTCTGTTTGTTTCGACGAATCGAAATTAGGTTTTCCGTGTTGAAATTGTGCTACGAATATCGTTCGATATATTAAAAATCGCTGCACTTTATGCAAAATGTAATCAAAATTGAAGAGCTGCTAAAGTGGATTCAATGGAATTAAACAAACAACTATTTTTTATGGAAATATGCTTGTGACACTGTCAAGAGCTTTTGTGTTTGTTATTTAGTTAAATTATATTTTAATTGCGAATTAATCGATTATATTTATTATTATGCATGCAGAATATATAACTCAGTTCTAGCTTTTGTTTGCTATGAACATATGAAATTATGAACAACTTTTGAAAACGTTTTGCATGTCTTTAATTTTGATTTTTTAAAAAAACTACCTCTTTATATTTAATATGATAAAATATATATATAATAAGGTATATCTTCAGATAACACGAAATTAATAACTATGTTTTGTTTAGAAAACATTATCTTGTTTTTCTATAAAAGTAAATATATATATATATGTATTTTTTAAATGCTTTATTTTTCTAGTCATTATAATCGATTAAATAATCTTTAAAAATTGATTATTAATATTCCTGTACTTGTTGCTATTCTTGCTGCTAGTTAGCTTAGATTTATTTCCAACACACATTTATTTTTCAGTCATGTATTGAAGCATGAGAAATATAAATTTAATTTTCTTTCAATTTCTCGCTTTTTCTTTTAATATTACAGGGGCTTGCCTAAAGTCAACACAGCCTATTGATTTTATATTCTCTTTTGCTTTGGTTTTTGTTATTGTTGTTGTTGCCGTTTTTGTTGCTAATTAGCATAGATTTTAAACGCTGCTTTTAAGCATTTGTTTTGCTGTTGTTGTTCTTGTTGTTGCTGCCTCTTCATTTGCCTACACTTTTGGTGCTGCAGTTGCTGTTGTTGTTGTTGTGCTTGTTGTTTTTCTGTTTACGTATGCGTAATTTATTTGGGCAACATGCTGCATGCTTTTCCTCTGTCTCTCTCCCTCTCTCCTTCTTTCACTCTTGCTCACTTTATTTGTTTTTTACACAGCTCACACACACTTACACACAGTTGTAATACAAACAAAATAGTTAGTTAATTAATTTATGGCTCGCGCGCTCATTTCTGCAGCCACCCACCAACAGCGCCGTCGACGTCGACAACGACGTCAGCGCTGACGTCAGAGCTGCGCTGCCTGCGCGCGCTGTGAGGTCAACGTCAGGCGGCAAATTACAAAAGCAACTAAGAACCAAAGCGGCGCACTTAGCGCTCAATTAATTGCAAATTCGTCGGTTTATATCAAAGACACTGTCCACTGTCTCACTGTCCCGCAGTCGCACGGTCCCACTGTGCACTGTCGTTTGGCTTTCTGTGTGCCGCGTTCTTCAGTGCAACGCGTACGTGCGCCAACTGAAATGTTGAATCTGCACCGAAATCTCTGAATCCCAAATACAACACGATATGCGGCGAGTGCGCCCAATTGGGCCCGTGGGGCGGGTCAACGACTGCGCACACTGTGGCCAGCTAGATTTGTGTCTGCTCGAAAAGGCGCACACATATACATATATCATTTGGTCAACGGCTTGTCTTATCTGCTGTCCAAGGAGAACTACAGAACTAGAACTTAGCATAATAAATTTGCTAAGTGGCTAAAAATCGAACAATGATCTCAGCGCTGCGAGTGTTAAACATGACGCCTAATTGCAATTTCGCAAAGCGCTAAAGTTTTCCTATTAGCTGCAAGGTCAAACTCAGACCATGAACCCATTACACTACCCCACCACAGCCCCTTACTTTACGCTCCTTGGAGCGAAATAAACAAACACATTAAAGCCAAAAACTTTGACGCGTTGCGTCAGACCGAAATGTGCTCCTACTTTGTTTTTACAGTTACAAGCAAAAACACACACAGATACAAGTACACACGCTTTTAGTTATGCTATAAATAGCAACAGTTTCGTATACCAACAACGGTATTGTGTAGCGCAGTGTAATTGCTTTGTTTTCTTTCTTTCTTTCGTTTTGTCGGAACGCGCTCGCGATCGCACAACGTCAAAGTCGAAGTTCTAATGGCAACTGAAGCTTCGCAAGCTTCACACAGCGCGCCATCGACAACCGACAACAACAACAACTGAGAACAACAACAACAATTGAGAACAACACTTTGTCACCTGGCAACCCGGCAGCAACGTTTCCTCTACAGACAGCGAGCCGGCCCCAACAACAAGAACAACAAAAGCAAAACAAAAACAACTGGAACTGCGACGATAAGTTTGCCAAAGTTGTTAACTGCCCATTGTTGTTGTTGTTGTTGTTGCTGCTGTTGCGGTTTTGTGCTCAACAAAAGCTAATTATTGTAGTATTCTCTGCCGTCTCTCCCTCTCTTTCACACACGCTCACAAGCTCGTTCGCTTTGTTGCCTCTCTCTTTGTGTTCGATTTCCTGCTGCCTCAAATCAATCGAATCCACCAATGGGAAGCTTGTCTTTTCGAAAAATACCCTTACAAAGGGCATAACCTGTTCCATATGCATCTACTCACTTGAAATGGCTTTAATACTAATTATTTATATTTGTTATATTTATTTATAGTTCAACATAGTAGACAACTTTATAAAGCCCTTTTTTTTCTTAATATTTTGTTTTAAATAATATTATTTTAATTTATAACAATTGATTTTAAATAAATCATATTAAAATTCAGTAAAATTCAAGTTTCAATTTTAAGCAAAATAAATTTAAATAATCATTAATTTCTTAAAATTAAATAAATTATTTAATTTATGACCATTTTCTTATTGATTTCTATATAAAATATATTTTTATATTTTCTTAAATTCTCCAATGATTAAAATATATTTTAAATAATTCAAATATAATATTCTCGTAATATTTATGTGTTTCCGTACATTCTGTAGTATCTATTAATTCGGTATTAATTTTCTTTTCTAAATAACTCAGCGGTAAAAAACATAAATATGGGAATTTACATTTTTTTGCAAATCCTAACTTTAATATTTGTTCGCTGTAGAGTATACAAAGTTCGCTGTGCTAACCAAAAATACAAAAGGTTCGATTCTATTTATTTTTTGCTGTTAGAACGAAGCCCAGCTGTTTTGCTGAGCACCTGGTGCTTGCCAATAGAAGGTTTTGGCATTTTGCCAATCTATCGAAAGCTGGAAACAGCTTTCAATTTCAACCACTCATCAGCTGGAAGTGATTTCGCCAATCTCGGCGCAAAGGCCGCTCAGAGCGCTCGGAGCTTAGAAATACAATTAACACTCGTTAATCAGGCATGGGACTTTTGCCAAACGTCAGTTACGGGGGGCAACTTATCGGGTTTCTTTGATTTTAAATGGTTTTTCTGTTTGCTTAGCAATGAAATCATGCGCATAAATAAAAATATAAAAAAAAATGAAGGAAAAAGCTCGCAAGACATAAATAAAATACTTGATAAAAGTAGAAAATCAAAATGTTAACTTATCAGACATGCAAAAAATATACAAAAAACACACGTTATACACAAGGCTATGCAATATCTATATCTGAACATATGTACGCCTGTGTGTTTGTCCAGTTTGTTGAGTTTTCGTACACACAATCTGTACTTTTATCAATATTTAATCAAGCATTTGCGTCGAATAAAAATAGGGAATTTCTTAGCACATGGCAAGAGCTCCACAAAATAATTGCAAGCCATTTCGTTTTAGAAAAATATATGTTTAATAAGTTGAAAATATGGGCGTTTGGGTAACGCCCAGCATTTTAAATTTGAATTTGAATAATCGTTTGTTCCATAGATAACAAATTAATGCTAATTGCATTTCAAATTTGGTTCACGTTCAACTTGAACAAAATTCAAAACCAATCCACACAACGCATTTATCTGCGGGCTCTGAATCATATGCCAGAATTCAAAATACATATAAAGCATATTGTTTATGCGACATATTTCAGTTTTTGGCAACAGAAGCGAACAGCGAAATTGAAAACAAAAACTGGAAACACAAAAGCCAAAAAATATCAAATAAAAGTCAACTGTCAGCTGAGCGGCGCTACCCAAATAACAAAAACTACTTATAGATAGCCAGCAGAAACGAAAACAAGTCGTTAGTGCTCGACAAAAAGATACCCTGTACAGAGTTATAAAATGGCCTAACGCGCATCCGTATTTTCATTACCAAGCTTTATTATAATTAGTTTTTTATTATTATTATAAAGTTTCTCAGCGGCTGCGCTGCTTCTTCCCTCTTCAGTTTTTTAATGTTGCCAAAATAAAACTAAATTAAAACTGTTTTAAAAAATCACCAGGTGAGGTAGGTATCACTTAAATAACTGAGAATCTCAGAGAATGGCGATTAATAAAAGTAAGAAAAATATGGGACAAGAAGAAAGATTTATTAGCAAACATATATAAGAAGGGTGAAGTATATTCAGAGAGAGAGAGAGAGAGAGAGAGAGAAACAGACCAAATGAATGAGAAAAAAAGAGAGAATGTAGCTATCACTTAAATTGTTGAGAATCTCAGAGAAAGGCAAGAATAAAGAATTATTTACAAAAATATGGCAATTGACAGAGAGAGTTAGGGACCAAATGCATTAGAGAGATAGAGCTAGAAATGGAGAGAACTGGAGAGAGAAAAAGAGAGAGAGTAAAAATGGAGAGCTAGAGGGACCCTCAAAGGAGGCTTATATCTGGCCGATATCGACTTCTCTAGAATATACATATTGGTATACATCGAAAATAATTAAGATCTTGTAAGTACTTAAGTTTGTAAGAAATATTAAATTGATTCAGATTTCAGAAGGAAAATGGCGAATTATATCTTAAATAACAGTCAGGATTCAGCTAAGACAGACAGCAAGCTTAACATATACTTTTAATCATTCACACACAAGTTAAGCTTATGAAAATCGCATAGAAAGGCTGTTACCATTACATTTCTGTGTCTTACATTTTTATATAGAGACTGAAATGGCAATGTACAAGCCTGAGTGCTTCTTCCCGTTTAGCCATTCTTCCATTTGCTGACCTTGAACCGCAAAACTGGTTAAGTGCCAAATGCTTAACTTTATCGAGCAACGCTTTGTTATTTGTTGCTCCCAGGCCAAGTCGCGATATAAGAGTGTGTTAAAAGGAAACGTCAATTTACTTAGATAGGCGCACGAACCCAATCGATAATCGTAATAAGGTATTGATAGGGTTCCGGCAGAACGTAAGCGAAGGCATTTACAATTTACCTGCCCCAAAACAAAGGCTGCAGCTGTGACATTTCCCAGATATACTCCCGAAAGTGACTCAATGGGTTGGCTGTGACTCGGTTTATATTCCCCCTGCTCATAATACACAATAAGCCAGCGGTCAATGGCACCCAAAGAGAGAAACATTCAAGAGTTTTTTTTTTCCTTTTTTTGCCAGTGGCACTTTAACTGTCGTCGACATTCCGACATTGTTGTGGTTTCTGGTTACCTGGGGCGGGGCGGGGCGGGGCTCTTAGCTCCATGTCTTGGCCAAGTGTCGCTTTAATTAAGTACCTGAGCCACCTTAATTGCCCGTGAAGCATGAATGAATGATTAAGTTGCATGTGCTACACGTAATTCAATATGCCACTTGATTTGAGCGTCTCTCGAAATGCCTTTGTATAGCCAGCATATAATAACAACTAATGGGCCCAGGTAGCGCCCACACTTCTAGTTTTGGCCGAAAACTCGAAAGCCATTCATTTTTTATAATCATTTTCGATGTCGTGGGCTTTGAGAGGGTGTGGATATGATTACTTTGTCACGAAACTAGTCTGAATACAGACAGAAGGCCATCAAATATTTATTCGCCTCATCAGCAAAAACACTCGAAAGTCTATTACTAAGCAAATTAGTTGCAGGTCTTAAAGGTGAGTTTATTAAACTTAGTATATTTCTTTATTATTATTATTGCCGCAGGCGGAACATTTGACTTTTCCAGCCAAATGAACCCTTAATATTATTTATGCATATAATAATAGGCTGTAAAATATGACTTGATTTTTGTTCAAAAAATTATATTCCTAACTTTTTGTTTCATTTCAGATAACTTAATACTTAAACACCTTTGTTTAGGCAAATGAGAATATATTAAATATTGCCTCTAACGTAGGAATAATCGTTCGATAATTGAATAATGATAATGTGCAATACAATTTTATTCCTTTCGGCTAAGATTAGCCTCCCTCTCCTAATTATGCTGGATGAAGGTAAGTTTTCCTGTTAAAATTAATATTAAATATGACAATTATTTTGACTTGTTGGGTGTTCAAACTAATTACACTATTATGCTCAGAATAGATCTTTACTTTCTTGTGAATCACGTCAAATAGTTTTTAAAATTAATTTTATTTTATTGGGAATATTCAAATGTTGTTTATAAAGTATTTGGAAATACGCGTCTTTAATAGCATTAAAGAAATTTGAGAATTTAATATCTTGAGAAATAAGTTTAAGTCCGAGTGCAAACGCCAGTCCTACTTAAATTAAATATTTAAATAAGTTTTTCCAAGTTCATTAAGCGTGGCTTAATTATAAACAATTCCTCGTTGCTTATCATCAATTGTCTTTTTGTTAGTTCTAAACTAAATTAAGCGCTATTGTTGCTATCGCACACAGTTTTTATTGACAATAAATTCTGAAGTTCACTTTCGTTCCGACATATACCACGTATGTATATATGCATACTATATATAGCTCGAAAGAACTTTAACTAATGCCGGCTGTCTTATCAAAATTTGTGTCATGCCGTTGTTATTTTTGTTGTTGTCACCGTAAACAAAGGCAGAATAATAAATAATATTTAGCACAAAGACATTTACAATGGGTTTCTTGGCAGTGCACAGTGCGTATAATTAATATGCGCGAATCGCGCAATTTATTGAAAGTATTCGTCTGTGACAGGTGAAATTTTATAATTGAAAATATTAAAAAACAATTTCTAATAATAAATTCAAATATAATATCCAGAGTGTGGCCCAAGCGCTGGCCCAAAACTTCATTTGCATGCCGTACCCCATGCATCCGGTCATTAAAAAATTAATTGAACTATGACCAAAAGCCGACTCGAACAACCCGGTACAGTATAATTTAAAACGTATTAAAATCACAAACACACGCACACATTTATCTAGA